TGCCTTGTTTATCCTGAAGTGCCTGATCCCAGAGCCTAATTATCACAATTTAAACTACGTTAAATGTTACTTCTCCTTGTTGACATGGTAAATAAGCAGCAAGCTCACGTGCCCTTCTTTCACAGTGGTATTAGATGAGAATTGAGGGAATGGTTGTAAGGCACTGGAAGTTTAGACTCACTCAAAACATTTACGTTATCCCAAATCTTATAGAAAGCAAGGATGTGCATTAAGAAATTGCTTTTCTTCATTTCTCAGTTTGTGTCAAGTTTGGCCAGATTCAGCTATTCCTGCTTGTCTGTGTTTTTTTCACAGTTTTAGAGCAAAAATTGGTGGTTTCTACAATTACAATTTTTCTAAAAAATGTCAGAGTATAGTAAGCATTATAGTAATGCTTTAATACAGGCTTTCCGTGTTAATAGCAGTGTTAAATTGTGGTTATTTCCGTTACCATTTATTGCATTGTACTCCTAAATGCACTGTGGTGCTTAAAATGGGTCATTTGACATTGAAGGTGCTAATGGTCGTTAGTATCTTCAAGCAATATCAGCTTTTTTGCTGGATCATGGTCATTAATGAAGGTGACTGGAGCTACCAGAAAACATATCTTCTTAATCTCTGTTTACTCTAGAATTTTGCTGAGGTTGAATTAATGACAAGTTGTTAATGTCCGCTTCTCCTTAGCTATCAGTTTATATTTTGGGAGCCAAGTTGGAAGTTTGTTCTTACTGGTAGTACCTTACATTGTTTCATTAAGAACAGATGGCTTGTGCATAGTTTTGAATACGCTATATATTTTAATTATAATTAAAAACACTTCTTGTTAGCACAGGTTTTGTCAGCTTACCCTTTTAAAAGTAACTTTATAATAAATGCAAATATTTTGTCTTGTTGTTGAAAAATATTTTGCAAGACCTAATGTTAACATTTAACTTGATTGTACTAATCAGCTTGCAAGTAAGCTTTTATTCAAAGTTCCTATTTTAGCCTTTATTTAGTGTCTGTGCCTCCTGAGGGTTGTTACTTGTCCATTTGCTGAGGCAGTAATGCTATGAAGTAATAAAATGATAAAATGTGACCTTGTAATTTCTTCATACTACTGTATGGATGTAGTCTTCCATTACGCTGAAAATAGACAACTTTTCTTCATTTTAACTTGCTCGAGATTTTGGAATATGCTACTGAAAACGGGAGGTAGCAGAAGTGTGGGTAGGATGAGAGCTTTCTTGCTATGGGTGAATGCCTTAGGAGCTTACTGGAGAAAACGATTGGAAACAAATGAGGGACATTTTCAATAGGAAATAATGAGTTGATGCTGCTTTAATGACGTTTATTTTATTCAATATACTCTGAATAAATAACAGACTGTCTCTTTAGCTTTGTGACACCTCGTCACGTTTTTGGTTTGTTTTTTTTTTTTCAGTAGAACAGAGCTGTAAAATTATTTGATCCATGAACAAACAGCATCCATCTTGCTTCGTCCCTTAGAAAGCTTGGCTTCAGCTTCCACCCCTTTGACAGAGCACTGTGTTTTGTGCTCATACCAGTGAAGTGGAAGGCTCCATGCTGGCTTTTCCTCTCTTCCTGGGCTCAGCATGTAGAAGGCACATGCTGTATTTTATCAGAAGTGGGATTTATGCCTCCCTTTCATCTCTGACTATCTTAATGCCATATTTTAGCAATAGAGTAGTAAAGTAGTACTTGTTACTGAGTTTTATTTAGCAAAGCTTTTACATTTTTAAAATTATTATACTTTTGCTGTTCACATGCTTGCTTTTGTCTTTACAAGCAGTCGAGCTGGCTGCATGCTTGCTCTCCTAGGGTCATAGTGTGGGGCCTATTTTCAGCAAAACATTGGCTTCTACTGCTGGAAAAGTAACTTCTCATCAACAGCTGTTGCCAAAAAAAATCCCTTTGGGCATTTATTTCGTCAGACTGCTTTATATGTCTTATAAATTCAGCAAATGTTGATATTCTGTGCTTTTTATTTGCTTCAGATGATATACACCACATTGTTTTTTAAAGTGTGTGTTTTACTTAGCTGCCAAATGCTTTTCATTGCCAGTGCAGTTTAGCAGATGGGTTTGAAGGGTTCAATTAAATGTAATTTGGGCTTCCATTTATCTTCCAGCATCTTTCATGATTCTTTAAATCAACATCAACATTTTTCGAGGCTTTGCATTCATCCTATATTTTGCTCATTTCTAATAATTTCATCATGCAGTCGTACAGCATTTGGAAGAAGGCACGCTCTGATATTACATTGTTATGTACCGTTGTTGATTGGTAGTTTCGCAAAACAGATGTGACATTTTAAAATGTTATTAATACTGCTATTTAATCCATCTTCATTATTTCCAGTTTTTAGTGCATTTGAATGTTTGAGTGCTTGCAGTTCTCCGTAATTTTGTCTCCCATCAGATAAATTTATAAGGAATTAATGATGGGATCTGCTGAAGACTTCAAATGTCGTTCATTGTTTGAGCATTGTTGAATGTTTTCTTGGGGGACCTTTGCTGGGACTTGAGCCCCTCCTGGTTTCCTGTTTCTAGTGTGTATCATTGAGTAATACTTTTAAAAATGTTGTAGCCTGCTTGTAAGAATGAGGACTTAACATGGACCATCTCAATAGGATGCAGAAATGTCAAGGACAGAGTAATGCCATGAGGTATAGAGTCTTTGTCATGAAGTTGAAGGCTTTGGGCTGTATTTTCATGACTTCACAGCTGAGTTGTATGATTTACCTCGGACAGCATCTTCCACGAGAGTTCAGTGATTGTATGGTTTCCTAAGATGAGTTTCTTGCGTTGCACTGATTTTGCTGGCAGTCCTTGAACGTAATTCTATCATGAACTTCTTCGCCTTCTTCAAGAACTCCATGCAGCCGGTTACCTATCTTGTCCTCTGCCCTCTGCTCTGCATTTGGCTACTCAAATAACAGCATACATCTTCATGCTTGTACCAGGCGTTAGATGGGCAGAGGTGAGAAGAATTGCAGATCTCAGGCCTGCAGACTGAGAGTTGAAGCATGGAGAACTTGGCAGAAGTGATCCTTAGTGACCCACTTTCATTTATAAACAGTCGATCTTTTTACACAGCAGTTGTATTTGTCTGGCATAAACTAGTACTTTCTTCTCCTTGCCTGTGATTTGTACTGCAGGCAGATTTTTTGCTAAAGATGTGATGTTTCAAGAATGTCAGCTTAGCAGTTAACACAGTCAACTTTGTGATTTGTGCTTTCATGTGGGTTGGTTTTGATATCTGTGGGCTTGTAATAGTAATAGTAATGTTTCATGCCTAATTTCATGCTAGACTTTGAAACACAGAAGAATTATGGTAATAAATATTTTCTGTATTCTGAGAATCAGACAGATGCAGTGTGTAACTTCTTGTTTTGGTGTACGTTCAGATTTGATGTTACTAGGTGCTTGAGCTAGCAATCAAACCTGCCAGTGTTGTTATTAAGGCATGTAGGTTTATTATGAAAGATAAGCATCCCTGAGCTCAGCTGGTGCTTTACATTATGTATGCCTTCCCATGAGCCACTGACCTGCTTTTTCCTAAGTTTTCTTCAAACCTTATAGCACTCTGCTCTAGTCTTCAAATACTGTTGCCTTGGTGAAAAAGTGCAAAAGCTTGTTACGGTCCTTCTGGGACTCTAATGAATCCAAGAAAGCAAAGAGACTGATTAACTGAATCTGAAAGGTGTGGGTGATGTTTTATAAGCAGGCTGATGGACTCTGTTCCCTCTTGTCTAAGGAGCAGGAAGGTTATTGGGTAGTTCTGTATGGGAAGTTATTTCTTTACAGATGTGACTATGGCCTATAGTAATAATCATGCTTCTTCATGACTTGTTGAAGGTTGTTGGTGATATTTGTGTAGCATTGAAATAAGAGATGAGAGGGAAGTACTGGGTTATTTAATGCCTTATCATCCCCATGGGAATAGTTGTATGATGTCATGTACGTTTTCAATAGAACATAATATTTCATTGTAATTCACATTTCTGATTACAATGTCTACAGTTCTACATTACAGCACACAGAGCAATATGTTTTTTAGTTACAACCTCTAACAGGTCTGCCTTTATTACTCAGTGTAAGCCTCTAGGCCTTTTTTTACTGAAGACATAGCGAAAGTCAGTTAACAGATAGAAGAGCATTTTTCTTCTGTGATAAGAAGAATCTCAGTCATCAGAGCAATTTAGGGTGCGTTTTGGTGAACGTTTTAGCTTGGAAAGATCTGAGAATGCCTCTGAAAGACACTGTCCCAGCTACTGTTTGGTCTTCGTGGGCTCCATCAAAAGAGGGGTGGCCAGCAGGGACAGGGAGGTGATTGTCCCCCTCTACTGTGCTCTTGTGAGGCCCCATCTGGAATACTGCATCCAAGTGTGGAGCCCCCAGTACAAGAAAGACAGAGAGCTGTTGGAAAGGGTCCAGAGGAGGGCCACAGAGATGATCAGGGGACTGGAGCAGCTCCCCTACAAAGACAGGCTGAGGGAGCTGGGTTTGTTCAGCCTGGAGAAAAGAAGGCTGCGGGGTGACCTCATTGCAGCCTTCAAGTACCTAAAGGGAGCCTACAAACAGGAGGGGAATCAACTCTTTGAGAGGGTAGATAATGGCAGGAGAAGGGGAAATGATTTTAAGTTGAGGGAGGGAAGATTTAGGTTGGATGTCAGGGGGAAATTCTTTATAGAGAGAGTGGTGAGGTGCTGGAACAGCTGCCCAGAGAGGCTGTGGATGCCCTGTCCATCCCTGGAGGTGTTCGAGGCCAGGTTGGATGGGGCCTTGCTCTAGCATTAAATATGGAGCTTGGGGGCCCTGCATGAGGTAGGGTGGTTATCCTTTGATGATCCTTGAGGTCCCTTCCAACCCAAATCATTCTATGATTCCTCAGGGCTTGCTGCTTTGTACCAGCCTTAGTCCTTGTGGAGAAACAGATTTGTCTGAAAAATAATGCAAGAAAAAATAGATTTTGAGTGATCATTGTTTGTTTTTCAGCGATGTGCATATTGTAAGCACCTTGGAGCCACTATCAAATGCTGTGAAGAGAAATGTACCCAGATGTACCATTACCCCTGTGCTGCTGGAGCAGGCACATTTCAGGATTTCAGTAACTTGTCCCTCCTTTGTCCAGACCATATTGATCAGGCTCCTGAAAGATGTAAGTACACTTTATTCAAATGCCACAATTAGCTTCAGCTGAAGATTTAGTAATTCCATCTTTCAGCTGTAGTAGCTTTTCCTTAACTGATATCCTACTTCAGAAGAGTAGGGTATCCCGTAAGATGCCTGAATTTGCTTGAGTAAGCTTAATTTCAGCATGTGATTTTATTAATAGACTCCTGGCAGCTAACATTGCATCGAAGTGCTCGTGACATGCAGGACTGAGATTGTAATATCTGTTTGAGATCTGTGGGGTTTCTGTAATTAAATTAAATCTACTTTATTTTTAAAAGCCTTCCTACATGCTTTTTGTAAAAATATATTCCTACTATACGTTTGAGTATGTCTTAGAAATAGAAGTGTAGTTGTGAAGATTCCTAGCAGTCTGATATTTCCTGAAAAAGACTGCTAGAATGTGTTGTGTGGTGATGTTAAAAAATTATTTGTGTTAGCATTGTTGTACATCCTAAAAGCTTGCTTGCAAACCAGCTTATGCTGTGCTTCACAGGTTTTCATGGGATTAAAGAGTCTCCACTGCAGACAGGGCACTTGGCTCTGCTGATCACAGAGCATATTTTTGTTGCATTTTCTGTGCTCATTCTAAGGGAAGATTTGTTTGGTGCTGTTCCATTCAGACTCTGAAATATAATTCATTCAAATGTTTTTGAACTTTGCTTTTTGCCTTTTAATGTTATTTATTCAAACAGCAGAGGGGAAGGGAATGTAAGTGTAGTTTTGGCTCTCATTCTTGTTGCAGACCTCTTCATCCTCTGCTGCTCACACTGCCTTCAGGTGCAGATTTCCCTTCTGGTTTGTAACTGAGACCAGCAGGGGGAGCGTTGGGAGCACAGGAGGGAGACTTGTGGTCTGCCAGGCGTAGCCACCGTGACCTGAAGTGCTCCAACAGGACACATTCAGGCACTCCACAAGATAGCTCTGGTGAACCACCTCTGTTTTTAGTAGCTGAGCTGAAGATGAGCGTGCTTAATGCAGCTGTAATTGCCAGGGAGTTTAGCAGTGGAACTGCTATATTGCTCCTTGACAGGTGTCAATGAGATATATTTGTGGAGGCCACATGCTTACAGGAAGGACAAGGCATGCCTACTTGCCCTACCTCAAATTAGAGCATGTGTATTGCAAGCATTTTGGGTAAATAATAGTTTTAGATCTGCTGGGAGTTTTATTTCGTACTCATTCCACCTAAGAATTGGTTCTCATGCTCTGTTTTACATTAAGAGAAATAGAGTAAGCCTGTTTCTTTTGTTAAGACTTATTAAGGCTTAAAATGAATGTACTTTTGTTCTGAAAAGTTTAGTTGAATATATTGGAAGAAAGGAGTAGTTATTAAGTAAATTAACTAAATTTGAATTTCGTAAGTATGATCAAATTTTGTAAGCATAAGAGCTACTGAAGATTTTCTTGGCTTCATTGGGTTCATAGAATTGTTAGTAATTTTAAATTAAACTATAATTGGGAAAATGATTTATTTGTAGCAAAAGAAGAAGCAAATTGTGCAGTGTGTGACAGCCCTGGAGACCTCTTAGATCAACTTTTTTGTACGACCTGTGGCCAGCACTACCATGGGATGTGCCTAGACATACAAGTTACACCTTTAAAACGAGCAGGTTGGCAGTGTCCTGATTGCAAGGTGTGCCAGAACTGCAAGTAAGTATGATTGAAGGGTGTGAGGGGAGGGAGTTCTTAGATCTATGTGCTATGATTCTGAAACATCTATTTTATTATCCTTTCTTTATTTTTTCTTCCAAAAATGTAATTATTTGTTCTGATAGATCTGCCACGATATATTAATTTTAACCAGTCAAATCCTTGGGTTGGGATCTGTGTTCTAAAGAAGAAAACTGAGCTGCATTTCCTACATGTTATACTCCCAGAGTTTTCATCATTGTGGCAGGTTTTAGAGAGCTACCAGAGTGTGTGATTTCATCATCTTTTACACAGAAGGATTTTTTCCAATTTATCAAATTTGCTTAATGTAGTGCCTTTAACAATTTGGAAACCTGGAAAAAGGCCACTTCATTACTACCTCATAGACCTGATAAGGCAGTGCTTGTTTAACGAGCAGAGCACTCACTATTTGCCTGCCTTCAGGTTCCCTTACTTTAAAGATTTTTCCCTAATCACACACAGCTAGGCAGCAAATGCCTGCAATGAAGGTATGATTGTGCATGTTCTAAAATGTACCTCTAAAACTGTTGTACCAGTATTTATTAGCAAACCCTCTACTGAAAAAGTAGAAGAAAATCCATGTGAACTGACATAGAAGCTGTGCCAGTCAGAGATTTTTTCTGGGAGGGAAGATGTATTTAGGCTGATTGTAGGAACAAGTAGAAATGCATGGTTTTTTTTTCAGAAATAAAGCATGTGTTTAGATTTTGAACTGATTTCAGTAAAGAAAAGCCAATAAATCTTCCTACTTGTGCATAAATGGAAGTGGACTGATTGCTAGCAGTCTGGTTGCACGGGCTCAGTGCTTTCTGCTGTAAGCATGGTATACTTAATTCATGCTTTAATAGAGCCATATTTAAGTGATGTTCCTATATTATCATGCATTCAGCTATCTACCTTTCTGTTTAGACATTTTATCAAACAGATCTTTTCTTACTGCTTGTCTCAATAGTCTTTAAAATACCACTGTTTTTGTTATTAGACATTCTGGGGAAGACAACAAGATGCTGGTGTGCGATACATGTGACAAAGGGTACCATACTTTCTGTCTACAACCAGTTATGGACTCTGTACCAACAAATGGTTGGAAATGTAAAGTAAGTTGAAAGCTTTCAGAATAATTCCGTATCTTTACAGGGAACCAGGTTTTGCTACACATATTATACTAGATGTATTGCAGATGGCTATTACCATGTAATGTACCTTGCAATTTCTGAAGGAATCCCAATTACATAGCTCCAGAGGGAAAAGGGAAAGAGAAGGATCCTGGGGGAGTGAATAACCTCTGCTTAATGACACCTGCTCCCGTGATATAAAATAAACTATATGTAAACTGAAAGCTCTTCAAAGTATTGTATGTAATCTATCCTTGGAGACTGGTTATATTCGACCACTCCTTGCTTTTGAGAAGAGCAATTCTTCTGTAGTTCAGAGTTCCTTTGGGTTTGGGGAGAGCACGCTGAAACTGTATAGTCAGTGACTTTGTGAGTAAGTACAAATAACAATAATAGTTTCAAAGTAATAAGGCAAATCCCTTTATATGGGAGGAATGTAATTTCATAGTCAATCTGTGGTAGTTATACGAAGACAGAAATAAGGTAAGGCAGTAGTGCAAGAAAGTTCTTCTTGCGGTTGCAAGAGTGTCCATAATTTGTTATCACATCACAGTTAATTTATTAGTATTATTAAAGATAGAAAGTTTATTTAATTCAGAAGAGGAAAATGTCAGTTAATGCAGTGTGAAACATCATAATGAACTAAATTCTTGTGATCTTTAGAACTGTAGAGTATGTGCTGAGTGTGGAACACGAACAAGTTGTCAGTGGCACCATAATTGTTTGGTATGTGACAGTTGTTACCAACAACAAGACAACTTATCATGTCCTTTCTGTGACAAACTGTGCCTCCAAGACTTCCAGAAAGATATGTTGCACTGTCATATGTGCAAAAGGTAAGAGTCCTATAGTTTTCATTAAGTTGTACTAAAATGCCTAAAGCTTATAGGTGAGCTGGATGACATTGATGTATTTTTGTGGAAGGTGCAGACTTTGTGTGATGCACACTGCTGTTGTATCTTATGTAACATCTTGATATTCCCACCCTAAACGCAACAGACAAATTGATCTTATTTCAAGTAAGATGTAATTGGCTGTTACCAAGAAAGGACAGATAATAAAGTGTGCAGAGAAACATACACTTCTTTTTACAGACAAGAAGGATCATCATCCTAACTTTTATAAGCACAGTGTTTCAATTTTTACATGTCTATTCACTGTATAAGGCTTTGTAAACACAGTTAGTAGTCATGGTTTCTTATTGTAAAATTTTCAAGTATGTGTGCTCTGTTAAATGTTGTGTGTTTTTCTACACCAGCAATAATTTTTATTACCTTAATAGTAAGCTGTTGAGAAACTTTAAGTGTGGACCATTACATATTCAGTGCATTGTTCCTTACTGTGCAGCACTGTCATACTGCTTTACATATTGTTGTGTCTTAATGGCTTTAGCAGCAGTGTAGGTCTTCATGTTTGTGCTTGTTCAATGGTTTGACAAACTGATATATCATTTTTATTTCTACAAAATTCTTCCTGGTATTGGTTCAAATTTTTTATTTCCCCAGAGAAATGGAAAACAGTGCTGGAATATTTTATATTATTATTACAAAAATCACAAACTAAATTAATTTCCCCAGGTGGATTCACATAGAATGTGACAGATCTCCAGGTATTGAATTGGAGTCTCAGCTGAAAGACTACATCTGTACTCTTTGTAAACAAGGAGAAGGGGATCAGACTCAGTCTTGTGATGTAATGGATACTTCTGAACTCATTCCTGAACCTGACAGCATAGCAGGTAATCAAATGCAATCTTACATTTGCAAAATAGTAACGTCAGAAGCATTAGCAGATGTTTCACGAGGTCTTCTGTGAACCAGCCACTCAGATTGTGTAGACTTCATCCTTTCCTTTACTAAGCAATAGCTTCTCAAGTAATCCATTCTGTCTTTTCAGTGTGCTTTCTGGCCCTTTGGCTTCAGGGTCCTGTGTTTGATGCACAAGCAAACAAGCACCTTATTATGGTTGCTTCCAGCAATCACAATTTGTAGCTGTAAACTTCTTTAGCTTTTTTTTCATGTGGTACATTTCATAAATGGACTCATTTGAGAAGTCTTTTGGGACACTCCTGTCTACTAGGTATAAACCAGCTTCTGACAGATGTTTCTGGTGACAAGCAGTTTATCTGTGTCACTCTTGCTATTCAACTGTTTCATATTGCCCATTTGCTCAGTATGTCCAGGTAGGAAGCAGCAGTGGGAACTGGACTGTGTTCAAGGGCCAGGTGCATTTAACTGTGCAGCTTTTAATCGGGGTCCTCTTTCAAAACAGTATGTGATTATTAATTGCCTCTGAGAGCTTCTTGTCTATGTAGGCAAGGCAAACAAGAGGTGGGAAAGGAAGTTGCTGAAAAATGTAAAGTATTTTTTACAAGTACTCAGCGACAGTAAGGAAACACAGAGAGAGTTTGAATCTCTTGATCCTGAGTGGTGGTGAGTTATCCACAAAACCTGTGTAATGAAATCTTAACTGAAAGCCCTCCTTTATTTCATATCATGTGCTCTTCTGGATAGCACCTACTCACGCAAGCTGAATTTCTTAAGAGAAGTGCAATTGCAGTTTAATGTGGAAGCAAGGTAAAATGTGACAGATGAACTGCATTGCCATGTGCATTTCTGATGCATAAAGATCAACGCTTGTGCACTGATCTTTTGTTAAAGCAGTAGCTCCGTTGCATAATTATCTGTTTTTGAAAGCCCAGTAACTTTTCACTGCAATAGTGAACTCTTAGACTTCAGAAGAGCTGCAGCTTTTTATGCATTCAGACTGAAGTTTTGCATAAGCAGGTCATTATCTTTGACGTTAGCCAGTTTGTGTAAGTGTACACCTTTGGTGAGCAGTAAAGAAATGATGAAAGAGATGATGATCCCAGGCAGTGACTGTGGGTACATGTATGCAAATGTATGGACGAACTCTGTCAGTGAACATGTGCATTAGGTTAGAAAGAGTGGCAGCTTCAAACTCTGATCAGTTCTGTTCTGAAAGGTTACTAGAAACTCTTGGACTCTCAGATGGTATTTAGATGATTTAGGAGGAAGCCTGCATTGTATCTGAACTCTCAGTTTTCTATTGCAAATGCTTTAGAGTAAGTTAAAGGTTTGGTTAAAAGGCTGTAGTTTTTAAATAATACTTCTTTTATGGTTTTTAGGTCTACAGAAACTGTGTTAAACATACTTTCCCATCTGTAGAAGAAGATTAGGATTGTTATCTCAAGTACTAGGAGTAATCCTGCAGCATCTATATCAGTGCAGTCATACTTAGTTTATGCCCAAGAGAGCACTTTTGTACATTGAAATCAGGTTTTGGAGCCAATCTAAATGATCATTTCCTTAAGGTTAAAATATCACTTTAGAGTTGGCAGAGTCTGCAAACAGTTCTTAGGTACTAAAAGTAGCATCATCTTGTAGTTCCTGGCTTCCTGAACAGAAAGCTATATTCATTTACCCTTTTCACACTAACGTCCATGAAAGATCAGTCCCTCTTGAGCTAGCACTTACTACTTATTTGTCTCTCCTGCTCTTGCTTTGTCTAGTGCATTTTAATTAATTTCCTTCACTGAAAAACCTTTTACATGAGAAAAAAGTATGTGCTTCCTGTTTGTGCTCTCTAACAATACTGTCAAGTGAAGCAGTACTCAGCAGTGCCTTTTCCCATGCAGTTTCATACTTTAATATGGGGAACTCACAGAAATAGGCGTGCTTATTTTAAAGTGATCTACTATCGTGTAGTTGGAGTTCAGCAAATGGTTTGGAAATCAGTGTTCTGTGTGTGCTGATAGTAGATGGAACATCGTGTCTCTGTCCTGAGCCATGACAGTATTTGCAAAAAAAAAAAAAAAAAAAAGGTGTGAAGCCTTCATCCCACAAGGTCTGTTGAATTTTGCAAAGTGGAATTTGATAAAAGACCTTTTGTATTGCTTAGATAATGTGGCAGAGTCTGTGACAATATCTAAATTATATTTTCAGTGTTAGGTTTATGTAACTGTTTCACAGCCCTTTTCCACTGTCTGAAAGACATTAAACAGTTTCATGTTAATGAGAAGAAGACTTTATCTTCTAGGGTACTATGTATCCTCCCTGTCTTTCTCACTGAGCTTATGTGCCCTAGCTCCAATCATATAGTTAAATATCATTCTATTTAACCAGAAGGTCATACAGTGACAGAAACTACCAATGCCAAAGTAATGGAATAAACACCATATTGATTTTGACTATTTTCTTTCACTCTTAAGCTTGTACAAATGAAATGGAAATGGAAAGTGGTGGAGAGGATGTGGCATTTCAGGAACAACTCGTCATTGGTAATGGCTCTGGTCAAGAATCAGCTGTTGGATGTGTCACAGATGGTAAGAAAGAGTTTTGCAGTCTGAGAAAATACCACTGCTGTGTTCAGAGCTCTTTTTCATTCAAGAAAGTTTGTGGTAATTGAATTATGAAGTAAAAAGAAAAAATGCCTGGAAAGCAGTTGGAAACAAATTGTTTATGTTCCGCTGTCTGAACTCTTAAGCAACAGAGTTAACTTTTTTGTTGAAATAGTATCCTATTCAAGACAAAGATAGTCCTCAGAAAATTTGTGTAAGGGAATATCAGTCTAATTGTTTGGAAGGAGTGGCTTTCTCCTTAAGTGGGAGGAATGTTTTTGTACACTGGAGTCTTATAGTTAAAGGATGTGTTTGGTAAAGGATGTCCAGACAGGGTGTCTTCTGGGAAGAAATGGATCTTACAGTCACACAGCAAGGACCAGCCATAAAAAGGAGTACAATTGGAATGGGTTCTGGGTCAAGTCATCTGAATATGTTAGTGATTGATGGGAATGGTGAAGAACATTCACGTGTGTCTCATCCAGCCAGCTCAGTGTTTAAAGTGGGTTGCTGTAAAGGAAATCAAGAAACCTAAATGTAGAGCCAAAGGAAAGAAATTATTTCCCATGTTAGCTATGATCACCACGTTATGTATCATAGCTTGTAGTAGGTACAAAAGCCATGATTGAAAACTCTGTAAGGGAGGACACATTCATGATGAAATGCTAGACTTTGAAATGTGGTGGCTGAGGAGTTTGTGTAGCAGTGTGAATCTGGGAGTGCAAGGATAGTAGAGAGTAAGTGGACTGTAAGGGAATTGAAGTCCAGTGAAAGAAGATACTAGAAGCCAAATTCAGAACAAACAATGTGGTCCTCTGTAGGATAGATACAAGACTCCTCCATGAAACTCCTGCACAATGAAGTTGTGAATGAAAGGTGTTTGGCTGCATAGAAAGCTAGAGAAATACTTGTGAAAGAAATCTTTAGGACATTACCATGTAAACTGTTTTTATTTCAAGTGATTTCCTGAAGTCTGGAAGAGCACTAGGATGGAAATGGGAAATGTTTTTTATTTATATATGTACTGTTCCTCTTATCAGCTGTTTGCTTTCTGAAAGAGTTGAGAGAAATGATGAAAGTACATAAATTTATACCAGCATATATCTTTAATAAGCAGAAATGAAAAAGGAGGGGCCGCTTTTAGCTACTTGGAAATGTTTGCCTCAAAAGTTAATCTAGGGTCTACTGAATGCTCTTTTTATTTTAAAGCAACGTTACTCGTTGCTTACTGTAACTTTTATTCATCTGTCAACTTGACTCACAGCAATAAAACAATGGAACTTTCCTGGTATTTGCATTTGGAAATTTTTTCTGTATGTTGTTAGTAGCTGAGGAGCTGCCTATGGTACCTTAATATAATCTTGTTTTGCCCCAGCACCTTTTTGTAGGAAACGTGAAGGGAAAAGCTTGAGCTTATTCCTGAAAATGGCGTATCTGTAAATTATTCTGCTATGATATAGAAGAGAAAAAAAAGAAATTGTAGTGTTTTGTGTTTTTAGCATATGTTCTCACTGTTCAAACATAGATGCAATGAAAGATATTGATAGAATATGTTCTAAGGTACAGATAAAATTCACAAAAAGTGGTACTGCTGTATGTGATGTGTACCAGCTATGCTTGTTGACCAGTACACTATGTATGTTGTTCATCATCATACTGAGCATTTAATATGTTTGTACTTAGTTACAGGCATATCACCAGAAGAAAAGACCACAGAACTGGAAACGGAAGTCTCTAATGAAGTTAATTCTGCTGAAATGGAAATGTCTCCTAAAAAGACACCAGCATCTGGTGACAGTCATACTGAGAAAATGATGGAAGTGATGGAAGGTGTTCAAGCAGTAGCACAGCAGGAGTTAGACAAACAAGTGGAAGAGACACAGGGTAGTGCTGAGGTATCAGAAGTAGCCACGGTAGACTCTCGGTCTCTGTCTTCAGTACCTGAGACCATAACTGTGATGCCAGAAATAGAAGGGGCTGAAAGCAAAGGAGGTGTTTGTATACACGCAGAGCAACAACTGGAAATAATAAAAGTGCAAAAAGAGGTAGAAAAAGGAGAAACCCTTGAAAAGTCAGATACACCAGCTCTTCTAGAAGCAGAAACTGCTTCTGTAAATGAAGGTGTTACAAACAGTTCACCAGTTGCAGACAAACCCATAAAATCACCAGCTGAGACTTACCCCTCACTTCCTCCATCAGTTAACATAAGCAAGGCAAATGTGTCTTCCTCACTGGACCTGCATTCTACACGAGAAGTTCAGCACGCTCAGCAGCCAGCACTGCCTTCCACTGCTGGAAGTGCTCTCCCAACGACTTACATATCAGTCACTCCAAAAATAGGCATGGGGAAACCAGCCATCACCAAAAGGAAATTTTCTCCTGGAAGACCTAGGTCAAGACAGGTAAGCATGCAGAACATTTCATTATATATTTATGAAGCACGTATTAGTTAGAATTTCAGTATAATCCTTAGAATGCAGTATGCATTTATACTCCCAAGTGAGTGTTTAGTTAATTTCTTCAGGAAAGTAATATCATATTAATTAATTAAAAGAGTCTGTTGTTTGAATTACAGTTTCTTTTGGATTACACTTAGAGAAAAATAAAATATTTCTTATATTTTTAACACACGTGCAACAAATGCTGATATACACAATATGTCTTCTAAGTTTTCACTCTTTTTTGTATATTCATGTATTTTGGTTAGTAATTTTAAGTTAATGTCTTAAACTGACTGCATAGAAAAATCTGCGGCAGCTGTTTCCATTATGCTTCCAAATTTTTTCATGGTCAGTATTTTAATGATGTTGCAAATCATTTAATCATTTTCTTCTATGAACAAGTACTGTGTGATGTAAGTTATGGTTTGATTGGGATTAAATCTGATCATTGAAAAGTATGCTTAAGTCTGTAGAGTTCTGCTCCATCCCATCCTGCTCTCTATTCTAGTCGTGTGGTTGTGGGAGAAATGGTTCATCAAAAAGTGTGTCAGTGTGACAAATTAGTGTTTCATTTCTATTCTTAATTTTAGTTTTTGGAACATTTAGGCTGATCATTTAATATTTTTCTTAACTTTGCACATTTCTTTGTGTTTTCATATAATAGCCAGGGGTTCAGAAATACAGTCAAATTAGTTCCTTCTTGCTCTGAAGAGACTAAAATATAATAAAAGCAAGAAACCATAACACATTCAAATTGGAAGGTTTCTGAGTATCTCTGAGTCACATATTTAGTTATTTAGTTAGCTCTCTATGTAAGCACGGCAGATCTTGGAGAAATACAGGTGAACAAAAAATGGACCATTGAGCTACCATGAAGAAAGTGATTATTTCTGCTCTGTTGTCTTGAAGTAAAGAAACACGATCCCTTAAAAATAATCTTTTTGCTCATACTGTGTGCTGTCTTGACAATTAAATTTATTTTCTCACTTAATTTACCACAGTTTATCATGAAATCATGAAATTTTTAAAAGTGGAGTTCTTTTGCAGTCTAAAATGAGGTGCATTAAAAAGAGTGTGGCTGGTAGGTTAAGGGAACTGATCCTCCCCCTCTGCTCCAGTTCTGGGCTTCCATCTAGAAGATGGAACTTCTAGAGAGAGCCCAGCAGAGAGCTGCAAAGATGATGGAGGCCTGGAGCATCTCCCTTGTGGGGAATGGCTGAGATACCTGGGGCTGTTCCATCTGGAGATGAGGAAAACACTGAGGGGGACCTTGTCAGTGCTTGTCAATATCTAAAGGATGAGAGTCAAGTGGATATAGCCAGGCTCCTTTCATGGTGCACAGTGACAAGACAAGGAACAATGGGAGTTCCATCTAAACATCAGGAAAACTTCTTTACTGTAAGAAAGGCAGAGCACTGGAACAGGCCCATTTTAGAAAACATGAAGGCTGATCCCCAACTGTAATTGCCTGTGTTAGAATGGACATTTATCCTCTTGAAAAACAAAAACAAAACAGCTTTAGAACTAGTAGTTTGTATGTTCTGTGTGGAAGATAGTTATAGCCACGAATATCTCAATACATGGTGTGAGTAATGCAGATAGAAGTGAGCTGATCTACAGTTTAGGGATGAGGAGTAATGCAAACTCCAAGCTGTTATGCTAACTTAATATAGTTTGTTGACCAGTTTGGAGATTATATTTTAAAATAAAAAGGTACTTGACGTCTTTGCAGTACCTGTAGTAGAATTGGACAAGTTACTTGTAAAATTAATGATCTGTCTTCAAAAAATACTAGGAGGACTGTAAAGGTTTGGTTTGACTTTGATAATCTTTGACTCATGCTTTAAACACGCATTAAGCTGGAACTGAAGTTCTGTGAAGTGAATAGTAATTTTTTGGTAAGAAAATCACGTGCATGTTTTGTTTTAAGGCCCAGTTTGCTTTCTTGTTTTCCGTTGATTATTCAGTTCAGGCACAGACCAGCACCTTGTGGAAATCAGTGAAAATTGTCCTGAATAAGGGTAGTATGGAAATGAAGACCCCCTGGGTACGTGATTTGTGAAAGATAGATGTTTTTCCAACTTTCTACCAGTGATCTAAGTTTAGCAAAACTAAATGGTTGGGTTATTTTCATGGATTAGGGATTGTGGCTCCTATCCTTGGTAAAACTAATGTTGGAGCCACAGTGACTTTCCTTTATTGCAGCAGTGTTGCTTCTGCAGGACTGCACTGCTTTAAATTAGATGCTTTGTGAAACTTTCTCCTTAGTTTGTAATCTACCTTCTTGGATTGTTCTGTTCCTCTTTTAAGAAGAAGAAAAAAACCACTCTAATGGATTTATGGACCTTCATTTAAAGAACAAGAGAAGGGTCTCTGCACTCTGTGAATATATTTTGCCTCCGTTTTGTAAGATAAGTTTGGCTTTAACCAGAGACAGAGAAATCTGTACAATGAATAGTTTTCTCATTTTGGATTTGTTTTCTTTAAATTATTGTGCTGCGCATTAGGATGAATGAATGTCTCTTTCTTCAAAATCTATTTATAAAATTACTAATATATTTGAATAATTATTCAATTCCAGTATGAAATGCAAAGTATTTTGTAAATCTGGGTAGCGACAAGAGGGGCTTCTACGAGTACATCTGTGATAAAAAGAAAACTAGCTTCACATAAGCAGCCCAATGAGAGCCCTCTGTCCATCTAGCATGGCATCTCAGCAGCTTCCTATGATTTTTATTTCATGGGTTGTCTCCCATCTGCTTGTTATCCTATTCCATTATGGGACAGATTGTTTTTTCAGTGTCTCCTGAGTGCAGTTCACAGATCAGAGACATTTGCTTGTAGCTGCCAACATGACAAAGCTGTTACAGTGCTGACCTCAGAGTTGTATCTGTGCAGTGTTTGCCCATGGAGTACACAGGTTGTCCCCCCATGCCTGTAAGTAATTGTCAGATTTATACCAGGGAGCAGCACCTCTGCTTTGATCTTTTTCATTATTTTTCTCCTGTAGGAGCAATCTCAAAAAGAATGATCACATAAGTTAGGTGATTACTAATCTGACATTCATCTAGTTTGAAATAAATCTTCACAGGAAAAATGGGTTGTTTTTTCAACATCTGCATGTTTTTAGTAATGCTGGGGATACTTTATGTATCTGAATGAAATAAATTGGAAGTCATCAGTTATTTTTGCAACAGTGCCCTGTGTTGGTAAGCATAATGTGAAGTCAAGGAATGACTGGTAGATGAGGCTTAAGAATGATCTGTGAGATTATGTTGAGTAGGAAATAAGCTTTTACTGATTTTGTTTTACTTTATGCATTCTTTTAGAATGCATTCCGTGGGAAGTACCAATAAGATGAAATGAAGGTCTTCCTTCTCATCATGAAGATATTGATGATCTGTATTAGGTGGCTTGCTTGTTCTAATTATGTTAAGAGATTTTTCTAAAATGACACTGAAAAATGAAAGAAGTGGGTTCAGATGTTCTTTTTTGGGTACTGTGGCCTTTCAACCGTCTTCCATCCCATGGTACTTGTTAGCCTGCAGTGGTTGGTGTTCAGAAAAGCTCAGAAAGGGTCTGTTTGAAGGTTTGGATTTTTGTAGGGTTGTTCTGTTGTTTTTTTCTTTCATTCTTTCTTTGTTTTTATCAGGGAGGCTGTATTTCGAACATATGAAATGTTGTTCACAACCCTAAAATCACATTAGATGTTACAATGAAAGTACAGGTCTGTATATCTGCAATTACAGTGTATTTCATAAAGGATTCAGCTGCAGAACACAGTCAGTGGTAATTTAGTGAGATCTCCTGACCCTTGATGACATTGTGTTTCGTTTTGTTCTAATTTACTTGCAGCTGTGTTGTTCAGTTTTGAGTACTCAGGAATATGATGGAGAATGAAACTTCCTGTTTCTGTCAAAGCACATAATTATTGCTGTGAATAGGACTTTCTTCAGTGTTATGTGGTAATGGGCATTAATTAAAAGCCAAAATATAATTAATGGATCTCTTTGATGTAATTCATTTGTTCAGAGTATTGTGGAAGTGTGTGTTTTTAATTAAGTTTATCTGACCAAGAATTCAAATGTTTCTGATCTACAATAAAACTTGGATTAAATTTCCAATTTAATTTTTAACAATATGATTCATATACAGTTCATTGTTTTTTTTGAAAGAGGGAATATTTCATATTCAGACTTAATATTCTATTTGCTTTTTAATCTTTTCATTATACTTAATCATTAGAGAAGTGTATCTTCTTAGAAGGGAAAATAATTTTGTGCATCCCGAATGAGAGAAGGTAATTTCAGCTGCTGGTGAAGAGTTTTCAGTGTGTTTGAGCCAATGGGTTTTGACCCTTTGCTGGCATGTCCCCTCCCTTAGGGTCGATATAGACATTGTTTCTATGATATACACGTTTCCTTTTTGCTGTACAGATGTCACTTGAGTTCCCACATTATAAGAACAATTGCTTATTACACATAATCGTAGAATCATAAAATGGTTTGGGTTGGAAGGGATCTGAGGGGTCATCAAGCTCCAACCCCCCTACCTCATGCAGGGCCCCCAAGCTCTGTATTTAATGCCAGAGCAAGGCTGCCCAGGGCCCCATCCAACCTGGCCTTGAACATCTCCAGGGATGGGGCATCCACAGCCTCTCTGGGCAGCTGTTCCAGCACCTCACCACTCTCTCTGTAAAGAACTTCCCCCTGACATCCAACCTAAATCTTCCCGCCTTTAACTTAAGATGAGTTTGGGTAATACAAGGAAACTGTAAGTAAGATTCTAGCTTTATCCTGCTAGAATCAGAAGGCCTTCGATACGGAAACTAAGGCTAGCACAGTAAGGCTAATCTCCATATTGCCACAGATCTGCTGATGCTGAGTAGCATGCCAGTGCTTGCTAGGACTGAGACATTTTGGCAGAAATAGGGCGGACTGATGAACTGCAGAGCTCTTGGCAGAACAGAATCAGAGTCTGGCCTTCCCATTTCTGTCTGGTGGAGCTGCTGTGGGCTGAAGAGTGAGATTCACCTCGAGGGACCCGTGTATCTCTTACTCAGACTTAAATTCAGGAAATGCATTATCCTTCAAGTATGCCCAGTTGTAAATTCAAACTGAAGGAGGATGTCCCACAGTCTTAGAGTTCAAGAAAGTCTATCTCAGGTTTCAGTGTGTATGAGGAACTTCAGCATCATTTTGTGTACATCTTCACACATTCTTCTTGTTTTGCCACGTTTCTTCAGAGGAGATACAGAACAGATCACCATGGTGGGAGCTGTGGCAGTAGAGATAATGAAATAATCAGTTAGTTGAAAAGAGTCTGTAGGTACAGTGTATGTATGTGTATTACATGTATATAGAAACACACTGTTATTTGAGATCACAGTGTAACATGAAGACAGCGGGGTGAAAAAGCCTTAGTAGTGGGAATTGATAATCTTTTTGAGGTTTTTTTTTTTGTGGCAGACTTGCAGGAGTGAGATGCTTTATTAATTATCATGGCTATCATTTTCTTCTACTCTTTGCTTACAACCCCTATGTTTCATGCACTTCTAAGACTAGCTATAGTCATGCTTGTCAGTAGTTCAGACTCAAACAATGAATAAGAACATCTATTTTTTCAAAATGGGGCTTGAAGGGTAAAAAAGGTATCCTGTCATCTTACAGTACTGCCTCCTCAGCTTCGTGTGGTACAACATAGGGCTGTGATTTACTGTTGTTACGATTGATTGCTTTATATTTGTATTGTTTTGTTTATGAAACTCATTTTGTTGTACTGAACCATCACTTCGAGGTTTGTTATATTTGTTTCAGTGTAAGATTCAATGACAGCCTAAAATCTTCCCTTCTTCCTCTTGCTCAGTGAACTAATTTACTAGTTAATGTAGAAATGCCTATGCCTGCATGTGCTTTGCTTTTCAGATTTTTTTTGTTGCTTGCTTTTTCTTTTTTTTTTTTTCCTTTTTTTTTTTTTTTTGTTGCAAAGTTTTATACATCTATTTTCTCACCTACCATATCCTAGGGGGCTTGGAGTACCAATAATACAGTCAGCCCACCTTCCTGGTCCCCAGACATTTCAGAAGGTCGGGACATTTTTAAATCCAGACAGCTTCCTGGCAGTGCCATTTGGAGCATCAAAGTGGTAAATAATTTGAATTTATTTTTGTGTATCCGTTGCTATCTTTCTGCTGTAGAGACTACTGATGAAATTCTGTCTATCACAATTGAATTAATCTTCCATTCTAGTACTGCTTAACACGTTTAGAAACCATTAAAACTCTGGAGCTTTCAGATTAGAAGAAAAAGCGTGCTTTCCAGAGTGCACAATATGATGGCATTGCCTTGCTATTACAGAACAAAGGCTAGTTTGTATTAGCCATTTCTTGTGTGCTTAGCACTTCACTTTTTGTGGTTGGCTTTGCATAGCCATCAAAATAAGTTATAAGAGAAGGAAAATGTCCTTAAGTCTGGCAGTAAGGTAGGCCAGGCAACAAAAGGAGCAGAACTCTGAGCTGGGGCTTGAGTTTGTTGCTGTGGAGAAAGCCTGCAGAGCAGATTCGAAGTGACAGCCTTTTTAGCTTATGGGGGAATTAAAAAAACCCAGCTACCTCACCTGATTAGATGGACCAAAGCTTTTATCCACAGTGACAGTTACCATTCAAAATACCTTAAAAAACTTAGAGCACTTTTTTTAAATGACAAAAAAATCCTAAGTGGTGAAACACTAACAAACACTTGTAGGTTACCAATGATTTATTTTCATTTCACTTTAACACTCATGCTATTTTTATTTTGACATTAGCTTTTGCTGCTTCAAGCATTAATTTCAGCTTACTATTCAGCATTAACACTGATACAAGTACGTGCTTATTCCTATTACTAGCTCTGGAAAAATAACAATACTGATATGAAATCTGAAACATACAGATAAGAAATGTGTCAGAAGAGTTTACGTCTTAAAAATGTAAATTGATGCTTGTATGTTCTGTCTGTGCATATGTATTAACTTCATATATGTAAAGACAACATTATCCCTTCACTTCTACTGCATATAAATACTTCTGCCATCAATAATATCCTTCCTCTCATTTTCTAAAGTAGTGTTGCATTACTTTTCCTTATATCATAAATCAGTTTAATTTCTCATTACATTAATGGATAGATATTGAGAAAAGTATAATCTTCAGTATGTCCTTCTAAATATGACCATAAACTTTTATTATCTTCTTTACACCAGGAGTTGGTATATTTGAAAAGTACTGTTAGTAATATTGAGCCCATAATGCTACTTTCCATCCAGAGTTCCTATCTCTGTCAGTATAAACTGTTCATGTCTGTTGGTGACTCTGTCCCCACACAGATTTATGTTCAGTTAGCTTTGTTTCATTGAGAAGTGTTTTGTCTTGGTATTAAAAGCAACTTCTAGCAAATGTCTGGACCCATGCACGGTACCTCTGTAGGTAATCTGTGGACAGAGTTGAGCTATCTTAGAAGCAGAGATTATTCGCATACACAAAATCAACCAGTAATCTCATTGCTTATTTTGTAGTAGGAAATACATTTGCTTAAGTACATCCCACAATTACTGTCATGTTTCAGAGCCTTTGCTCTCTATAAACGTGCTCTGGAAAGGTATGTGACACATTGGCCAGCACTGGGTAAGGGACGTTGTCAGGATGTTCGTTTTCTTTCTGGAAGCAATTAAGGAGTTTGTCTTATAGTTTGTATTCAGCTGATTTTGAAATAACAAGAAAAAAAAAATCATAAAATTCAAACTGAGTCACAGGAGCAGTGTGAGGTAATTATTATTTTAAAAACATATTTGCTTTTCTAGAGCAAATTGTAATTGAACACACTTTGTGGATGCTCCAAGAGCACACAAGCACTGTATGACTCTGCATATAAAATAAGGAAGGGGGGAAAAGAAGCTGTCTAAAAATAAGTGGATATTTTCTGAGAGAAGCATACTATTATGGGGAGTTTTGATTTGAGTTTAATTGATATAATTAATATAAAAAGCTCTCTCTGTATGTGCTGAATTAAAGGAGTTCAGTGGAGCCAACTCCTGCTTCTCTTTGGGAGTAGGATTGAGTCCTAACAAATTCCAGTGTTTGCTTGATTATTCATAGTGAAAGAAATGTGTCTGTGATTGCAACTAATCAAGGGTCCGGGCCATATGCAGAATTCACATGAGCTGAGTGTTTAAAAAGAAAAATGAATCATGTAATGGAGGGTATTTACTTCGGATACTTTGCAACCATGGGAAAAAAAAAAACCCGTATTTCCAATTATTCCTGAACAGAAAATAAATGTTTCTGGTTTTGTCTGCTTTCTTACTGGTGATAATGGTGATCATATTAATTCATGTAACTAATTACAGGAGTTAGAGTTATTTCATAACTATGTATGCAGTAATTTGTTGACCGTGGCCTAGGGCACCCATATGCACTTGAAATCACTGGGTGTTTTATTTTACTTACATTTTCTCTAGATGTATTGAACAAGTTTGAATTCCTCAAAACAAAAGGACTGCAGACTGAATTTAACTTGTCATCTTACATTGAATAGGGCCGTGGATCAGGATTCCCAGGGAAGAGGAGGCCACGTGGTGCAGGTCTGTCAGGACGAGGTGGCAGAGGCAGATCAAAACTGAAAAATGGAGTTGGGGCTGTAGTCATTCCAGGGGTAAGAACACTTATTTTTAAGTCATGTTGTAGTCTGTGAGTGTAACGTAACGTAATTCAACTATAATTCTTTAATTAAAATGCTGTTTAAAGCCAAAGAACACTAAAAAGTGGAGGTATATGATGAAATCTGGTTATTATTACATATGTATGATTATGAACTACAGCACTAAAGCAAAATAAACCTGAAGCAATTTTATGCAGCTGTTGCCACTTAAAGAGACAACTGCTGGGCATCTTAGCATACTGCTTCTACTTCTCAAGTGGAAAAAATGCCAGATAAGTACAACATTCACTGATTGACAGAACAGGGGAGACTAAGGCATGTAGTACAGCAGCCTTAGCAGATTGGACCAGAGGTTGTTCTACCCTGGGACCAAACCTGACTGCTGAGGGAAGAGCACAGAACAGAAGAGCCACAGACAATGGGATACTTCTGTTCTGTCTGGGTTGGGGCCTTGCTGAACAGAAGGTGATGTCATTGCCTTGGACAGCTTCCATTGGAATTTTCTGTCATTAATTTGTGTGTGTACTTCTAAAAACTGCTAGTGACCATGTTAACCTCTTTCAGTTCTACAACTCGTGAGCCCATTGGATACAGGCACTCCTTTGCTTTCCATTGCTGCCTGCTTCTGAGAGCCCTTAGAGAAAAGATGGTTGAGAAGTGTATTTTATTATCTTCCTGCCACTCATTTTTATAAACATCTGTTGCTCATCCTTGTTTTCCTTCCATTTCTTCATTGCTAATCTGGAGAAACCCAGTATTATTTGATGTTCCTTGTATGAAAACTGTTCCATACAGTTGCTGTCCTTTCCAGTTGTTTTGGTGTGTTTTCCTGTGTTGACTTTGATCTGCCTTTTTATATCACAGAACTCAGTCTTATGAGGTTCTTAGTGCAGTTTTTTATAATTGTCATTCATTTTTTATTACTTTGAATATCTTAATATTGTTGGCAGGTTTTATCACCTTGCTCCATGTTCCAGGTTGTACATGTTCAACACCATGGCCTGTTAGCAGTCATCCCTATCAGGATGTTCACCCTTGAAAAATTAAAAAGATAATTGATGTTATTATTGAAATTGAGTCATTCACATGGTTATTTTGATATTAGAAAGCATAGGTTTGTACTTCAAGATAAGCCAGGTTTTATAGAACAGTGCTTAAAAAACATTGTAACACAGCAGAGAATATTCAGTGAGGTTAAGTGTTGTAACAAAAGTGACCATTGCTATTCTCAGTTTCCTATAGAAATTTGAACCTGTGACTTTTAAAATGAACAGCAGCTTTTCTACATCAGAACAGACAGCAACAATGTGGCTGTCGTGTAATAAAGTAGATGAAGGTAGCAATACGAAGAGAAAACAGCTTTTTCCAGATTAGTGGTTGAAATAGAAGTATTTCCAGCCCCTTTGCTAAACTTGTTCATACTCATGGGATGGTGACCATTGATCAACTACATGAATTTGGAAATCATTACATTTAAAGAATGGGGGAGAAAGTGGCTACAGGTTAACTCCCATTGGCTCATGTCTGGTGTTAAGCTAGCATCAAAGTTGCAGTAATTCAGTTCTTCACATTCTGCTCTTTTGTATGTGTAAGCAACTCTGAGAACTTTGTGGAATCTGTGGAAATACATGCATGGGAAAAAGTCTCCCTGAACATCTTGAGAGGTGTTTCAGGAGTTCTTTGGGTTAATTAGTTACAGCTGCAGAGCTGTCCACAGTACAGTACTTAAACCATATTAACTGTATGCTTATATTCCCTTCTTAGCTATTTCTCAGTAAATGCTGATTTTCAGCAACAGTGTATCAGAAAGGTTCCTGTAGCTATTGTAACAGTATTTATATTTGTCTCTAGTGATGTTTGAAGTTGTGAAATATTTAGAATATTATTTGAACAAAACTAGGTGTGTAAGATTTGAATTGTGTTTTTAAAATAATCCACACTTATAAAACTAGAACAGCTGGTAAAACAAAGTTACATTTCCCTAGCATGCATTTATCCTTTTTTTTTCATAAAACTGTACTCTTATCTTCTAAATTTTCATAGTCACTGCTGATTTGGAGAGTAAACAGCCTAAGTCTGTTAATGCAAAGTCATGGGTGGCAGATTCTGCACAGCAAGATTTGCATAGAAGTCAGAGCACAAAGCATTCTTTGATGTTTTCTTGTGACTCTCACAAAATCACTACGTCTTGCTTTCTTCTTTTTCTTCCTGAGGAGCTATATATATACATGCATACAATGAGTTTGTAAAGGCAATTGAGAGTAATGATGTTCTTAGTCAAGAGGAGAATGACAGTCTACAGTAAGGCTTTATATATTGAGATCAAACCAGAGGTGAATTAGTAAAACAATTTCTCATGAAGATAGCTTTCTATGAAAGACATATGCACATTCTGATATCCTTGTATTTTCTGGAATTAAAAATCAGCATACTTACAGGTTTCATGTTGTCTCACATCTTAAAAAATGTGATGTGCTTGCTAATTACCTTGCTTCTTTTGGTAGGTCACAACTATGGACATTTCATCTAACAAAGATGAAGAAGAAAACTCGATGCATAATACAGTTGTCCTGTTCTCCAACAGTGACAAATTCACTCTCCATCAGGTTAGGCTGTTAAGCTTTCATTATGTTTCATAGAATCATTAAGGTTGGAAAAGACCACTCAGACCATCTAGTCCAACCATCAACCTATCTCCACGTCCCTCAGTGACACGTACTCTTTTACTGAACACCCTTTTCTTGGTGACTTCACCACCTCCCTGGGCACCCTGTTCCGTTGCCTGACCACTCTTTCTGAGAATAAATTTTTCCAAATATCCAGCCTGATTCTCCACTGGTGCAGCTTGAGGCAAACACCTCTCATTCTATTGCTGTTACCTGGCAGCAGTGGTGACCCCCACCTCCTTTGAAAGAGTCATAGAGGCACTAAGGTCTCCCTGGAGCCTCGTCTTCTCCAAACTGAACAATCTCATTTCCTTCAACTGCTTCTCTTAAGATTTGAGCTCCAGACTCTTCATCAGCTCAGCTTCGTTGATCTTCTCAGGATGTGCTCCAGGGCTTTGATATCTTTCTTGTAGTGAGGAGCCCAAAACTGCACACTGTACTTGACACCAGTGCTTTTAATTAAAAAAAAAAAAAAGTAAATGTCATTGTTAAGAATTTCATCCTAAAGCAACCTAGTTGGGCTTTACTATTAAATATTTTCTGAATTTACTGTCTAATGTGTTGAAAATCTACACTTTTCTATAATTTCAGGATATGTGTGTAGTGTGTGGGAGTTTTGGCCAAGGTGCTGAGGGCAGATTGCTTGCCTGTTCTCAATGCGGTCAGTGTTACCATCCATACTGTGTCAGTATTAAGGTGAGTGCTTTGTTATTTAAGAGATTACTTAATTACACTGTTTTCATATTGTACTTTAATAGCACTATGCTGCCTTTGGTTTTGTGGTAATTAAGGGAGTCATTAACTTGTTAGATATTCTTCAGCTAATGTGACCATTATTTGTATGCAACTTGTGAAAGACTTTAATTAAATGCCATTTTATAGTATGCATTGCCTCAAGAGAAATTAACCTTTTTGTAATTTCACAACCATAAATAGTACTGATTATCCAGCAGTTGGTTAAAATAACAGTTTGAGATATCAGCTTAGAAGCTAAATACAAGCAAAATTAAAAACAAAGAAAAAAAATGTAATGCATCTTCATTTACTAGGGGCATAAGGTTTGGTTGATTCAATTTGTCTGTTGGCTGTCAGAATTGACAGCAGTTGGAGTGGTTAATTAATACATTTTTCTTTCATTAGTCTAGGAGAGAATGTGTGAAAATTAAATGTGAATGGTATGAGTTGACTTAGTAAGCAGATAATAAGCTATTTATTCCAATATATAAGCTATATGCTACTTACTATACAAGTACATGTATGTAAAACTGGGACTTCTTCAAACACATCACAGAACATTATTTAAAATGTACTTTACAAAACATCATATCATCGTCATGCATTTTTCATGCAGCTGTAGTCTGGTTTTTACATTTGTATGCTACTTTTACATTATTGGACCTCAGTAAATTTGCTTTAGGTGACTGAAAACTCAGCATTGGCTATCACAGGGTGATACTGCCCTACATGTAGACCTAGCACAGTATGTATTCTCTGACATTCTGAATTTATATTCCTGCAGAGTATCAGCAACTCCACAAAGTTCTTTTCTATTTGTTCCATTCCCACTTAGTGGAACTCCAAAAAGCCTAATTGAGAAATGGCTACTTGTGATGTGGTTAGTGTGAGTGGTAGAGCACCCTGTAGCCAGGCCTTAATTTATGCACTGGTTGTATTTCACAGAGCAGAGTTCAAATTATTTTCACCTTGCCATTTGCAGATTACTAAAGTGGTGCTTAGTAAAGGCTGGAGGTGCCTGGAGTGCACGGTATGTGAAGCCTGTGGGAAAGCTACAGACCCAGGAAGGCTGCTTCTCTGTGATGACTGCGACATCAGTTACCACACTTACTGCTTGGATCCACCCCTGCAGACTGTTCCAAAAGGAGGCTGGAAGTGCAAATGGTGTGTTTGGTTCTGGTATCAGAAATGCTGGCCTTTTTTGTTCCATTTTGTCACTTTATATTTGCAATGTCAGTTTAACTGTAATTGTATTTGAGTCAAGTGTATTGAAACAAACAAGATACTTTTGCTTTGTTTCATTTAGTTATCAATTCAGTATGGTTAGATTAGGTTGTGGTTGGACTTGATGCTTTTGAAGGTCTTTTCCAACCTGAGTGATTCTGTGATTCTATGGAAATTGTTGTTACCTTCTCTTAATAACCTTTCTTCATACCGGAAGCCACATAAGTAGAGGTGGACGGTATTTATTTTGAAACTTCTAGACAAAAAAAGCCACTAATCTACATTCACTGAAACAATAAGATAAATTAATTGGCATTACACCAAATTGCTCTAAAGTAAAACCCTCTGAAAACCATTCATGTTATTTGGGTGAAATACAAACCAAATAGACATCTGTGTGGCTAAGTGTCTCATGGTAAATGGCAACTGGAAGCAGGCACTCCTCTGACCTTGTTAAACTGTTACATACACCCATCTGCCTGTTTTTGCAGATTGAAAGGTCTTCTTACTTAGGAAACATTTAAAAAATTATGAAAAATACAGTAATGTTCAAAATCTAAACAATAATTCTTCATTCAAATAAAATATTTTGACCTGAAATAAACTTATTTCCTCCCATGGAACTAGTTTGTGACCTAAAACTGAATTATTTACCCAGTTCTAAGTTAGGAGAGCTTTAAAGCCACAGAACAGTTGTCTCGCGAACTGAAAGTAACAGATCGTTCTGTCTTTTCTGCAGGTGTGTCTGGTGCAGACACTGTGGAGCAACTTCACCAGGTTTAAGATGCGAATGGCAAAACAATTACACGCAGTGTGCTCCCTGTGCAAGTTTGTCAACCTGCCCAATCTGTTACCGCACTTACAGGGATGAAGAGCTTATAATTCAGTGTAGACAATGCGATCGGTAAGGATCACTGCTGTTCTGCAGGCTTTTTCTGCTTAAAGCTCATTTTATTTTTTATTTTTTCCCCCAGTATAAAAGCATAAAGATGAAGGGAATGGTCTTGTGGTAAAGAACACTGGACTGAATCTCAGAAGTGTTTTTTTTTTAATTTCATTCCTAGTTGTACTATGGATTTTATTACATGACTCTGGGCAAATTAATTAATCACTTTGTGCCTCATCTTCCCTGTCTGTAAAAATAAAATATAACTATAACCTCATAAGACTGTTGTGGTGAGGCTAGATCTAGATTATGTTGTATCAAATGAGTAGTTAAAATGATTTCAAATATAGGGAGAAATTATAATACCAAGATATATTTGCTTCTGGTACATTGCTTTATAAAGTTTTCCTTCCTGTGAAGGGAAATAGATAATCTGGTAGTCTATATACAGTATTTAACACACACCACTATAGAAGAATGTTGTGTATGGAGAACCTATTTCATCCTTTCTCCCTATTAAAATTTAAATTAAGCAAGTATTTCACATTTACTTGGACCATATACTGATATTTAGGTCTCCTAAAACACCACATATTTCCTTTAAATTGTATTTTTTCCCCCACTTAATTTCTAGATGGATGCATGCAATCTGTCAGAACTTAAACACAGAGGAGGAAGTGGAAAACATAGCTGATATGGGTTTTGACTGTACCATTTGTAGGCCATACATACCACCAACAAACGGTAAGAAGACAATTGAAACCAATGGCAGGACTGCACACTGCAATAAATAGGTTTGGGAATGGGTTATGGTTCTTTTCTGTGATGGAGAGTTGGCTTGTTGTAGAAGCAAGATCTTTATTTTTATTTTAAGGGCATCCTGGAAATGTCCTCAGCTCTTTCTCACCCTCTAGTAATTGGCTGCAAAGCCATCTCTGCAGCCAGAGACAACCTGTCAGGGAGAATTCTTGACAGATTTAGTGAAGATAATTTGGGCAAAGGACTAAAAACGTCTGATATTGAAAGGGATAAATGCATCTCACTTTGTCAAGAGGAAGGAAGAACGATCTTAATTGAAGAATATTGAAATAAATTCTGTGCAGAAAAACATTCCATATATCAATACTTTGAAGCCTTCTGAAGCAGCAGTATCTGTAACAACAGTCCATATAAGCATTTTTTCCCTCCAATCTTATAATTTATTAATGCCACCCCCTCAGCTCTCCCAGTATTTAAGACCTATAGTTCCCTAGATGTGATATTAAAAAATATCTCCATGTTTCCCTGCTTGAGATTCTCCATGTTTTTGTTAGTTAAAATACATATTTCTAATGAATTTTCGTCTCCTCTGGACATGTTTTCAGGAAACATACCGACTTCCTTGTCTGTAGTATGCAATTTCACAGCACTGGTACTTCAGGAGCTGAGGTTACTGTGGTTTTTCTCTTTGAGTACAGCTACACCATCTGGTTCTGTGGGATGGTACTGGTTAATTTTATAGTGAGTAGCTTGTCAGCAATTAGATTGGCCTATTAGATGATTTATGGTCTTGCTACAAGAATAGTATCCTGGGTCTGTTTTCTCTGCGTGTCAGCACACAGGAGTGTCTGCTTCAGTCTGTTGCTTTAACAGAACACTGACACCTCTACACATTTTCAGAATAATAGTATGGTAATGTGTTCATGTTAACCCTTTATTGAGAGTGTCATCAGATTTTGAGAACATGGTAGAAGGAGGGAACAAGAACCAAGCAGACGTTTAAAGAACAGAACACCAGGGGTAAGATTGAGATAAAAGGTTGATTACACCACAAGGCTTGTATTTGAGAGGTCTGCCAAGAAAAGGTCAGCAGAGATCTGAACTTCCTTTATACCTCCTGTCCTCATAACAATGTGGCAGTAATTGTAACTTAATGATGTGGCTTTGGAAAGTTATATATTTGCTTGTATAAGTTGATCAACTATATGTGTGTGGTTGTGGAACACTTCTAAGTATCCCACTTGTGTCATTGTTGGAAGTAAAGATTACATGTACTTACATATTTCTACAACTTGCTTCATGTGTGAGCTCTACTTTCTCAAATTCAAAACGAAATCAGTTTTCTAAGTGGGAAAACCAAGGAAATATAACAATTTTCTGTTTCTTTTGGTAATAATGTTTGGACACTTAAACACATATGTCCAAGTAAGGAATACTACCTTTTCCTTTTACTTACAAGCTTACAGAACTAGTGTTTTGGTGATAATAAGGTTCATAATTCGGTATGTGGAACAACTTCAGAAGGTGGTATCAGATGTTTAACTTCCAAGCCTAAACTGGCTCCTGAAAGAGTGCTTTCTGAAACCACCATGAAGATGTGTAGGTTCATCTTCTGAGGAATAGGAACCAGTCCAGCAAGACCTGTTAGAAAGTTCCCCACTCTTCTTTGCAATTTCTGCTCAGCTCTCTTATGAGACAAGTTTATCCGCTTTTTCTTTGTCATTTTGACTCAGTATGTGTAATAACTCTAACGTGTGTACATTTGCACCGTTGCATGTCTAAATATATCATTTGATGCATGTTCTAGAAATATTTGCATGTACTTTTATATGAAATGTTTCAGTGTTTTGTTAATTTTTCTACATTTGAAAATTCTGTGTAGTTTTTTGTTTCAAGATGAGAGAAACAAATGCTAATAGCATAAAGTTTCTTAGAGCATACCATATGGTAATTTTATTGAGATGGTTCTTTCTCTTTCCATCTGATGTACCACAGAGGATATTAATGTGTTGCAAATATTATTACAATTTTCTCTACTACTTTATTTGAAATGAATCAAGAGCCCTTCAACCTAGTAACTTATCACTACATAGCAGCTGGAAAGTAGGTGTATTTGTTGGTAGTAAGTAAATATCTTCTAGAATGTACGTATTGAGAAAGAGCTTCCAGTTTTCTCTCTTTAGAAAACAAGAACTTTAAGAGTTCTTGTCTGTGTCATCTTAAGAATATCAGATATGTATCTGATAATCTTAAAGTCATCTTCTTCATGAAATAGGAATAAAATATAAATAGTTTTTCTTTTTGAGCGTACATAAATATCTACAGCCAGCAGATGGTAAAATTTGTTCCAAAGTGTGCCATAAGTCTTAATTTGTATATTATTTTGCAATACACATCTTTGATCAGCATTTCATCATTGTTTTTAATATGGTCTCATATTAAAATAAAGAATCGTGGAATTATCTAGGTTGAAAAAGACCTTCAAGATCACCAGATCTGACCATGAGCCTGGTCTGCTGATTCCCATCCATGTCCATAGTGCCATGTCCATTAGTGTCACGTTCACATATCACTTTAATATGTCTAGAGATGAGGACTCAACCACTTCCCTGGGCAGCCTGTTCCAATGCTTGGCCACTCCTTCCATGAAGAAATTCTTCCTGATACACAATCTAGGCCTCCCTTGGCTCAACTTGAGACCGTTTTGTCACATCCTATCACCTGAGAAAAGCACTGCAGCCTCCTTTGAGATAGTTGTGGAGAGCAATGTGGTTCCCTCTCAGCCTCCTTTTCTCCAGACTAAACAACCTCAGTTTGGTTTTCTAGTACCTTCACTAACTTTGTTGATTTTCTGTGAACATGCTCAAGCAACTCAATATCATTATAGTGAGGGGCTTAAAAATGAACACAATATTTGAGGCATGATCTCACCAATGTTGTGTTCAAGGGAACAGTAATTTCTCTAGTCCTACTGGCCACACTTTTTCTGATGCAGGCCATGATGCCGTTGGCTTTCTTGGCCACTTGGGCACACTCTTGGCTCATTTTCAGCCAGCTGTTGACCAACACCCCTAGGTCCTCTGCCAGGCAACTTTCCAGCTGGTCTTGTCCCACCCCATACTGTTGCATCAGGTTTTTATCACCCAAGTGCAGGACCAGAATGTCATGCAGTTGGGCTCAGCCCCTCAATCCAGCCTATCCAGATCTTCTACAGAGCCTTCCTGCTTAACTTGGTATCATCTGTGAGTTTATGAGAGTGAACTCAATTCCCTCATCCAGATCACTGATAAAAATGTAGAACAAAACTGGCTCCAAGGCTGAGTACTGGGGTGCACTACTGGTGACCAGCTGCCAATTGGACTAAACTCTGTTCACCAGGACTCTTTGCACCCTGCCAACCAGCCAGTTCTTCACCCAACAAAACAGTACACCCATCTAGGCCACAAGCCAATTTTTGGGAGGAGAATACTATTGGAAACAGCATTAATAACTTAGTTAAAATCCAGGTAAGAAACATCCACAGCCTCTCCCTCATCTACTAAGCAAGTCATCTTGGAGGAGATTAGTTTTGTCAGGCAGGACCATATGTGCTGTGAAATGACATCTAAGATCTGCTCCCCCTTTCCTGGTACTTTTTGAATTAATAATAACTTTTTAATTAATAAGAACTTTGAAAGTTATCAGGATTATTTTTAGTGTTACCATGACTGAAGTACTGGCAACTGATGTAGGTAGCAGCAGCCTTTGTGCTGTAGTACCTCACGTTCAGGATGGAGATGTGCATTTCTCACTCCTGCAATCATACTCTCTCCCAGACAAGCAACTCTAAACCATCTAGCCATCATTTCTGCCTTTTACCATTGTACAACGTGGCTCCCCTTATGGAAGCCTCATCCATAAATTCCATCCCTTCAGTTCTGCCTGTTTTTTTTTTAGTGGGAACAGCTAAGGAGATCTGAATGCAAATGCATGTAACAGCTAGTTACAGCTCATGTGGTAATGTAAGACTTACTGTGTGTACTTTGCATTGCTTCTGTATCCTGTACTTACAATATTAGGAGCTAAAATTTTAAATTTTAATTACTTGGCGTGTTTATTATTTCAGCTGTTAGGTTCTTGTATGTCATAGTATTTGCACATAAATCCCTGCATCGCACTCGTAGTTATGTAGGCATCTAATATTACTCAGGTGTTGTGTCTCCACATCGACCACTTTGTACTGTCCCTTATGCTGATTTCATTTTTTTCCTAGAATTATTCCTTTCCATTGCAGCCTTTAAATTGCAGCCACCTTTCATTTTGAACTGTGATTATTCTTGTCATATTGGACTTTGTGCACTTTTTTTTTTTTTTTACTGAGGCTGCTGGATGCTGCATATCATTCAGCAGGTTTTAGACCCTTTGGAAAATAACCATATAATTTTGGTTGAACATCGGAGTTGATCAGAAAGCACTGTCCTTTCTTTGTTCTATTTTTTAAGGAGTATTTTTTTCCTTTGAACCATCTTAGTCTGACTTGGAATTCTTTTTTTTTTCTATTATCCATTTTATTGATTTAATCTTTTCTCTGCACTCTAATTAGCTCCTTTTATGGAAATTTGCTCAATACTGTCTTCAAACATTGTGCATCTTCTTTGGGCCAGTCTCTGAAGTCCTCACTTTGGTTGCTGTCAGCTTGTTTGTCTATTTCAAGTCTGTTCAGTCTCCAGCACTGAATTTGTTCAGTCTGACATGGATGAAGACTCCGTGTTGTACGACTTTTGTATTAGGACACCAAATTTCTGTTCACAGTGATCTTTGTGAATTTTTTGCTTACCTTAGAGTCCAGTTCAATAGTTGTTAACTCTGACTTAAAACAACTTGTAAACAACAGAAAAATCAGAAGATACCACTTCTGCCTTTGATTATCTCTTAGTATTTGCCTTTTTCTATTCCAGTTCAGAGTTTGTGAGTGTCTTCCATCCTGCAGCTCGTCCCATGTATTTTTTTGCTTCCCTGCAGCTTAGTATCTCCTTCAAAATGTCATTTTCACTTTTGTTTCTTCCGTGCTTTTTCCTTCTGTGTGTATCAGTTTTTCAGTAATGCTCATGGGCTCCTTGCATTTCCTAATTTTCTGTAGTTACACTTTCCATAAAACTTCCAGAGGACTACAATTCTTGAAGACATATTTTGTTTCCTTATTTCTTATGTATGCGTAGAAAAACATTCTCTAGATTTTGTATCCACTACATCCTTGTTTTGTATTTAACAAAGCGTTAACGTTATTTGGAAGCTTGTTCTTTTCTTAGTCTTGCCTTTGTCTCCCAGATTTGTGTGTGAGATTGGAGCACACATGCAACTGGTCTGAGAAACATGAACCTTCCTCACATGCTTTCCCTCACTGGTCTGGGCTTGTGTAGTAGATGCAAAAGTAAAACACTGGATGTTTGTCCAAGAGTTAAACTCAGCCTAGCTAAGATTTTTAGGGGAAAAAAAAAAAAAAAGTGAATAAACATTGAATGTATAGTAATGCTAACCATGTCAAACTAACTGTTTTTTTGTTTGTTTTAATTCTCAGTGTGAGATAAAAGCTTCTAATTTTCCCTGGACTTACTGTCTACATAATCTCTATAAAGTTACTACTAATATTAAAAATCTAATGTACATATGACAGGTTAGTGAAGCGTGATTAGAGTTATTGTAATTAATGCAGATGAGAGAAACATTTCTACCTGCAGCAGTAGTATGCTAGCACCAGAGGACATTTTGATCATCATTTGTTCTCTGAAGCATGCAAGGCACAATTTTGAAATGGAGCTTCTACTGTTCCATTGGTCAGTATTTTAATTTTGAATAAGAATGAACCTTTCTAACATGAACAAGTCACGTCTCATCTGCTCTAGGATGCTGTATCAGCCTTACTTTGTTTCTGGTATATAAGACATCTGACAGCATAGACACAGCTAGAAGTCAGTGCACAAAGCTGTTGGAGTCACCTACCACTTCTGGGAAGATAAAACAGCAAGTGATACTTGTTCATAAAGTCCTCCTGTTATTAGCATGTAGTTCAACAAAACCTGGACAACGTGAGTAGCGTAGGGGTTACCTTAAAATCCGCCAGATCCAGTGCTTGTGTTTGCCTGTGGTCCAGTAGGCGGAGATGATTTGTCATCATGTTCAGTGCTTTCCCAGTGCCTTTCTTGGCTCAGGCGAATTGGAGAACTTCAGCTGATGCCAGGCTTGTTTTGTAGTCACATCTTCTGGGACACTGAAAAGCCTTTTTTTAAAGGTGCTGGTGGAAGTTGCCAACAGCATTTATTAGGGAGTTTAACAGAACAGTTCGAAGGAAAACTACTTGAGAGTTTCAGTTAAATCAAGTCACTCTTTTTAAAAGTTGAAATGATTTTCCTTATATTTTTCAGTGCCTTCTTTGGACTGTTGTGATTCATCAGTTGGAGCTCAGATTATTTCAAAATCAAAAGAACTAGGTAAAAAATATAAATACTTAATCTTTGATCATTTAGCATATTGTAAGGGTATACTTTTACATCAGGCAAAAATTCCTTTTTGTTTTTATAACACATGACATTAACTATCCTTCCAATTATCACAGCATGCTTTTCATTTTTTTTCTACTTTCTTTCTTCTCTTTTGCTTGCCATACCCATGCTATATTAATAACCTGAGATTGTGCTTTGATTCTGCAGACTTAGTTGCTTGCCTTAATATTAGCAGTAAAAGATAACACAGTTTAGCTGAGTTAAAAATACATAAAGGATGAAATTGTAGGAGGACACAACTTTTCTGTGTTTGTCTAGTGTATGCTAGGAATTTACAATCTTGACAAGCCTACTGACAAGTAGTTTTTTATCATAGTCCCTAACACTTTCATCATGTTAGGATAGTTTCCATCATGTCAGGATTTTATTCTGCTTGATCCTGGTAGGTGTAGTTCTGAGAGAAGTTTGTCCCCTCTGATATCTGAAAAAACATGCAGTTTTTTTATGCAGTCTTTCTTAGTTCAACTTAAGAAAGCAATCATCTATGAAGAATTGCATTCAGAACCAGCTGTGTTTTGGGGTGCAGGATGCTACATAAGAAAATATTTGTTGTTAAAGAGAGCTGAAGTTATGATGTTCAGATGTTTTTCAAAAATCCAGTCACTACGCAATTGGGCTCAAAGTGCAGAAGCATCATTGCAGCCTCTTCATTACTGTGCATACCCGGAAAGTTCCCAAACTTCTAGTTGCAGTTGCTGGAGCAGATGGCTGAGACAGCAGTGTCTTTCTACACTGTGAAGCAAGGAATGAAGTAAAGAATTTATCAGACTCAGTTGTCATGCAACAGCTTCAGGAGGTAGAAGTCTTGCAGGTCTTGGGAGACTTGAGTTCTACTCAGTTTACATACAGGTCTTGAGCCATTCACTTGATATAGTTTATTTTTTGTCTACCTATAAAAGAGGGTTAATTATTTGCTTGATTCACTGAGAGTTCTACAAGAGTAAAGCTGAGTTACAACATGTATTGCTGAGGGCTTTGGCTGTTAAACAGCAAGGACCCAAACTAAGACTTGCTAACACAGATTTTTCTGTGTCAGGGATACGCAAATGCCCTGTAAGGCACCAGTTTCCATAATCAAATAGTTCTGTCTAATGAATTCTGGATGTAAGTTGTTCTGTAGCAATGTAATGGATGGTTGCTGGATTTGACATCAGACTGAATTATAAAGCTGTAACTGTAACATGTAAGACAGTATCATATCTCTCTGTTTTATTTATACTGACTTCCTCACTCATGAATCAGTTCCATACATGTGAATTATTAACTCTTAAAAGTGCTGTTCCTAAAGATCTAAGACTTGTAAATTAAAGAGTTTTATATTGCTGTTATGATTCATTTAACTTTTATAGACCCACCGAAGACATACACACAGGATGGAGTCTGCTTGACAGAATCCGGCATGTCTCAGTTACAGAGCCTAACAGTCACAGTACCTAGAAGAAAACGGACGAAACCAAAGCTTAAATTGAAGATTATAAATCAGAACAGTGTGGCTGTGCTTCAGACACCCCCAGATGCCCAGTCAGAACACTCAAGAGATGGCGAGATGGATGACAGTAGAGGTAGCAATGTTCTTTTGGCCTGTCTTGTATGTTGAGTGCTGCACTACATGTGTACGTTGCATACATCCCTAGGAGAATTTGTAACACTCATTTTTGTAAATTCTGTACTGAATGATCTGTGGGAATTGCTTGGACAGTAGTTATGATTTGCTGTTGAACAGTCCAGGGATTTTCTTACCATTGTTCTGTTTTTGTCATCCATGCCATGCAAAACGCTTTTCTGAGGCTGGCAACACTGGAAATAGGAATTGCCTCTTTGATCGTTGGATTACTTTAGGGAATACTGTGCATTTACTGAGTACAAGTGCATTTTGAGGCTCTCAACAGTGTGAACGCCATTTGAAAAATGGTGCCGTTGGCTCAGCAGTAGATTCCTTGAAGGCCTGTATTTGAAACTAAGGAGAATGTGAAATAGCTCTTTACTTGGAGTATTTCTTTTATAAGGTGGGCTGAACTGAGGGGAGAAAAATACTTTTTGTTTGTCTTTATCTCCAAAGTAGAATTTAAGACAGAATTTGAGTTTGGAAGTGAGTTCTGAGATGCTCTTGTTCAGGTTGATGACACTGTACGTAGAGACCTGCCAAATGGTTTCAGTTTCCACGGTAGAGTATCCATTTAATTTGGAGGTAAGAGGCAAGTTAACAGTGCTTGCAGAACATCTCAGACTGGCGAGGGATGAAGGGGTCTGGGCTAGCACTTGCCTATCCAACCACCTCATTCTGTGCATGGGAATGAGATTTTAGTAAATTGTAGAAGCCTTTAGGAGAGCTCCTTCAACTGCATATTTGAGCATGGAGCAGACTTGTGTCACAGGGGCCAGCAGTATTCATTCTCATCTCCTTCTCTCAAAGTGAAGTGAGCACAGCAGCCTGAAGGTGGGAGTTGAGGGAGAGAAAAGAAGCCCCTAGGAGTAAGCAACCTTCTTTATACTTTAAATCCTCACTCTTAAGCAGTAGAAACAGCATCCAGCATGGTGCAATACCATTCTCCCATCCTCTTTGCCATAGTCTGGCTGTATATTCTGATAAGTATGTTGGTAGGATTGGTGTTAATCCATGGCCTGAGGAAAGGCTTACTGGAACAGCAGGTGTGAAAGTTATTACATTAGTCATGCAGGTCTCTGTTACGAGTGGAACATAGGCACCCCACATCACCACAATCTAAAGGGCTCTGTTTATGCAACATTGCCTTGTTGTTAATCAGATTAAATGTCATAAGAAGCTTTTTTTAGATACAGAGTGTGTGCTTGAGATAACTGGGTAGTTCAACCGTCAACATAGTTTCCATCTTAACTTGTTGATGTAAGTATTGTTCCTGTTGTTTGATTAGCACATTCTTAACCTTCTGCTACTGACTATAGTTTTTTTTTAAATAATAGGTTCCCTTTGCTTATAGCCTTTGAAACAGTTAAGTAGTAGATTTTCTATTGTTTTCTTTGGAAATCACAGTGTTTGGTATATTATCATACCACTACTCTGACTCTTATTCATCTCATGGCTTCGTACAGTCCACCAAGTGGGTTGTTGAAAGGAAAAATGCTTTCAGTTTTGGTTTGAAGGCATCAAGACAGAGAAGTAACCACTTCTCTTGTTCTTTCACAATGGTTGATCATCTTTACTTCTACAACTGTGTGCTTGTATTCTATTTAACAATGATAACTTTCTTACCTGCTTGTTGACTTTTATATATACCCTTTTCTACTAGATACCGAGATACTTAAATGTAATAGCAGGGTATGATGATAGAATCAAAGCTTCCACGGACTTTAATTTCAGTTCTGGATTTCTTCTGTTGTGTTGGTTTTTTTGTTTGTTGTTGTTGGTTTTGATTTTATTGTTTTGGTTTTGTTTTTCACTTCCCCTGGAAAAAAGCAACCAAAGTTTATGTGCGTGTTCCATAGATGATTTTTTTATGTACTGAGAACCAAAGCGTGTTCACGTGTGGCTGTAACTGTATGTAAATGGTAGACTGGCTGGGTTTCCTGGAATCTCTAGTCAGTACTACATGCACTCTGAAGAGTGGATCAGTCCCTGTTCTCTGAAAGACTGAAGTTTTTGTGTGGGCATCAAGCTGAATAAGGCTATGCTGCTGCTCTGATTGAAGCAGTGTGGTTCAGTAAATCCAGGTAAATACAAATGGTGTGGACGTCACCAAGTTGAGTGGTGCAGTTGATACAATAGAAGGAAGGAAGGAGATCCAGAGGGCCAGGACAGGCTTGAGGAGTGGGCCCACATGAACCTCTTGAAGTTTAACAAGACCAAGTGCAAGGTGCAGTGCTTGGGCCAGGGCAATCCCAAACATTGGTACAGACTGGGGGATGAATGGATGGAGAGCAGCCCAAGTAAGAACGTAAAGGGGCCTACAGGAAAGCTGGATGGGGACATTTTTTCAGGGTGTGTATTGACAGGACCAGGGACGATGGTTTTAAACTGAAAGAGTCTGGGTTTGCATTAGATACAAATAAGAGTTTTTTCACTCTGAGGGTGATGAGGCACTGGAACTGGTTGCCCCATCCTTGGTGGTGCTAGGTTAGATGGAGGCTAGGTTAGATGGGGCCCTGCACAGCCTGATCTTGTGGGGCGGTGTTCCCTGCCCATAGCAGGGGGCTGGAAATGTGTGCTTTTTAAGGTCTCTTCCAACTCAAACCATTCTGTGATTGAAAAGTCAGTGATGGAGCCTTTGAAAGAGCAAGAGTTGTAGTTGTACCACAGCTGACATGGTATTATGGTCCACTTCTGTCTGTTATAGGACTGAATAGACTATAAGGCTATATTTCTTGAACTATATTTCTCCTATTCACAAACGTATGCATAAATACAAAGCAGAAAATTTGTATTTTGCTATTTTTTTCCAGGGACTATTGTATATTTACCCTAGGTATTTCAAAAACTTCACAACTTAATGAAGATGTAAGGTCATTATTATAATCACACTTTAGAGATGCCAGAAACAGAATTAACTGAGTTTCTCTTCAACACTAAAGGCTTATTAATGCTCTTATCTGTTTTTGACCTGCAGTCCTGTAGAATATAAACTCGAAATAGTGATCTTTGTCTTAAAAGCTGAGTATTTCTGTTGGGTTGAATTTTCTGTTATATAAGTCAAACTCCTGTGCATAAGTAAGTCTGCTTTCAGTCAGTCACACAGCTTCAAGTCAAGAACCCTTCATACTAAGAGTCATTATATATTATTTTCCATCTATAGGCTGTATTTTTTCAGCCTGTCTTTGCAATGAAAACAAACTCAACCAAACATAACTTAGGTGGAAGGTAAACAAAATCTATCTTGCAAGTTAGATGTATTCCTCAGTGTATTGTTAGAAATTGCTTAAATGCTTGGAAAATGCAGCACAGGGTACTGAAAGAGGTGCCTAAAGTGATAAATCTCAAGATTCACATGTAATAATGATAGTGTTTAGTCACTGGTGTTGATATAACCTCACAGGAAATTAAGGTATATGCTGGGTCTTTGTGTAGTCAGGTGGCTTTCTCACAAGTGTCGAAAGAGCATGGCTATTTATCATCCTCCTGAAAAAACTGTTATTCTCAATAATTGTTGAGGAAACATTGAGATGTGTGCAGTTTGGGAAAATGTCTTCCCCCCCTTTTCCAGTTGAACTTAGCATTGTATCTTTTCTGCAGAGGGTGATCTTATGGATTGCGATGGGAAATCCGATTCCAGCCCAGAACGGGAAGCTGTGGATGATGATACCAAAGTGGCAGAAGGAGCTGATGGGATTAAAAAAAGAAAGCGAAAACCATACAGACCTGGTAGGACACACAATTTACATAATTGTGTCACTTGTTTAGCTCTTTTTTTCTGTATCATTAAAAAAAAGAATAGGAAAAAATGTGAAATTATGAAGTGTTCTCTTGCTAACTGGTGGTTTTATTGTTTTAAAGTTTTTTACCAAATACTTTTCCAAAGGTTGCTGCATAGTAGTACAGCTGCAATAATATGTTGTCAATTAGTGATTTGTAGTTTGAATCTATACCTTGTTACTGATTCTTAACTCAATAGGAAAATGTACTCCATTTATATCATCAATGGAGACCAGTTTGTGAGTGTGTATACATCTTGAAGTATCTGAATTTCAGAGAACTTTCCACTGGTATCTTACTTTCTGAAATCGTTGATAAGAGTAACGTGCTCAACATTTGTGGAGTACTTCTGACAATTAACTTTAATGAATGCATTCATTGGATGGAATTCAGTTATTTTAATTTATCAGTGCCATCAGCTGTTAATTATTGTGTGGAATAACTTGTGTCTTGAATGCAGAACCTCTTGAGCTGTCTCTTGACAGACGATACCTGAGTGACTGTGTAGAATGTAGCTCTGTTTCTTTTAGGTCTCATTCTGAACCCAAGATAATAAATAAGGTGTCCTTAGACAAAAGTTGCCTTTTTGAGGAGCCCCTACATCACACTCCTCAGTGTCTGTGCTAGTGCTGCTTTTGTTTTTCATTATGCAGCCTCTCACTGGTGTGGGATGATGAGCAGATTGTAGTCGTTGCAGTCACAAATACTCATTTCAACAGACACACCCATCCTTCTTACTGTGATGGCCGTATCCTCTGATTATGAAGATAGCAGAGGAAGAGAAAGGAAGCAGGAGTTAGAACACGATCCAGCTTCACTTGCTTCTCTATCAGTAGTTAAACAGCTTTTTCCACCATTTTCCCTCCCCAGTGCTGTGCAAGAGTCCTGTCTCAACAGGTCAGGCCCATGTGCATTCTGCCTTCCATGATGGGGGCACCATATGGAAATGGTGTGCAAACCCACAGCTCTGAACAGAGAGCTCCTGTATCTCTACAAGTAATATATCTCAATAAGCCATTTATTTCCACTGACTCGTCCTCAAGAGAAGAGAGCTTCATTTGCTCAGAGTGGTTTTGGATCATGAGTTGTTAAGCAGCCATCTGTTAGTTTTCTGCAGCCAACAGTTTCCCTGAAAAATTTAACAAACCTGAGTTTGATGCATGTACGTACCTATAGACCAACTGTAAAGGACCAAGAGCATTGCAGTCAATCATTAGTGAAGGATTCTGGAGTTTCAGCCAGTATCGTGTTGGTTAATTATCTTTTCATTATGTGGTACATCCTTATAATACTGTCATTTGGAGTGGTGAGCTCTCCAGAGCAATTTGAATTTTCTTATGACCCCTTAATGTTCTTTAATAGGTTTCATTTAGTAGATTGACTAATTTTAGCAATTCATCAGCTTGCCAAGGGAGGAGAGAACCAGTGTCTGAAAGTCACCAGGTTTGGTGATTTAATCTTCTTGCAGACGTATTAAAGTCCTAAAATTCTGATCCTTACTGATAATTACATATATACCCACTGAGACATAAAAATTAAGAAATGAAAACTCCTCAGGTACGTAGGATTTGTTCATCTCTAGATGCAGTTGTCCCTTTTACCTGCAGAATAATCCTGGCTCTCATTCTTGCTGTGAAATACAGTTTTAATCAGTATATTGAAATTTTGCTTCCTTTTTAGGTATTGGTGGATTTATGGTACGTCAAAGAAGTCGTACAGGGCAGGGGAAGACTAAAAGATCTCTCTCTAGGAAAGATTCTTCTGGATCTGTTTCTGAGCAGTTGCCTGGCAGAGATGAGGGTAAGTGCAGAAATTTGCTTTTAATTTTTTGTTCATGCATAGTAAAGTAAAAATAGTGCAACTTACAATGTATGGTACTTTCTGAAGATGTAATGTGAAGGAAGCAGTTTTTAGTGTTTGTTGTGATGACTTTTTTTAATGAACTGAAAATACTCATTCCTACGCACATACAGTTCTGGCAGAGCCCATGATTTACAAAGAAATTGAAACAATTGCAGGCTGTTGTTAAAGCTAAACAGTGTGAATTGTAGGGACTGTTGTGTTGTGTCAGAGCTCTAGCTTAGACAAGTAGAAGGTAGAAAAAAGTGTAAGAAATGAGGAAGGATGAGAGCAATTCTTCTGATAAGCCTTTCTTCAGACATCATGTAGATCTAGAGTTATCTACTGGATCATGAGTTTTAATATTCACCAATGTTGCATGTTACACAAAGATGTTAGAGCTTTTTTATGCATCTGTTTATGCTCTGTGAATCCTGTACTAGTGAGTTCAATGATATTTTTATTGTTGTATGAAAAAGTAATTACCTTTGTTCATTTTAAACTGGATATGTGAGAGTTTCGTAAGATAGTCTCAGAGTTTGTTATGTTTAAAAAAATCAGTATTAATTTGTAATACTCTAAGATTCTCTAGATGTGTCATATTTCCCCCCCTTCAGTTGTCATCTTTTCCAGGGCTGAAGAATCCTACTTAGTTAGGTCTCTTTTCTCACCATGAAACCACTCTGGTGCCTCTGATATTTTAATATTCAGTGGATTGGGCATTAAACAAGAAGTCAGGTGTTGCTCCTAGGACTTGTTCTCATGCTTGCTATGTGTAATTAGACTAATTATTTCATCCATCTGGGTTTTTGTGCACTACATAGCATGGTGATTATATTTACGTATTGTTGAGGTGAGATGTGGAATGTATTTAGTTCAGTCTGTTTCTTATTATCAGTAGAAAGAGGCAGCTGCTTCTGGAAATTGACTGATACTATCTTAGAGGACTCTGGCCTTCAATTTCTGCTGTTATTCTTTCCTGTTTGCTGAGCTATTCAGTTTGAAACATGGTGCAGACCTATATTTACTGCAGTATGTAGTCAGTATTAAAACCGAATAGTTTTTTTTCCTTATTTGCTTTTGTAGAACTACTTTATGAAGTCAGCAATCGTTGCAACCCAATGTAGTAGCTGGATTTCTGAACAAAGTTCAGAAAAAGGGTTTGCTTTCTCTTCACTATTCATGTTAAAGATATGTTTTCCTGCTTTGTAGAAACTGTGATATGCTAAGTTGTTTTAGATACTGCAGAAAAATTTTGGATTAAAAACTTTCAATTCATACATAGATACATAGGTATTTTCTCCTTTGAGTTTAAAAAAAAAAAAAAGTGAAAAAGGTTGAAAAGTTAATTACTCATTCTCAGTAACAATGCAATGCTTATTGTTAAAAAGCAATATTCTTCAGTTAAACAGTTAAGCTTCTTGCTCAGGCACAATTGCTTGTTAAGAAAAAAATAACTCAGAAAATCTTTGTATGTTTTAAATCATCATACCTTGCTGAGAGCTTCCTCATCAGCCTTACAAAGCTGTTGGGACACTTGCCATATCCCACTTCCTTTTGCTGCAAAAGCTCTCTCTTGAACAACGCAGAGGTCACAGTGTTGGTGAGCCTCAGTCTACTCACTGTCCTGTATATGGTGCAAGAGATGACTGTAGTACAAAGTGTGGCAGATTTTACTACATTATGTATTTTTTTAAATAACTTCCCAGGATCATTAACTCCTTGTAATTAGCTTTTGCAAGGGAGAAGTGGAGGACTTAAAAAGTTTAGTTCTTCCCCTGGTGTTTTCACTGACGTGTTGAATTAAAGCATTGAATGATTGATCAACACACTGTTCTTTTGTGTTCATTAGGGAAAAATGCAGTGCAGCTTTGTATTTGGTGGCTGAATAAACGTGTAATTTTTATTGAAGGACTTGATAGATTCCTGGTTTTTTGATCTGTGCATCATTTCTACAAGCCATATTACAGGTTTTAAAAAGTGATTTGTACTTCTAATTTGAGAAAGATTGGTTTATAAGCAGGAAGGTGATCGACATGTAATTCTGCAGTGTAGATTTTGGAGATGCTGCTTCAGTAGAATTCTCTTTCAAGCTGGTTGAATGGTACCCATAGTTTTCTCAAATGACCACATTTTTAGGTTGGGTTAGAGACAGAAAAATTGAAGGTTTACCTACAGGTGATATGATAAGATCATGATGTGTCTACTGTCACAGATGACATTTCTGACTTCTTCAACCCAGACAGATGATCAGTTTCACAGCTGTCTAGATGAAAGTCACCTTTAGAAGATACCTAGAGAAATATTCAGATTAATTCAGATAACTCAGGCCCTCAGAGAGATGGCAAGATTTGCTACCACTCTGCCTTTTGAGAAAGACCAAGAAAATTTTGTTTATTTGTTCCTGTTACTTCTACAGGCTGGACAGAGCAGTTGCCTGACACTCCAGTTGAGGAGTCTACTCCAGCTTCTGAAAGTACTGAGAAAATAAAAAAACGTTACAGGAAAAAGAAGAATAAACTTGAAGAAACTTTTCCTGCCTATTTGCAGGTAAAACTTTCGCTGTGCTTTGTGTGTATAAACATTTACATACAAGACCTTTGTGTCTGTTGAGTCATAGGTCATTCAAACCATATTTCTTTTCTGACTACCGATTTTTCATTGAAATGGTTTTGCAGTTGGGCCAGAGGAATTCCAGGCATATATTCAGACTGAAAGGAGCAATAGCCCTGCAAAGAAGGACCTGGGAGTCCAAATGGGTGGAGAACTTAACATGAGCCAGCAGTGTGCTCTTGTAGCTTGGAAAGCAAATGGTATCCTGGGCTCCATCAGAAGAGGGGTGGCCAGCAGGGACAGGGAGGTGATTGTCCCCCTCTACTCTGCTCTTGTGAGGCCCCATCTGGAGTACTGTGTCCAGGTCTGGAGCCCCCAGTACAAAAAATACAGAGAGCTGTTGGAGAGGGTCCCGAGGAGGGCCACAAAGATGATGAGGGGACTGGAGCAGCTCCCCTATGAGGACAGGCTGAAGGAGCTGGGCTTGTTCAGCATGGAGAAAAGAAGGCTTCAGGCAGTACCTGAAAGGAGTCTATAAACAGGAGGGGAGTCAACTCTTTGAAAGGGTAGATAACAGCAGGATAAGGGGAAATGATTTTAAGTTGAAGGATGAAAGATTTAGGTTGGATGTCAGGGGGAAGTTCTTTACAGAGAGAGTGTTGAAGCATTGTCACAGGCTGCCCAGAGAGGTTGTGGATGCCCCATCTCTGAAAGTGTTCAAGGCCAGATTGGACGGGGCCCTGGGCAGCCTGGTCTAGTATTAAATGGGGAGGTTGGTGGCCCTGCCTGTGGCAGGGGGGTTGGGGTTTGATGATCTTTGAAGTCCCTTCCAACCCAGGCCATTCTCTGATTCTGACTGTGTGACTTGGGTTTTCTATTAGGAATGTTTCTAATTTTGTAGAGAAAGCAGTGTATGATGTTAAATCCTCTCTGGTGTCATTTCTCATTGCATAGGCTTCTGTTTGTTCTGAGAGAAAAAAAAACACCTTTCTTTTCTCTCTAAGCTGACACAGGGCATTTTCAGCTTGTCTTCTCGTGTACTGCACTCATCTATGTCAGATGTCTTAGCCTGATAATGACATTTACTCTAGACAGTACTTCTTCTTGACAGATTATAGAATCTGATTTTATAGGGGAAATCCATATATATCTATCTATAGATATATATACAAATCTATTTATAGATTTGTGTTTTCATATGCTCTTCATCTCCCCACCACAATGATCCCCACTCTTTTACCCACCCATTTCTAATGCGATATCCCCAGAGGTAAGAAGTAGTGTTTGTTGATCCTTACGAGTGTGGATAAATACTGGGATGTTAATGTTGATTGACCAACTTAGCTGCCCTCAACTGGTTTATAAACGAATTGCTTTATATCTTCCACTGAGAACATTATGTGGCTTGTTCTTCTCAGCCTCCTTTTTAATGAAAACCTTATTGTCTTCTAGATATTTACCAAACTTCAAACTAAATCAAGTTGGAAAGGAAAGAACTGGGAGGAGGCAGCACAGTCTCTGTAAAAATAATTTGTATTTCATAAGCATGGAAGTGAGCTGGAAAGAAAGTACTTTAGCAACATTTCCTTGCTATTAATAAGAACTCATATTTTTTTCTTAATGCACCATTTATTCATAATAAATATTTGTTTCTTTTTTCACTCACTGGAAAAAACTGATACTAAAAATCAGTCTATGGTTTAATTCTAGCCGTTGTATCATAAATCAAGATTTTAAAGACTGCATGAAAACAGGAGAAGTTGTTATGTAGAAATTGACTTGAAAATTTACTAGACTGATTATTGTCAGATTACCCATGTACTCAGGTTTAGGTGAGTGGTAGCTGTTGCACAGTATTTTGAATGTGAAATATATGTTTAACATTCAGTGTTTTGTTCCTCCATCTCTGGTTGGATGATTTTATATTAGTTGAAATCCAGCCTTTCACTGTTCTGGCGTATGTTTGTCATGAACATTTTGTTTGGTCATGATCAAGTTGTTCAGTAGTATTCTTCAGTCATTTTTCTGCCAGAAGAAATCCTCCAAGTGCTGAAAACCTTTCTGAGATATATTATGTATTGCTGCGAACATTTTTGTATGTTTGTAATAACACTGTATTGTTACAGTGCCATACGTATGTAAGGAGGCTTAGAAGTTTTGCTGTATAATTTAAGGTGTGAAATGGAGGTAGTTATGTAGCTACTTTAGGTAAGTGGTAAGCAGTGTATCCACACCTCATAGCATGGAAGAAGGACTGCCATACGGGATAGAGTGTGGAACTCAGATCAAAATCATTGATGTTTTCATTTTAACTTTGCTGTTTGTGTAACTTTTTCAATAGAGTGTTTTGAATCATTTTGTCCTCCTTGCAGGAAGCTTTCTTTGGCAAAGATCTACTAGATACTAGTAGACAAAACAAGATGAGCCTTGATAATTTACCTGAAGAATCACTTCCACTCTCATGTAAAGCAAATTTGGCCACGAGTTTCCTGGATCCTTCATCTGACCCTCTTCTTAGCTCAACCTCCACTCCAGCTCAGGCGAAACTGGGACCTCAAGGTATACAAAGCTGAAGTCAGTGATAACCTGCTAGTTTGTTTTTATTACAGCTCGAACTCGTCCACAATTTTCTTTCAAAGTGCAATTGCCATCTTTTTCAGCATTCTGTATTTTATCTTGCAAAGTAACGTTTATAATGAGTTACACCCAGCTCCAGGACATTGCTTGTTTCAAAAGGAGCAATTGATGGACTAATCGGAACTTGATACAAATCTGAAAGTGTTTAACAGTAACATTCACATCTGTAAAAGTCATGAAAATGAATTCCATCCAAGAATACATGTACAAATGCATTATAAGAGAATACAAAAATACTCTGATTAAAAAAGCATTCTTAGAAGTGTACTGATGATTAGTCAGGTAAGTATCATCCACCTTTCGTCTTATTTAAAGTTTTAGATTCTTTTAGGCTGCCAGTCTCCTCTCTTCTTCCTGTCCTTTCTGAACATGAGAACCCTTTCAAGGTACAGTTTATTGCCCCTGGGCAATCTTTTGGTTTTGCTTTCTCTTGCAAAACTTTGCTGGAGATATTATTTGAGAGATTTACAGATAGCCAGAGGGTTATAAGTATTGCTGAAAGGACAGTGTCATGGAAAGGAACAATTAAAAACTTTACTGTCTTCTCCACATACTTTTTTTTCTTGATGTCTTGTAGTGTTTGCTCTGTGCTAGAGGTGTCTTACCATTCTGTATTTTTTTTAGCTGTTACTGGTTCTTCTTTACATGGGTTAATTTGTCACACTTGTTTCAGTTTATCCTCGCATCTTTTTCCATCTAAACTTTCCAACACCCAGCAGTCCTTTGCAGAGAGATCATTTATTTGTGATTGTTACATAGCGAAAGCCTGCTAAGTGAAAAGCAAAAGGCTATAGTATAATTAAGCATTGATTGTTATACACTGGAAATTGTGAGTAATAGAGAATACAAAGGTTAAATTCTCCTTAAGGGGAAACCACTGAAAAAGAAGTGTTTCAAAGTCTGTATTTCATTGGTTCCAACTCTGCAAGAAAATGTATTTACATAGACATTTTTTCACCTAGGCATGCTTTGAAGAAGTACAGATTCAAAGGTCTTTGTCACCATATCAAACTGCATGATTAAAGTCATTAATGTTCATGTAATAGGATAGTATGAAGTGTTAGAATTGTACAAACTTGATGCTTATGTAATGTTCTATTTTTCCAAGAAAAAGGAGATTAAAAAGGGAGAATTTTTTAAAGCACGTTCTTTGAATAAACGAAGTTGTAAAACTTCATAATTTCATCTTATTTTTATATAGAAATAAATTATAAGGGTGTGGTTATTAGAAAATAAATAAATTACTAGCAACCACTGATGTGGATAACCTACTGTCTTTCCCATTTTATATGAGAGGCTCAAAGGACAGTATTTTTCTGGCCATAAGAACATTCTCAGCAATGGTATCTCCAGTGTTAGGATTTCAGGCCAAAACTGTGTCCACACAAAGCTGTTTGTTGCGGTTGGAGAGCCAGCGGGTGAAGTCATCTGCCAATTTTGATCGGCTCCAGTGCAATTTTTCTTAACTCTTCTGCTGTGACTATGTGGAAGACAGTCATTTCCACAACAGGATCTCCGTGTCTGGAAGAGCCAGATGCAATTAGAGTGATGGAGACCCTCATAAATTTGCTAATTATTGAGCTAGCAACAGTCACATTGTCCCTTCTGGCTAGCATTGCAGAGGAGCTGGTGGTGAGAGCAGTAAAAGAGCACCTGTGCTATTTTCATCAGTTTGACACAGACCTGCTTTGTTCACTGCACCAGGAGGTGGTAGGAGCATGTTGTTGCTGTGTTATTTTCCTGCAGTGCTTTTTGTCACAATGATTGCTAACTCGGTGAGAGTCCATGCTTAACTGGATAGATCTTTCCCACAAGGAAGTTGTTCTTCTCTGGGAAACTCTAATTGATTGAATCCAGAGATAAGGGTTAGATAAAGTTCATCTTCCAGAGGGCTCTCAAGCATCTGAAGAAGTTACTGGATCTGCTTTGCTTTTCAGCATGTATACAGGGCTGCTAGGAAGTTAACAGTGATGTTTTCAGCTTCCTAATGAATTTACAGTGTATTTCAATGACATTCTGTGACTATTTATTCTTAGAGCTTCATTAAGGGTAGCCAAAGCTTTGGCCAGTAGTGATGGCAGGTGGCAGAGCCAGCCAGAAGAGTGTTTGTGGAGTCTTTTCTTCACTGCTTTACTAGTTACTGGTTACTGTGTTTGAAGCTCTGATTTTTGTCTGGTAAAGAAGCTGCAATTTGTATCTTCAGATATAAGACTCCTCTCTCCCATAACACAAATGGCACACCAATGTGGTGTATTTTACATGGTACCAAGCCTTAAATACATTTAAAAGAGAGCACTGGAACAGAGTGTAGAGGCTTACTTGCTGGGAGCACCAGATCTCCAGAGTACCTGACTCACTGTTGAGGATGAAGACGATGATGTGTACACCCTGACTGCTCTGGGGACTCCTTGTGTCACTCTTGGGATTCTTTACCTGACTGTGTCTCTTTTAAAAAAAAATAAAATAAAATACCTCTTGGCAAGATGTATTCTGTGAAGGTTCTGCAAATAAGAAGGAATGCTAAGGGAATTCTTCCTGGACAAAAAGAGAGGGGTCTTCACAACTGATTCCAGTGCTGCTGGGATGTTTTGTAACTAGATAGATAGTGTTTCATTGAACACGTTAGTGTGACTGCAGCCTTGGGAGAGGCATTTTTTTTCTTTTAACGTTTAAAGTAAATACATCAGAGGAGTCAGGATCATGAGATTAGCAATAGCGCAGTGCTCTGTTAGAGATCCTGCATTACAAGCAACTTATTTTCCTTTTAGCCTTGTCTTAGTTTACATCTCAATTCTGAAGAGTCAAATTAATGAGCAGTATTGAGCTATTTATTTGGCACCAGATGTCAACCAGCTATTGATTGTGATCTGAAGCAGCTGACTAAAGGGATTTAGTTATTTCCAAGATAATTAGCACTTGCTAATTGCACTTGAATTAAAACTGGCAAAAAAGAAAAAAAAAGTTTCAGATGAAATGTATATCATGAAACTTATGGATCATGGAACCTAGCCTCCTCTATCACTGACCCTCAGTATTTTTATAGTCTTAACCAGCTCCATTGTGATAGCAGTTAGCTTTTTTACAACCTACTAAACTCATTGGAAAGTCATTACAGAATCTGATTGCCTTAATATTTAGAAGCCTTTTAACTTAAAGCCTAAATTTATTCACAGTTAGTTTGTAACAATGGATGGTAACACTTCAGTTACATTTTTTCACCTTAGTCCTTTCTGGCTACTTACTCAGTGTATTTATATTCAAATTAGAAGTCAAATTATTAGGAACAGTTCTCAAGCTGTTGAGAAAAACACCGTAGCATCCAGTACTGCAGAAGAACTGAAGGCTACTGATACTGTCTTGGTGCTTCTTTCATAAAGGCTTTTTTCTCTTTAGTATTTATTTGACTTCAGACAGGAATTCAGTTAAAAGACAGATCAAGTCAGTCCTTTGCCTACCAGCCAAGTGAAGATATTAACTGTGTGTACTTGGTGTTAGTTATCAGCCTGCGTGATGAAGTTGAACCAAACGCAGCAGCCATGTAGAGAAGGACTTGGGGGTCATGGTAGACAAGAAGCTGGACACGAGACAGCAGTTGGCCAGAAGGCCAACTTGTTCTGGGCTGCATTAAAAAAAGGGTGGCCAGCAGGGAGAGGGAGGTATTGTCCCCCTCTACTTGGCTCTTGTGAGGCCCCATCTGCAGTACTGTGTCCAGGCCTGGGGACCCCAGTACAGGAAGGATGTGGAGCTCTTGGAGCTGGTCCAGAGGAGGGTCACAGAGATGATCAGAGGGCTGGAGCAGCTCTCCTATGAGGAAAGGTTGAGGGAACTGGGATTGTTTAGCTTGGAGGGGAGACCTCATTGTGGCCTTCCAGGACTTGAGGGAAACGCATAAACTGGAGGGGGAACAGCTGTTTGTGAGGGTGGACAGTGATAGGACAAGGGGGACTGGTTTTAAACTGAGATGGGGAGGTTTAGGCTAGATATTAGGGGGAAGTTTTTCACACAGAGGGTGGTGATGCACTGGAACAGGTTGCCCAAGGAGGTTGTGGATGCCCCATCCCTGCAGGCATTCAAGGCCAGGCTGGATGTGGCTCTGGGCAGCCTGGTCTGGTGGTAGGTGACCCTGCACACAGCAAGGGGTTGGAACTAGATGAGCATTGTGGTCTTTTTCATCCCAGGCCATTCTGTGATTGTATGATCTGTGTTCTCTTGCTGTTAGCTGTCCCCTCTACAAAACACTTTTTGTTGACTCTTGCCTTCATAGGCTTTTGTGTCTCAAATACTGAGTTCTCATTTGATCTTGTGGTGCTTTTCTTCCCTTAAGTCCATCCAGTCTCCCTTCCACATGGCTGATTCACATTATCAATTTTACTATATTCAGAAATACTGAAGAATTTAGGCTTCTGAACATAGCTATAGTACAAACAAGTGAGACTTGCTTCTCACTTCAGAGCAACATGCAGAGCATGGTGCACTAGAAGGCACCTTTTAGCCTGGTAAATCTATATTTGAATTTAGAGCTCAAGCTATCATTTATCACCAGAGTCGCATTTAAACATGAAATTGCCACAGTTGGTTGATATGATTTTGTTTCTCTTACAGGCAGCACCGATGACCCCTTAGCTGATCTTTCTGAAGTCTTAAATACCGATGATGATATTCTTGGAATCCTTTCTGATGATTTGGTAAAGTCTGGAGATCATTCAGGTATGTAAGTTCATGAGGCCTCTCTGGTATTTGTTTTCTTTCTCTTCTCTACATTATAGATGTGGTTGTTTTATACCTATGGGTTGTGCTCTAGGTTATTTCAGATACAGTTTTCATATTTTAAAAACACTTTGGTTTGAGATGATTTTGTTGGCTTCTACCAAAAAACAAACAAACAAAAACAACAAAAAAACAAAAAAGCCAACAAAAAAAACCATACAGCCTCTTCAACATTTTGTTTTACCTGTCTCTTTGCTTTGCTGCTTAAGAGAGAATAAGAAATAGCTGCTGTTGTCTGTCATACCTGCGTAACTTTTTCAGCATGAAGCTTTTTTTCTTTACTTTTGTTTTGTTTTGTTTTGTTTTCGTGTTATAATCATCCATTTTATCTGGTTTGGGTCCTGTAGGTCTTGATTTATGCACTTTCCAGGTTGAGAACTCACCCTCCCCATTTGGTAAGAAACTAAACAATGGATGATCCATGGTTAGAAGTAGTCACCTTTCCTAGTGGTTTTAGCTGAAAGAACTGCATGTGTAGAAACTAGCATTCCTTTACCGTGTCACTAATTCATGCTTCCATTTTCCACTCTTTCTGTATTGTTTGAGTCTAATGTGACCTCTGCACGCTGCATTTAGTACAGTACTGCATAAAATTTTGCTGCCAGTATTTGGAAACCTTCCTGAGATTTTGTTTTTCATGATACAAAGCCATGTGTTTTCTTGCTGTCGCTGTATAATATTACTTACAGTAGTAGTGTATTGTTTTTATCGTAGTGGTATCTGTAGTAAATTACAAGCATTTTAACAATGTGAATATATTAAAGCATGAATAAAGTAGTCAGATTGATATCTTTTTTCCACTGGATATCTTTTTTTCTACTGGATGATGGTTCATCAATTTATGTAATACACGATTTGGCAATAAGTAGAATGGCATGTTTCATTATTTTAAATTTATTTTTATTTGGTGTTTAATACAGAAATATATTTTAAATACTGAAGTGTATAGTTTTATTTTCAAAGATGTTTCTCTTTTGAGAGTTACACTGGCATGTAAAGGATGCTGTGAAATTTATATAGGAAGTTACGTTTTCTCAGGATTAACAAATCACTAGTTGTCACCTACAGTATTCAGTAGTTGTTCTTGAAATGGAAACTACTGTGAAGAGTTTGATACTGAGCACACTTCAAGAACACTTCAGTAGATAATTTAATGTAATATATAAGAATGTTTGGGAGTGAAGCTGGAGGTACACAATAAAACACATTGACTGCTAGCGTGATTGTTTTTAGAATGTGAAAAATAATCACAATGGAACTTTTTACTGAGAACTATATGCTTCAGAAGATGCTGTACCTGAACTCAGTTGTCTTACTTCAACAAAATTTTCCCATTCTTCCAGTTGCATTCTGTTCAATCAACATTCCTCAAACAATACAGTAAACTGGAAGTGTAGAGCTGGGGGTATTTGTTTACTTTTCTCTAATGAATATTTTCTTTTTCCTTACCTTTCAAGTTTTAAGGAAGTCTTCATTTAGTTGATAGCTCACATCTAGGGAAGAGATGTTTTATGCCTTTTATTCTGTATCAGTAGATTTTGGTATTCATGTCTAACTTTATGTTCTTTCCTCCTTAGCTGGACTGGATATTGGTCCCATCTCTGATGATCCTTCTTCTCTGCCTCAGCCAAATGTCAACCCAACTTCACGGCCACTGAGTGAAGAACAATTGGATGGAATCCTCAGTCCAGAACTAGACAAAATGGTCACAGATGGTAATTTTTTGTTGTTCTTGATCTAGTCTTATGGAAAATGCTTTCTGTTGTTGAACTCACATTGCTGCCCACGTATTGCTACCTTCTTGCTTACAGAATTAATTTTATTGCATTGTTTAATGATTACTCATCCCATATTTTTAATTTGCACAGGTGCTATTCTTGGCAAATTGTACAAAATCCCAGGTATGTACTCTAAATCTGTGTTGTCTTCTACAAGATGCAGTTTATAAGCAATGCCAGCCAACTCATGCACAGTGTTTTTGCAGAGCTGGGAGGAAAAGATGTCGAAGATCTGTTCACAGCTGTTCTAAGTCCAGCAACCACACAGACAGCTCCTTTGCCACAGCCTCCACCTCCACCACAGCTTATGTCTTTGCACAGTCAGGGTATGTTCATTTTTTACTTCTAAAAACAGCAGCTTAGTCAGGAGAGTTGTGCATCTGTTAAATACTGACATGAAAGTAGGGCATGCCTTACTTCCTGCTATTCTTAACTCATGGAAGCTGATATTGATAATTTATGGAATATTTTTCTAAAACTGCTCGAAAGACAGCTTGTGATTCATGTGCAGGTAAATGTTGGTAACTTAAAGGGACAGTTATATTAGATTTGTGTGATGTGTTGGAGCTTTTATTTAAGCTGACACTTTCATATTCTTGAAATTGTCTGCAATAAAGCATGTGTTCTCTTCTGCATTTGCTCTTTCATTACCTTTGAGTACCTCCTCAAGGGTAATGAGAAAGTCTGTGTGACAGTGATTTGCTAATTCTTAATTTCGTTTAGGGAGTCTTAATTTTGTTTAAGAATTCAGTTTAGCATGCTAACTATTCCTATCCAAATAATAAAGAGGAGGCTAAGAAGTTTTGAAATATATCATTTATCCTCTTTCCTACTATTAAGATTATTATGAATTGATACAGCATATTGCTACTTTTATATCGAAAGCATGAGGCAGACTAATTTGACTTGTTTTTGGTACCGGTAGGGCAGGATTTTAGTGGTATGTATGAGCATAATTAGATGCACTCTTTTCTCATCAGACATCACCTTTAGTGGGTTTTCCTTGAGCTCAAGTAAGGAGTGCCCATTCTGTAATACTGGTACTACAAAAAGTGGTATGCAAATTGATTTCAGTTGCGAATTAATCATAAGAAGGAAAATGATTGGTTTCATAGTTAGTTGTATTTCCATAAAAAGGAAAGACTACAAACATTATTGGAAAGGAGACAGTTTAAAGCAAATAATGAAGTGATTTAAAACAAAAGATAATGTAGGTATCAGTACCAGTTTCCTGGTTGTTTGGGTACTTGGAGATAACTTCAGCAGTGGAACTCTGTAGGATTGTTTAACATTCTCCCTATGGGAATTGCCACAGTTATGAAGTTTTGGATTTATAACTAGTTCACTTACTGTGTAATGATCCACATGTTTCTATGAGATAAATGCTTTAGTAATGGGAAAGCTTGTATCAAGTCCCAGCAATTTCAAATAAAATTAACAGTGTTCTCATCAGGATTTATCAGCCTCCTGCATGAATTAGAGGCCTGGCTCCTCCTTGCTTGCCAGGTCTTCACAGTTACAGCATGCTATGATATAGCATATTCTCTTAAATGCTGTCTGATGAATTACTTTCATCCCAACTAAACTTTTCTGTGTAATTAATGTCACCTGTAAATTAGAAGATAATGACCTCCGGCATGGCAGAATGTTTCAGTGTTACTCTGTGAATATATTGATTTCTGATCTGCTTTTGTGCTTTTAGGAAAATATTCAGAACACAGTTATGATTGCATTTAAGTGACAGGGACTCACAGGTCAGTGTTAATTCTGTGTAGGAACATCTGCAAAGACCATCTGCTGGAATAAATCTGCTCATGCCACGTTTGCTTATTATTTTGATCAAATAAATAAAATATTCTGCCCTCATATCGCTAGGCTGGACATTTAATTACAGTGATAATGTTCATTTGACTAGGTGTATCTTTTCATCAGTTACAAATTCCAGAGTTAATAGATGATGAAGCTTACTTTGGTATGCTGCTGTCTCAGAGGAGGAGGTGCTTAATTTAAGTGGTTAATCATAACTCAGGACTGAAAGCAACTTGGTCCATGTGTGATGCTTGGCAGCAGCATGGATTTTTCTCTTGTTTGTTGCAGGCAATGTATCTGGGTATAACAACAAAAATACAGACTGCTAGCCTTTAGGAATATACATCACTGAAGTGTGATATGGCACTGCAGTGCAGGCTAGTGCAATAGCTTTGGAAATCCCATTTAAAAAAAAGCCTTAATTTTTCACACTGAAATAGATCTGTGATCTCATAGAAAAGAACACAAGCTTATAGCAAACTGAAGTAAATTGATTTCAAAACCTTTCCAAAACTGTAAGGTCAGTACTGGAATGGGCTGCCCAGGGAGATGATGAAGTCACTGACTCTGGAGGTGTTCAAGGAATGTTTAGAGGTTGTGTTGAGGGATATGGTTTAGTGAGAATTATTGGTGATGGGTGGACAGTTGGATGATCTTGGAGGTTCTTTCCAACCTTGGCAATTCAATGGCTCCATAGAACTTGAAAGCAATTAGTTTTTCATTAGATGAGACATGCCTTCTTCACTGAACATTTTGTCCTCTACTTTAAAAAGTATTCATACTTCAAAATAATAATTTAAAATTCTCATTCTAGGAGAGAGTGTGTTTCCAAGAGTGCCACTTATGAATGGTCTGATTGGCCCTAACCCTCATCTCCCTCATACAACTCTGACTCCTGGAGGTGCCCTGGGCACTTTCTCTCCCATAACACAACAACCATATACTGATACCAGGTACGTTAAAATGGGAAGTCAAAAACAGCCACTGCTTAGCATTTATCACTTGGATGATAGTAGTGTTATTAGTACTGTGATACTGTTAGTGTTTAACTAATTGGTTATTGAGAGTTACTACAAAACCTGTGTTCTTGCAGTCTGCTGGGTAATAAGATAGCAAGCAGAATAAGTACTGTGCTAGTTGTTTTTGTATATTGAGAGAAATCTATTTACAGAATAAAACTCCTTTTTGATTTGTCAGGGATAAGAATCCAGCATACAATCCAATGGTAAGTGATCCAAACAGCTCATGGGCACCATCTGCTCCACCTTTGGAAGGTGAAGGTGATACAATGTCCAATGCTCAAAGAAGCACTCTTAAGTGGGAAAAAGAAGAAGCATTGGGTGAAATGGCGACAGTGGCACCTGTTCTCTATACAAATATTAACTTCCCTAATCTAAAGGAAGAATTCCCAGGTGAGTGAATTAGCAAAGTTAAATTGTATGTGGAAATTTATACATCTTTATTTGAAATAATATGAAATAAACTTATTAATTCCTTTCATATTAACGCATTTTTTTTATTATTGCAGACTGGGCTACAAGAGTGAAGCAGATTGCTAAATTGTGGAGGAAAGCAAGCTCGCAGGAGAGAGCTCCATATGTGGTAAGAAAAACCACCTCCTTCATTTGCATGCTTTCAGCAAAAATGTATTTCATTTGTGGGATTCTCATTTGTTTTTTTAAATAAGTTTAGGGTTAGTGGAAGTTCACTTGCCTTTCAGCCTTGAAGTAAACTACAGTAGTATTGCGCAAGATAAAGGCGTTAAATGAGATGAGAATGTTTGCTCTCACTGCCTCTTTGCTACATTTGTTTTGTGCCTCAGGCCTTACATGCCCTGCCCTTGTCTCCTTCTGCATAGGACCTCACCAGTTTCTTCATAAGGATGATAAAAGATTATTATGTGACCTTCCTCTCTTTTATCTTCCTCTCTCATTAGTGTTTTCGTTTTGGCCCCATTTGAGTTGCTGAAGGTGTTCACAGGTTGAACTACCAATTCCAGAGGTAGCAGAGCTTCATATCTCTACTTGGCTCATTTTCTTTTACTCCTCTGCTCTTGCCTTACTGTTCCCCTCTCTTATGTCTGGAATGGAAACTCTTTTGATACCTTCCATGTTGTGGAGAGCAGAAGCAACTCTGTTCTCACCAGAACCATTCACATTCTTCACATTTGGGCCAAGCAAACTCAGATACTTGAAGCAGCTGCCTCGAGTACATGAATGCTGATTCCTGATTCTGTAGAACTGCCACAGAATTGGTGACCCTTGTACTCTATTGACACCTCTTGTTAAAGCCTCTTTTCATCCAAACTTCAGCACCTGTATTAGTTTCATTGCTCTTGACCTAGACAACTGTTGTTGGTGAATGTGCTTTCCTTTAATATGCTGTTAATCTCCATCCTGTCCTGGTTCTTTTCTTCCTTTCATCACAACAGCAACTGGATGAGTGTTCTCATTTTCACTGTGTAAATTTCTGCAGATTTTGCAGGATTGTGTTTTCAGTCTTTTTCTTTCCCCACGCCCAAAGTTATTCCAACATGATCTTATTAATAAACAAATCTGATCCCCAAGTGTGTTTGTATGTTGATGGTACATAGATTAGCAATACCAACATGATGTCTTCCAGTCCAAATTAACAAACAAACAAAAACAGACTTGCTGACAGTTTTTAGGGGATGAGTTATTACCCCAAAAAGAAATGCATACCCAGACCAAGAGTCTTGATCTTTCTGAAACCCTTGAAACAATCCCTCTCTATGTATATCATTTAGTTATTGTCTTTATTTTACTTTTTATTCAGACCTGTAACTTCAGTGACTTTGGACCTATATATCATTTCATGTGTTTAATCTTGAAAATTCCTTCCATATAGCATTTACAAGAAACTATTGACATAAAAGGGTAGGCTTTTATCCAGGCATTTCTCAATTTACTATTACTGCTATTACTGAATGCTCCTTCTTCATTGCTCTGGAAAAATACAGTCCTATTCTCCTAGAAGATACCCAAGAAATAGATGCAAAAATTATTTCCTCTGTCTGCGGAATGGGAACACTCAGTTGCACAGACATGTGCATGAGTATTTGCATAGTACAAAGTAGTTGTTTCCTCACAGATGTTACAGTTCATGCACTCCTAAATTGCAGCTGTTTCTGGTGTACATAGCATTGTGCACACAAGAAGCTGCTTGAGTGCCTGAACTGAGGAACTTTCAGCTGAGAAGGGATGAAGGGTACCTTAGAAATAAAACTGAGAAATGTGTTACTTCATTCTCACTGTATGCTTTTTTACTTTCCTTACTTGCATAATCTTGACACTTAGAGGGGAAATGACACGAATATTACTGCTGCACTGTTGATCTCATCTGTGTTAATGCATCTTGTTTCTTGTTGGAGGGGAAGAGTTTAAGCTTTTTTTTTCTACCAGGCAGTCACCACTTGAAAACTGAAAAAAAAAAAAAAAAGAAAAAAAAAGAGGTAAAAAAGGTAAAAAAAAAAAAGATGTGAGGATTTGATTCAGCAAAGGAGTCACATCCTAGATTGGCGGTAAAACAGACCCTTTGAAATTTCCATTAGATGTTTTAAAGTGTCAGGATGGCTGTGAAATGCCTCATTGAAGAGGAATTGCTGTTCTTTCATCCAATTTTTCCTGATGCACAAGCCCATATCCTATGTTTATACTACTGACTTAACACAGATTGAGATCTATAGAGTCTGTTTAATGGAGTAGACTGTATTTTTCTTGTCATTGAAGTTCTTCACATTATTGGTCTTTATTGATCTAAACATCATCTGCTGTACTCACATCTTTGGGTTTCAGACCACCACAGTGTGCAGTTTGAAAGGTGTATTGGTGAGATTCATGTTTTTTTGGCACAGCACAGTACCTGAACAGAGACTCAGAGAAAACCTCTACTGCAAATAATTCCCTAGTTCTCTGTGTGTGTTAGTTTAAATGTAAGATTTCTAAAGATAATGAAGTATTTTCGGTTTGGAGTTTGTTGTAATAATAATAATAATGTAATAATAATAATAAGGTAGTTTTCACAAGCATGTGTGTGTTTAAAAAACAAAACAAAAAAGTTTTACAAGTAATTTCATTTTAGGTTTTGTAGGAATAATGGATGCAGTTTTCACACTTAGCAAACGAAAATGAGACTAACTACATGTCTTTTTTCTCTTTCTTCAGCAAAAAGCCAGAGATAATAGAGCTGCTTTGCGCATCAATAAAGTACAGATGTCAAATGACTCCATGAAAAGGCAACAGCAACAGGATAGCATTGATCCCAGCTCACGTATTGACTCCGACCTCTTTAAAGATCCATTAAAACAGAGGGAATCGGAACATGAGCAGGAGTGGAAATTCAGACAGGTGTGTTGCATTTAGGGCTTTTTGTCATTTTTCTTCCTGCCTTTTATTGCATTGTTGGAATCTTGTTTTAATAAAATCAATTTCAATCTTTCTTTGTAGAAGAGTATAAATTCAGGTTTTGTGGAAGAAAATTGGTGTTATCAGAAGGGAAGCTGCTTGTAAATGCTGAAAAATTTTGTTGGAAAGCTTTGACTCTTAAATCTTAACCTATTGTGGAAATAGGTTATTCTTCCTTTGTATGGCTAGCTGGTGCAGTAATTTGTTTTTTATATACCCTGTATAGCAGTAACCTTGTGCAGCTTGCTGCTTCAAGTTAGGCTGCTTGTCTCTTGGAACCCATTTACCTCCATCAGTGCTGCATCTGTTGGTACTCATCTTTGGAGTATAAGGTTGGAAAGCCGTGCTGCTCTCTAGGCAACCTGGGAAATTTTCTTCCCAGGCAATCAAGGTGCTTGTCAAGGTATTTGAACTTAATAAATAGCTACGCTCTCTGCTCTCTTGCATTTACAATTTACAGTTATTCATAATTGATCTTTAGTGTATTCAGAAGTTTTAATTCCTGATTCATTTTACTCATCAAAGATTTTGTTTTTATATATATATATATGTGTGTGTGTGTGAAAGTATAACCTTTTTCCTTACGATTTTTAAACAGCAAATGCGTCAAAAAAGTAAGCAGCAAGCCAAAATAGAAGCCACACAGAAGCTTGAACAAGTGAAAAATGAGCAGCAGCAACAGCAGCAGCAGCAGCAACAGCAGCAGTTTGGTTCACAACAGCTTCTGAACCAGTCTGGCTCAGACACACCCAGCAGTGGGATCCAGAGCCCCCTAACACCTCAGGCTGGCAGTGGCAGCATGTCTCCTGCACAGCAGACATTCCATAAGGATCTATTTGCAAAGCAGCAGCTACCTGCTACACCTACTTCAGCATCATCAGATGATGTGTTCCTCAAACCACAAGCACCACCCCCTACTCCAACCCGAATCCCGGTACATGATTCACTGTCTCAGTCTCAGACTCCTCAAACGTCATCACAACAGATGTTTTCTCCAGGTTCCACAAACACAAGACCACCTTCCCCAATGGATCCATACGCTAAGATGGTAGGAACACCTAGACCAGCACCTAGTAATCAGAACTTTGTTAGAAGAGGTAGCATTGCACCGTTGGATACCTGTGCACCACAGTCATCTATATCCAGGCCTGTTCAGGCAACTGAACCTTCGGGAAGCAGGCCTTCACCAGTCAGGGATTCATGTTCTTCATCTCCAAGTAGCAGCGATCCCTATGCAAAGCCACCAGACACACCCAGGCCTGTTATGACCTCAGATCAGTTCTCCAAACCACTGGGGGTCCCAAGATCACCCATGGTTATGGATCAGTCAGGGAAAGTTCCTTTAGCAGCTGGAAGCAGTGATCCGTTCACTAAGCCAGCTCCTAGAACTGATACATTTCAGAGACAGAGAGTAACTTCTGCTGATGCATATGCACGGCCACCATTGACTCCTACTCCTACTCCTGTTGATGGGAGCCCTGGACACTTTAAAACTCCCATGCGCCCGCCTCAGTCCCCACAAGATCCCTATGCATCAATGCCAGGTACACCAAGGCGCGTTGCTGTTGATCCGTATGAAAGGCCTGCACTGACACCAAGGCCAGTGGATAACTTCTCCCATAATCAGTCTAACGATCCATACAGCCAGCCTCCTCTTACTCCTCATCCAGCAATAAAGGAATCTTTTGCCCATCCACCCCGGATCGTGCGGCAACAGAGTGAGTCTTTCCCTCAGTCTGGACCCATTTCAAGGCCAGCTTCTCAGGACCCTTACTCCCAGCCTCCAGGTACTCCTCGGCCAGTTGCTGATCCTTATGCCCAACCTCCAGGAACTCCTCGTCCCGCCACAGTTGATCCATATATGCAGCAACCACCCACACCAAGACCTGCACAGCCAGCAGATTTGTTTGCTCAATCCCCAACAAATCAGAGACATTCTGATCCATACGCTCAACCTCCTGGAACACCAAGGCCAGTTCTGAACGATCCTTATTCTCAGCAACCAGCAACTCCAAGACCAGGAATACCAGAGAGTTTTAACAGACCTGCAATGACAAGACCAGGTTTAATACCAAATAGAGATCCTTTCCTGCAGACATCACAGAACAGGTTGCAGGGCACTTTTGTCAGGCCGTCAGACCCGTGTTCTCAAACTCCCAGACCAGCAGGACCTGCAATAACAGATACATTTAACCACGGTCCTTCTGCTCCAGCACGTGATCTTTATGATCAACCACCCATGACTCCAAGACCTCAGCCAGAATCTTTTGGAACTGGTCAACTAGCCCACGATGCTGCTGAACAGTCACGGCCTGGAGCTGAGGGCAACTTCAGTGCATCTGCAAATTCTCCAATGAGTTCTCAAGGACAGCAGTTCCCCAAAGTTTCACAAGGTCCTGGCCCAGCACCCACTACAGGAGTAACGGATACACAGAATACCATGAATATGTCTCAAGCAGACACTGAGAAATTACGACAGGTGAGAGTAATACTTAACACTAACGGCATCCAACTTTCAGAAGTAGTATTTCCCCCATTTTTGTTAAATATTTGAAGGGTTGGCTTTTTTGACATTAAACGTAGGTGTATGATGTAGAATTCTCTGTTCACTTCTTATGTTCGTTCGGTTCTCTGGATAATGCATGTGTGAAATATAAAAAAATGGGTAATTTTTAAGAAGTTTGGACAAAATCCAAAAAAGAAGCAAAGCCATTGCTGAAGCCATTGAAGATCTTATCTACAATATGAGAATTCAACACCTTGAAAGGACAATTAATTCTACATAGGCAATTAATCCTGTAATAGAGGAGTTGTAGAACTGATCGTCAGTGACTTGTTCACAGATTGAGGAGGGTGTAGGCATTGATCTTAGACTGGACATCAAACTTTTCAGATGGCTAGCAAACCTGCTGAGGTTATTTCTGCTGATGGTCATTGCTCTTCTGCAGGAACTGTTGCTCCGGGCTTTTATCAATGAATTTGGCAAGCATCTCTTACTGAGACATAGAATTACATTCAACTTGTGGGAGGCTGCTTGGTCTTCTGTTTGGAAGGGGCAACAGGAAATAGAATTAGCAGAAAAGATCGCCAATATTTCTCACACAAAGTTAGAGTCAATTCTATAGTAGATAAAGTAATACAGAGGAAAGAGTTTGTTGCTTCTCTGTTAGTTGGCAAAGTAGCATCACGCTAATTACAAGAGATCTGGAGATAAAAAATTGTGTTACCATCATCTTGCACTGTGCAATCCCAATCCTAAATTCTGCTTTGATTATGGCAGTATAATATTGCCCTGTAATGACTGAAGAATTTCTTTCATCTAAAAAGCTGAAAGCAGCAGAGTATAACACTTCCAAATACATCACCTGCAAAGTCCAGCGCAATGATTTTTGTTTTGTTTTTTTTTTAAACAGCGACAGAAATTACGTGAAATTATTCTACAGCAGCAGCAGCAGAAGAAGAATGCAGTTCGTCAGGAAAAAGCCTTACAGGATCCAGCAGCTCCTCCCCATGCAACTCCTCTCCAGCACTGGCAGCAAGACAACTTAAATCAGATTTTTAACCGCCCTCCTCCTCCGTATCCTGGGAATATTAGATCCTCTGTTGTCCCTCCAGGTGGGCCAAGGTTCACGGTATACTCAAAGGATCAACGTGGGCCATTTCCTGGTGATGGGCAGTTCAGTAGACCCCAGTTTCCAGGAGATATGAGCACCATGGGAATGAGACCTCATGGTCTTAGGTAAGCTCTTCAGTCTTGTACAACCAAGCTATTAAAGTGGTAGTTCTAAATCTACAGAAATCATTGGATACAGGGTTTGGGTTTTTTTGGAGATAAAAAATCGTCTGAATGGTCTGCAGTAGCTGGTGATTTTACTGAGGTTGTGTATAGTAAGCTTTAAGTATCTGTAACATTAGAATGTGCATTTTATAACTAGTAGCACTGCTCTGCGCTGTATTTTATGGGAATTTATGATAAATTAAAAAAGGAGAAACTGCAGTGCTTGTGGAAATTACAGTGGATGATACTGTCACCCATTGTTTTAGTGCAACTTTTTAAAAAAGAAGGGTCTGATTTGAGCTTTGCTGTCTTAATAATAGATAAATGTAATATTTCTGCTTAGCTTTCTAATGAATATATAATTCAATATTGACTTTTGTGCTGTTTTTACAATGAATACTAATATTGACATATATTACAATCTTGGGAATAAATGTTTTCAATATTTTGAATTTATTTCAGTAAATCTGCACATTATTTTTAAAGCATACTGCACTGAATTAATATGTAGTTTATTTGTTCAGATCTTAATATCACAGAGTTCTCTATCCATTATGACTGGAATTTAAAACAGGTTGTTTATTAAACATAATTAAAGCAATTATTTTATTGTAGTCATAAAGCTCATTTGAATATAAGCATAATCAGCAAAATATTTATTTAAATATTTTAATGAATATGTCGTGTAAAGCATTTTGCTGAATAATTATGTAGTCAAGTATGACAGGCTATGCTGGTCCTGAAAAAAAAAAAGGTAATTTATCTTTTATACTTTATTTTAGGTTTGGGTTTCCAGGAGGTGGCCATGGTCCACCATCAGGCCAGGAACGTTTTCTCAGTCCTCAGCAGGCAATGCAACGTGCTGGAGTTCCACCACAATTGAGAAGATCTCTGTCTATTGATATGCCTCGGCCAGTGAGCAATCCACAAATAAACAGTGCATCGGGGATCCCTCAGCATTTTCCTCCGCAGGGAATTCAGGTTCAGCAGCACAATATTTTGGGTCAGGCATTTATCGAGTTGCGTCACAGGGCTCCTGATGGGAGGCCAAGGCTGCCTTTTAATCCTTCTGCACCAAACATTATGGATCCAGCAGTGCAGCATCAGCGACACGCAGGGTTTATACCCAGGCAGGAATTTCCAGGACCCAGACAGGCAGAACCACTGAGACATAATTCTCAAGGTATGCCTAACCAGTTGCAGATGTCTGCAGGATTGGAGCATATGTCACAACCCCAGCAGGATCAAATCAACCCTGACAACCCATCCGCACTTGTAATACGTTCTCTAAGCAATCCACCAGTAGCTGATGCTTTCCCAGGACCGTCTTTGCCTGCAGCTGCACCGAGTGATGAATCAGCAAATATGCAGATTCCCAACCAGTCAAGTGATGGTCTGGAAGAAAAGCTTGATCCTGATGATCCAGCTGTGAAAGATTTGGATGTGAAAGACCTTGATGGGGTTGAAGTCAAGGATTTGGATGATGAAGATCTTGAAAATTTGAATCTAGACACAGAGGATGGAAAAGGGGATGAGCTGGACACTTTAGATAACTTGGAAACCAATGATCCTCACCTTGATGACCTTCTAAGATCTGGGGAATTTGATATAATTGCATACACAGACCCAGACCTTGATGTGGGGGATAAGAAAGGAATGTTTAATGAAGAACTAGATCTTAGTGTCCCCATTGATGTCAAGCTGGATATCCAGGGCAAGACAGAAGAAACAAAAGAGGAGCAAGGGGATAGAACTGTTGCTCATCCTGAGACCCTGTCTTCGCCAAAGAAATCTACTGCAGAAAATGAAATTAAAACAGAAATACTTTCCCCAAACACTCATGAGGAAAAGAAGAATGAAAATGAAAGAAATGATGGAAATGCAGAATCAACAAGTACTCAACAGGCTACTGAAACAGAGTTAAAAGATGGAGAAAAGGCTCCTGCGCAGCCTGCTAACCTAGAATTCCCTGACAAAACTACTGCTGTTTCCAGTCAGGAAACAACTGTGCCTAGTCCAGATACTCAGGGATCTGCTCCAGTGCCTGTTCAAGGAGCAGTAAGTTCCTGCAGTATTTCTGGGTCCACACCAGTCCTCTCGAGTTTGCTAGCTAATGAAAGCTCAGATAACACCGAGGCATCTCCCTCGCAGTCTTTGCCAACGTCTCAACTGAACCATGCATCGGGTATTCCTCAAACACTGCTGACACCTGGTGGGCAGATCTTGGAAAACACTTTAAATTCCAATTTGACCATAGTTCCACGAATAAACCATAATTTTTCTCAAGGGTCACCAAACCCAGGATTTATTCAGGGTCAGTCAGCTAATCATAACTTTGGGACAGGACAGGCATCTAATCAAACTGTGGCTGTAACAAGCCGTCCTGGCCCGAGTGGCATATCTGGTCCCCAACAGATAATGCTCCCTCAGCCATTAGCTCAGCAACAAAATCGAGAGAGACCATTACTGCTAGAGGAACAGCCACTTCTTCTGCAGGATCTTTTGGATCAGGAAAGGCAGGAGCAGCAGCAGCAGCGGCAGATGCAAGCCATGATTCGCCAACGTTCAGAGCCATTCTTCCCTAATATTGGTATGTGGTGATCTGTCTGTGTTCTGTTTAGTTAGGTAAAAAGTCAGAATTAAATGGTTAAACATTTTTATAGCGCCAAATGAAGCAGGTGGATATTTGGAGTGTGAAGATGGCATAACAGAAAAGCAACCTGAGTAGGAGGTATAATGGAAGTCTGGAAAATGAAAATGTAGGTGAAGTGCTGAACCTTTGCAGAGCTCATACTGAGTTTACCAGGATCAGGGTAACACTGTGCTAATGCTAATTTATCCATCACCAGCTCTTACAACTTCGTATGTGACACGGAGTAAGTGTGCCCTTTGTAAACAGTTAGATGATGAAATGCAATAGCTGACCTTCTGATATCCAGTATCCCAATTTTCTGCTCGTGGCTTTTTTACTGTTTTTTTTTTTTCTTTTTTCAGTGTTCAAGTTGTCTCAAAGAGATCACTGAATGTAGTCAAGCCACCCTAGATGGCTTCCAAAGGTCCCTTCCAAATTCAAAGAGTTCTATACTCCCTCGTGAGGACTGTCAGTCAGTCCTGTTTGTCCAGCTCTACTGGGCCAACTAACAGGAGAGTTGGCAGGAGAGAGCATGGTTTACATGCTTATGGATCTTTTCAGATGCTGAATGTGGCATTTTATGCCACGTGCTTTTCTCCCTGTAGTTCTACCAATAATAACAGAGTGACTGAAGAGGTTTTCTTAGTATGTTTGTGATGGTGTGTCAGTTTTGCCAACTGAACTGAGGAACAACTGCTCTTCATGATTCTTTAAACTATAAATAGAATTTATTAATCTCTTGGTTCATAGGCCAAATTTATTCTAGAGCCCTTCTCAACCCAGTCTGCTTTCCTTTGTGTGTTATGGCTGAAAACCAGAGCAGTTACAGCCAGATTAACTTTCCTTAGGGGGTACATGAAGCAACATATTAGCCATGAAATTCAAAATGAAGAGGACAAGTAATTTGAAATAGTAATGCAGCTGAGTTGTTTCGCTGGTGATTTATGTATGAACGAGATATAAACGAGTCAGTTCCAATTAATAACTTGCAATGATTGGTTATGTAATTCATTTGTACTGTCTTTCTTTTCTAGACTTTGATGCAATTACTGATCCTATAATGAAAGCAAAAATGGTAGCCCTCAAGGGGATCAATAAAGTCATGGCTCAGAGTAACATGGGGATGCCACCAATGGTTATGAACAGGTAGGCAACGCTGGAATACCATCTTCAGGGCTGCTAAATGTGAACATAAATCATAGAGATGTGGAAAACGTGGCTTAGTAAAGGTGTTTGTAAGCTCTATTTGAACTCAGTAAGAGAATTCTCCACCCCGAGTTGTTTATTAGAGCTTCCATAATTTTCTATTATTGTAACCTAACCTGAGTGACTGCAGTAGCAGAGTTGTCCACTTGTGCAGATGCTAATTGGGTAGCTTATGTTCACTGGTTTATCTTGCTCTTTCTCAATGCAATAAAAACAGTTTTTTTTTTTACTCTGAATCCATGCTCTATCACCTTTCAAAATAAAATGTTTCCCAGCTGAGAGCAGAATGCACTCTTCCTTAAGATACTCACCAGTTTTAAAAGTTACAGTTTCATTTTGTGTCTGTGTACCAATAGGTTTCCTTTCATGGGTCAGCCAGTGCCTGGGGCTCAGGCCAACGAAGGCCAAAACCACATGCAGCAGGCCATTACACAGGTAGTACAACTTGAGTTTACAGCACAAGTCTTAAATAATGATAACTAGATTTTGTTTCAATTGAATCATTATTTAATTTCCTTATCTGTATATTTTGCTGAAATTTCTAGGATGGAAGTTTGACACCTCAGATTTCTAGACCTAATCCTCCTAATTTTGGTCCTGGTTTTGTCAGTAAGTACACATCAGCCAATTCAATGTTTTATGATGTTATTCTAAATAAAATATCCATAAACTGATTTCTCTCAAAAAATTAATCCTTTTAAAATTGTATCATTTCATCATTACAGTATCAGTTCATGAAAGAATGCATGGTAAATTGTATTCTTTTTCTAGAAAACTGTCCTCAGAGAAGCACCACGATGAAAAGGGGAACCAGGAGGAACAGTTAATTAGTATTATTTGTGTTTGTGTGAGAGTAGTAATTGTGCTTTGCTGACAGGCTGCTACCTCAAAAATGAGGTCATAGAATCATAGAATCTTTGGAATTGGAAGGGATCCTTAAAGGCCATCTGATCCAACTCCCCTGTAGTTCATAGGGACACCAACAGCTCCATCAGGTGCTGAGAGCCCCATCCAGCCTGACCTTGGGTGTCTCCAGGGATGGGGCATCCCTGGCAACTGGTCTTCTATTGAGGTTTAGTATTCAGAGCTCAGTGAGAATGGGAATCTATTGATGGGTTATTTTTTATTTAAAAAGCAAAAATTTTTTGCATCATTGTCATTTTAAAAATGCCAATAAAAGCTTTCCAAGCATCAATTAAGCAAGATTGGCTGGGAACCATAGTTGCCAAAAGTAGACTTATGTAGCTCTAGTACGTTGCTTTCTTTACTCTGCTCGCCCTAGATGAGTTGTAAGTCTTAGTCTCTGTGATGAGAAGAAGAAACATTAGCAGGAATTAAAACACAGTGTGTGCTGGGAGAGGAGGAACACATACAAAGAAGTGTTACTACAAAAGCTTTACTTGATATTTATGTATAAAAAACAGAAGCAAACACCTTCTCCTTTTCCAGAAACAGAAGCTGCAATATTGAATGTGCAATGAGAAGCTTTAGTAATCTTTTCTGTGTTAATTTCTGGTGAGATTGTAAGTGGCACTCAGCAGTAGCCTGGCTCAGGTTGGGGGTGGTGGTTCTGAGCAGTTGAGAAAATCTGTTCTTCATTTCAGCAGTAGTTATTCTTACCTGGACCTTGTTAATATTTCAGTACTTTCCATCTGCAGTTACTCTCCATCATTTCCACTCAGCTGTCCCTTCGGGTTACATGATTAGTTTCACAGAATATATCACTGAAAGAATTAGTGCCCCTTGAGGCTGTAGATAGCTCTGTGAATCGATTCAGTTGAGCTGTTAGGTTCAATGACTGTTTCTACTGCAACGACTGTGAAAGAGGAATGTGGTAGGGATTAGAGCACAAGGAAAAGGTGGTTGTATTGAAATCATACCGTTGTATGGATATCTTTATTCCTTATACGAGATAAACAAACGTTCCACACAAGGAAAATTCCATGCCTTGTTCCTGATTATCCAGTTCAGTGCCACAGTGTGATCCCAAGACAAATGATACTGTCACCAAACCTTGCGTCTCGCTTTCTGGGCTCAGTGCCAATGAAGTGTGTTATTGGACATGATTGTTTTGCCTCCAGAAAAATATATGAGAGCAATGGATTGCTCCTAGCAGATCACTATTTCTCATTTGGAAAATGAGTAATGTCACAGTTACAGTCTAAATGAGAGCACAGTTGTTTGTGGGGAGGAAAAGGCACTGATGCTGAAGGCACTGTGCTGGTGGTCAAAAAAAGTTATTTTTACAATGGAAACAAAATGTAAAAAACTTAGGTTTTATTGGTTCATTTTCTTACAGTAACTTACATTATAAGGTAGATGAATTTTCATTTCTTCTATTATCATGTATAATAAATGATTAGTCAGATATGTGTCATGTAATCCGGATTTTCAGACATTTCTAAAAACAAATCAGTCTACCCCAATGCTTTTTCCATTCCTAATGATCCTTCAAAATGTCTGTGAAAAGAAGTGAAGCTGATGCCATCTGTGATTAGAAATAAGTTATCTGTTACACTTCAGAGTATAAATTTGTGCATTTCCTTTGGAATCATGCTCTAGTTTCTATGATCAGTAATGGTTGGGAGTTGGTCTCAGCTGGAAGGAAGTAGTGTTTCATCCACTTTCTATTTTATGTCTGTAGTGGAGTCTTTCTCTGCTAGTGGAGAATGCCTTTCTGCACTTGCTCACATGGTTGTTCCTGGAAGTGGGGAACTTGATGTGATGAGGGTGTTGTTGTGGAGGGTTTTGTTGCACTTTTCAGTATAGGTTAAATAACTTGTAACTCTCCCTTAGTGCTTAGCTATTCCAATTTAGTTTAAATTGTCTTGTCCTCTTCAATCAGTGGTTGATTAGGATTTAATTTTGAAGTATAAAGCAGGCCTTGGCACGTTTCCAGTCCCATATACCGTCTTTCTTACATTTCTTGGATTTATGATGAATGTTTTTGATGTTCATTTTTTTCTTATATCTATTTTTGCTGTTATTTCTAAGTGGACCAAACTCCTCTGCAAGCGTCAGAAATAATTAGACATATTTCATTGAAATTTATGTCCTTATTCCTTAATCTCTTTCCCTCTATCCAAGTCTTTCCTCATGCCCTTTTCTGTGGCAGGCAGGGTTCCACTGGGCTCTGCAGCTGCTTTCAAAGCTGCATTTGCTCACTGGGCAGCAAGTGCACATGTACTGACCAGATAGCAGCCACGTCCCTCAAAATGTAGGGACTAAGTTAAAACTACTTACTCAGTAAAGGCAGCCTCCTTTACAGAAATCACTCCAAGGCTTGGTATCTCTTGAGATCTCAACTCTTCTGTCGAATTTGGCCGAACGTGACCAGCAGTTTCATAAAATAAGAGGGGAATGTGACTTTTAAACTTCATCTCTAAAAAGTACTACGAGATCATATCGTATGTTATTTCCCTTGTCTCCTAGATGATTCACAAAGAAAGCAGTACGAGGAATGGCTGCAAGAAACGCAACAGCTTCTTCAAATGCAACAGAAGTACCTTGAGGAGCAAATTGGAGCACACAGGAAATCAAAAAAAGCACTCTCAGCAAAACAGCGTACGGCCAAAAAAGCTGGCCGTGAGTTCCCAGAAGAGGATGCAGAACAGCTTAAGCACGTTACAGAGCAGCAAAGTATGGTCCAAAAACAGCTTGAACAGGTAATCACTGGGAAACCAAACTGATCACCTTGGTACTGAGCTGTTGCACTGGTATGACTCTTTTCTTTAGGTCTATTAAAACATGGATTAAAATGCTGAAATACAGTGGAGGCTATTTGAAAGGAGCTGCTCTGTGTCATACATCATGTATGTCATGTGTAGCTGCATTACTGTGGATCACCAATGGCAGTGGAGTTGTAGGAGGATGTACTACAGCAAAAACTGACAAAAAGCTGTTGTCGTAGTTTGGGAAGAGGAGAATTTCTTTAGCAAAACGATTTACAACAGAGTTCCTAGAGCCATGAAAAACAGAAGTGTAAGATTTAGACTGCAGAGGAGGAAAGTCTAAGCATGTAAGGCTCTTTTTCAAGAAGGAATGACTTTCTTACCTCTGACTTTTTCAGATGTCTTTATGTAATCAGTACCTCTTGGAAATATGCCAGATAAATGTTACTCCTTGAAAATCTCTCTTCATTACATTTTTAATAATAGCCTGTTTTTTTCATCTGTCTCATTTTTAGGTACTAATCATTAGTGTATTGTCTGCTACCGTATCCTAGCATAGCAGAGGTGAAAGGGATATCTGGAGATAATCTAGCTAAGTCTCCTGATCGATGGAGAACGAGCTTCATGGTTAGATCAGATGGCTCAGGGCCACGTCAGTCAAGTTCTGATAATTCTTCAAAGGCAGAGGCTTCCCCACCTCTCCGGGGACCCTGTTCCAATGTGTAACCACTTTCACTGTGTGGTTTTTGTTTTTTTTTTCTTTACATTTAGTTGGAATTTCACTTGCTGCATCTTGTAACTGTAATTATAGTAAATGAGACTAAAGTTGAGCCTGCAATTACTTTGATATATCAGTGGTTTGGCCAACAGTACTAAAAGTTATGTTCTTCAAGTCATCATTTAGAAACTATCTGCTGTGGTGTTTCCTTACTGTGCAGATGGGGAATCTTTTCATTGTCAGTGAGGAACAAGTAGTCCTGCCAAATACTAAAACACTTTAGACTTACCTTTTATTAATCTGAGGTTAAAAATTGGCAGCAGGCTGCTTGGAGTGAAGTCCTGAGTGATACCTGACTCCCAGTTTCTTGCCCCTGTGTTGCCTCAAGGCAGAGCATGCATTGGATGGAGTACGTGTTGGCTTGTCTTTTCACTATGCAGGAGTGCATAGTGAAATGTAGTTTCTTCTACAATGAATAACAAGCGGAATAAATGCAAACATACTAACTTTAGCCATCTCCATCATTTGTGCTTCAGTCTACTCTTACAGTGGGGTTATGTCAGCCTAACAGCTGATAATGGTATTGCTGGCAGGTCCCTTTAGTGCCTTGTAATTAAGGCTATTTGTAAACCAGGCTAAATAACTGACTTTAGACCAGTCATCCAGATCGTAAGCAGCACTTTCATAGACACCAGGATAGAAATCATTCAGTAAGTTTTCACTGAAGTATATTTTCAAGGACTTTCTATTTAAAACAATTCATCACTCTTTAAAATCAAAACCATTTTTGTGGAATCAAGCTTCTGTTGTTTCTTTTTTTGAAAAGGATAGACTGCATCTATAGAGAAAACTCTCAAATCCCTGTGAATTTTTGAGGCTAGTCACAGGCACAGAGAAACTGGAGCTGACTCAGTGCAGTGTGAGCTTATGTCTGACAGGGTTATTAGCTCAGGCACAGTGCCATGCAGACACAACTGTGTTGTTTCTATAGCTAGGGCAGCTTAACTGCTTTGGTGTGGCACAGTGCCTGTGTTAATAAGCTCTTTATCATTCTCCACTGCTCAGGGAGAATCACTAGGTTGGTCTGCACAGCTACTGGTCCCGTGAGGTCTTGTCCACCTCCAAGTACAGTCACAGGGCTCGTCACCACTGCATATCCAAGCATAGTGGTTTGGATGCCTCCTTGTTTGATCAAACAGAGCTGACACAGTTATGGCATTGTACCAACTGAAAAGTCCTGGGGCACTGGACTTGGTGGCTTTATGCAGTGGCTCAGTCTATCTGGCAGTATCAGTGCCAAACTAGAACTCAAGTCATCTTGGACCTGAGATTACTTTATTAAGTAGCCTTTTGGGCTTCATCTGTCCTGCATTCTGTATTGTGTCCTATAATATCTCTCTTGACCTGAGCTTTGTAGTTTCTCTTTTGCCCCAGACACAGGAGAGTGCTGTCAAACATTCTTACTTATATTATGGACTTTCACATCAGTACGAACAGCAAATGGAACTGCAGAAGTCATAATCTAACAAAGAGAAAGGAAGAGAGAGGGAGATTGCACAGCCCATGCATTACTAACCAGTGGATTACAAGCCCTTTCAACTTCTTAGAGAGCAGCATAGTTAGGTATCTACTGTGTTTCCAAAATACTCCCTGTTATCATGCTGACTCTATCATATCCTTTCATTGGCTTCTCTGATTTGCCTTAAAAATAAGTCACTGGACTTAACTTCCTGCATCCAAGTCCAGTTTATCTTCATCCTAAAATAAGTTTTTTCAAGCAGCAGTTGGTTTTTTCCTCTGCTGTGTGACGTTTGGGGTTCTGCCTATGAATAAATGGGATTTTGCCTCACCGTTTTCCTGCAAACTTTTTCATTTCAGCTGTATCTTCAAATATATATATATAAATATATTGATGTGTGAATATCATCTATCTCACAGCTTCCTTTTACCTGTCCCCAGATATTGTTACATAGATGATTGGATCTCTACAAGGATCGCTTTGATTTTAGGTTTGTATGGTGTCTAGCACAGTGCAGTCTTGGTATATACAACCTTAGAAAGGGAGAGAAAATAAGACAATGCACAATTGCTGTTTTCACATTAGCTTCATTTTCTGCTGGTGAGATGCATGTTTTATGATACTTCATTGTCAGTGCATATCAAAGACAGGTAATGACTTTTTTAATTTACAGATTCGAAAGCAACAGAAAGAACATGCAGAACTAATTGAGGAATATCGGATCAAGCAGCAGCAGCAGCAGCAGCAGTGTGGGATGGCACCCCATGCTATAATGCCTGGAGTCCAGGCTCACCCACCAATGGTTCCAGCAGGAACATCACCAGCAATGAATCAGCAAAACTTCCCCATGGTGGCACAACAGCTCCAGCATCAGCAGCATCCCGTGGTGATCCCTGGGCAGTCCAACCCTACCAGAATGCCCAGTATTTCTGGATGGCAGTCTACAAATCCCCCTGCAGGTCACATTTCCATGAACCCAGCAAGGATGCAGCCTCCAATGACACCGCTGCCAATTACTCCTGCTACAGCAGCTCCTGTGCCTGGTCCAAATGCAACTGCACAGTCAGGACCACCACCCAGGGTTGAGTTTGATGACAATAACCCTTTTAGTGAAAGTTTCCAAGAGCGGGAAAGAAAGGAACGTTTACGGGAACAGCAGGAACGGCAGCGCATCCAGCTTATGCAGGAGGTGGACCGACAGAGGGCTTTACAGCAGAGGATGGAACTGGAGCAGCACGGTATGATAGGGTCTGAATTAAATAACAGAGCATCCTTGTCTCAGATACCCTTCTTTAACTCCGATCTACCTTGTGATTTCATACAAACTCCACGTCCTCTTCAGCAGTCTCCACAGCATCAACAGCAGCAAATGGGACAGTTGCTGCAACAAGGTCCTGTGAACTCACCTCCTGCCACAAATTTCATGCAAAGCAATGAGCGGAGACCAGTAGGACCTACGACTTTTGGACCTGATGCGTCCGCTGTTCCAGGTGGATCCTCTAATTTCCATAATGTAAAACAAACCCATGGGAATCTTCCTGGGGCCACCTTTACACAGAACCAGGTCAGGCCTCCATTTGCTCCTGCTGTACCTTCATCTGCAGTTCCTTCATCTGCAGCACTGAGCAGTGGTGCCCCGTGTGGTTCGGACACAAATGTGCCCCAGGGAGCAAACTTCCCTGGGTCGAGCCAGTCCCTCATACAGCTGTATTCTGACATAATTCCAGAAGAGAAAGGAAAAAAGAAAAGGACACGAAAAAAGAAGAAGGATGATGATGCTGAGTCAATAAAAGCCCCATCGACTCCACATTCGGATATAACTGCACCATCAACTCCAACTGTTTCTGATTCTACCTCTACCCCCACAGTTAACACCCCCAGTGAACTGCCTCGTCATCAAGATGAGCAGGAGTCAGTGGAGGTAACAGGTCCATCAGTACCTAATGCAGCAGAGAGCCAGGCCTCTCCAGAGCTGGAGTGTCAGCTCCCCAGCAGCAGCTTGCCACCAAAACAGCCAAATGTGAGTACAGAGACTGACAAGGCCAAACCAGACACACCTACTGGCATTCAAGAAGTTAAACTGGAAAAGGCAGAAACCGATCAGTGCTCAGATCAAACTGAGCCAAAAACAGAAAATCAAAGCACTGTTAAGGTGGAAGAAGATAAGGTCTCATCGCAGCCTCCCTCTTCAGCTCAGAGTCCAGCACAGCCAGCTGGAGTTCCAGCAGCCAAAGGGGAGTCAGGGAACGAGTTGCTCAAACACCTGCTTAAAAACAAAAAGTCCTCATCTCTTCTGAACCAGAAATCAGAGAGTAGCTGTCGAACAGAAGAAGAGGCTGCTGGAGATAAGAAGTTAATGGACAAGCAGAATCCAGCTGAAGGAATGGTGAGCTTCTTCCTGCTTTTGTTGTGCAATGGTTACCAGGTCTCCAAGGCTGTTTTTTGTCTCTGCTTATTTTTAACTGAGGGAGGGATTAATTCTTTGTGTTAATGGCATTATATGGTTTAATAATTTATAAGACTTTTTAAAACAACTAGAAAAATTGCTTTCTGTGGAGGTAGGGTATGCTTGAGACTTAGTAAATTTTAATTATTTTATTGTAGTCTTTAGTGTCTACACTGTTGCTTTATTAGTCTCCCAACTCTAAACACATCCTTGAAATAAGGTGTAAATACATTAAAATGAATAAAAACTGATAACCATAATTGTGAGCAGCAGGTAACTTAGGTAAATGTATGACAGGAATAGTTGTGAGAGTCCTTGTGTCAGGGTTTGTGCAGAGCCATTTGGAATAAGAACTGGGAAAAAGAAATCAGACCTTCTTTTGGCGTGAGACCACCTGCTGCATTGCCAAGTCCCATTCTGATTGTTTTTACACAACTGTCCTTCTATGTGAAGAAGGGCTTTGCAAATTTGTACTAGCAGTGATTTAATACAGCCCAGAACTGTTTCACAATACTGTTTCTGTTTCTAAACTCCAGCTACATCTGTACTAATAATATTAACTTATGCCTTCTTTCTCTAACCAAGTTTTCCTTTCATTATGCTCTTAGGAAAATCTCCAAGGCTACATGCCTATGTAACTTTATTTTAGTGGGTGTTCTAAAGAAAATATTTCTGCTCTGTGAGCTTTAATGATAATTTCAGATGTCAGTGGTGATGATGGTAAGTCATAATTCTGTGTGCAGAGACTGTGCAACAGTTACAGTTGCCAGTGATACAGTGAGGTAAACAAACTGTATATGTGCTTTGTTATCAGTGAGGTATATATTACACTGCTCTTTCAGACTATTGTGCAATAAATTTGAATGGACTTTCTATTATAATGTCAAAAATTCTGCTTCACTTCCTTTTTTACGGCCAGCAAACTGCAGGAAACCAGATGCAAGGTGCATTTGGGTGTAGTAACAGCCAGCTTCAGAGAGCAGATGTGGGACATGAAACCAAGAAACAGAGAAATAAGCGAACTCAGAGGACAGGAGAAAAGGCAGCTCCTCGGTCCAAGAAAAGGAAAAAAGAGGAGGAAGAAAAACAGGCTGTATACCCCAATGCTGATACGTTCATCCATCTCAAACAAGTATGTATGCAGACACTGGATAGCTCATCAAGGGGACACTTGAAAAGTGTGGGTTTCTTATCATGAAAACCAAATGGATAATGGTGTCGAATTCTGAGTACAGGGTGGAGATAATTGTAATTTCTACAAAAGCAGAAAGTTTAAAGGCTTGGTTTAATTTCAGTTTGGATGATCTACTGACGTGGCATGCGTTCAGCAGTCTCAAAGCCATGGAATTCCTGCCTGCTTTGGCTGCTGTCCTTGCTGAGCTGCCACAGAGCTGGGAGCGGTGGCTCCCCTGGGCTGGGGGCCATCTGACAGGGGGTTAGAACTGGATGGTCCTTAAAGTCACTTCCAAGCTGAAGTGATCTATGATTCTTTGATTCCTGAAAAAGGAGAGGGGCCTGAGTTTGTGACAGTTGTCTGATAGTGGGTAAATTCCCTTAAAAAAAACCTATAGAAACTACTAACAACTGGATGTCTGTGATGATTCTATTTTATAGTTAGACTAATTTCTACCTTTTTTCTTTACTTTCAATGTAGCAGCTTTCTCTCCTACCTTTGATGGAACCCATAATTGGAGTGAGCTTTGCACACTTTCTTCCCTATGGCAGTGGCCAGCTAAATGCTGGAAATCGACTTGTAGGAAGTTTTGGTAGCGCTACCCTTGATGGGGCTTCAGATTACTACTCCCAGCTCATATACAAGGTACAGCTTCAATCTGGATTTCCACTGTGGGCTCCCTGAGAGAAAAGTTCATTACGTTATTGCTGCCTGTTGGTTTAGATTTTGTGCCCTTCGTGCAACCAGAAGAGAATCATCTTCTGTCTTTAGACAAAACAGGCTGAGCAGTGTTGAAACAGACATTGTTTTGTTGTTCTGAAAGTTGAAATCAGTTCTAGAAACTGTTGTAAACAGGTTAAAATGTGCAACTATTCCAATTACGAATGGATGCTAACTAGTGAAAATTGTAATTACAGATTTATGGAGCAGAAAAGGCTGAATTCCCAGTACTTTGCAAAGTCATTGAAAGCACTAAAGCATTTCTTAATGTGAATTAAATGGGAAATAAACTTTTCTCATTTGTCCGCTAGGCTCTAACTAAAAACTCAGAGGGAAAAAGAAAAGATATTTGTTGATGGGCAAATAATGCACAGAATTTAAAACTCGGTCTCTGAGATCAGAATGGGAATATTGGGATAGCAGCAAGAGAGCAAACAGAGAATGAAATGTGATACTTGGTGTTTACTCCAGCTTGAGAATGGTTACTCTAGGCTGAGGATGGGGCCTGGCAGATTATGGTAGCTGTGGTTAAAAGTGATAATGCTTTCTGGTTTTGTATGCATGACTGCAACAAGAGTAGATGTTGAAATTTGTACTTAATTTTGGTTTAAAGTATGGACAATTAATTAAGCTAGTGAGAAATAACGTGGAGTGTGAACTAGCAGATGGAGGTTCTCCATGGTAACTACTTCAACGAAAGCTTGTCCTGTCCTAATGTGAGGCAACTTCCTTTGTAGTGAAAAATGGCTAACTCCTCTGTTGTGATGGAGAGTCACTGTGAAATTGCTCTCTCAATGTTTAGATCAGATCTTTGCTTAAACTGTAGGAACTTACCGAGGCTCCCGAAGAGTTCATAAAAATGGTCTTTATGCTTTTGTGTAAATAATTCAGCTGTACTTTCTGTCAGGAAAATATACTTCTCATGTAAACTTTATTTCTCTCATAGTATCATTGATAGAAAGAAAATGTTGTATCTCTTATAACAGGAAGTTATTCTGTGTGTTTAGTTGCATATTTGAGAATTAACTGTCACTGTTTATCAGTGGTACCTCTGGATGTAAAAATAAGGGAGTGGGTTACAATATTTAGTAGTAGAACATGGCAAGTTTTCACACTGTGCTTCATGGCTAACTTACAGTTCTTTACTCTCCTGCAGCAGAACAACCTGAGCAATCCCCCAACGCCCCCAGCATCTCTTCCACCCACACCACCTCCTGTGGCATGCCAGAAGTTGGTAAATGGCTTTGCAACCACTGAAGAACTTGCTGGCAAGGCTGGTATGTTGGGAGGCCATGATGGTAAGGCTAATGCATATTGTTTGCCTTATAGCTGAGTCAACTTTGTAGCAAACTAGGAATAGATAACTGGGATGTTCCTCAGATCCTGTAGTTTACTGTGTATGCCCAGCCTCTTTTTGAGCTTGTAATCAATATTACCCAGTTTTGTTTTATACCAGTGTAATGTCAAATTGAACCTTTTCCTTTCCCTTTTGAAAACATGTTGGGAGCTAGAAGCACTCTTAAGAAATGAAAAAGTTCAAAATCAACTTTGTTATGTTCACTACAAATTTCTTGCCTTTTTCTTTTTAAAGTGTGGAGATAAATCATGGACAGGCAAACATTTCTGAACTACAAGTGGATGAAAGCAGTGTTAACATCTGCTGTTAATACCTTGGTTGTATCTGGAGCCACTAGTATGGCTCCCAGAATGAAAATCAGTAAGAAGAGCTGTACAGATGTTTCATTATGCTGTGTTTCTCTGATTTTAGTTACCAAAGCTCTGGGACCAAAGCAGTTCCAGTTACCTTTCAGACCACAAGATGATTTATTAGCAAGAGCAATGGCTCAGGGCCCTAAAACTGTGGATGTTCCTGCTTCCCTTCCAACACCACCTCACAACAATCAGGAGGAGTTAAGGTAGGTTTTCCCTGACATCTTTAAGTAACATATGTGAAACAGATTCTGCCATCTTTCAGTAAGAGATGAGACTGTGAAGGTGTGAAGAAACAAAATCCGTTCTGCATGGCCATACAGTGCAGAGAACAAAGCAGAATCGTTTGTTCCAGTTAACTTTTAGCATGTGAGAGACAGCACAGTGAAAAAAGGGACTTAATGCTGTTGTTAAACCCAGTATCCTGTTAAGTTACCAAGAATCTTTTACCTAGCTTTGTAAAAAGTGAAAGACAACTATATTTTTCCTGAAGGAACATAGAGATGAGATGACAGCAGTATGGTCCTAGAGTCAGACAGCCTGAAAACTCCCCTGCTTATCCTAACAGTTTCTGTTGCCATGAGAAATTCTTTCTAGATTATGAGAGTCTCCCTACAAAGATCTTGCCTTTTTCCTCCCTTTCACCTACCTAGCTAAATATGGGTGTACCAGGGAGGAATGGACAAATGAATTCACTTAAACCAGAGAATTTGAAGTATTAAATACTAATTTTTACTCAGGTACACGGAGCAGTGGGCAACAGAGGCTGTAAAGGAGCTGGGCATTGCTACTGCCTCTCTTCTCCTTTACATGTCTTTCCCAGTAACCCAACTTGTGCAGTGGAGAATTAGCCAGCCTTAGCAGCCTATCACCTAATTACATTTAATGACTAGTAACAAAAAACATGATAGCTCCCTGTCATTATTTATATTACTGGTTCACAGAGTTTTTTTGGCCATTTCCAAAGCAACTTTTTTTGGGTTTTGTTCCAGGGCTCAAGATCACTGTGAGGACAGGGACACTCCTGACAGTTTTGTTCCATCTTCCTCTCCTGAAAGTGTGGTGGGAATGGAAATAAGTAGGTATCCAGATTTGTCAGTTGTAAAGGAGGAGAACCCAGAACCTGTTCCATCTCCCATCATTCCCATCCTACCTAGCAGTACTGGAAAAGGTGAGACTGCAGCAGAATGAACAATTAGAAACAGACTTTTTTTTCCCCTCCTATTTGTAGGATTAACCTGGTGTATTACATTTTAATTTCAGGTTCAGAAGCCAAAAGGAATTACATAAAGGCAGAACCTGGTTCAGGAGCATTACCTGGTTCTGCCTTCTTTGCCTCTCAGCTTGGACCACCCCAGAATGGTCCTAAATCTGGCCTTATTTCTGTAGCAATTACCTTACATCCCACAGCTGCTGAGGTAAGAGAAATAAGCCTGTGTTACATACATAAAATAACTACAGAAGAGTTAGTTTATTCTATTAGTGGATGTGAAGGAAGTTATAGCATAGTAAAATAAAAACAGCTATTGTAGCCTTCTAATGATTCATCTTATTTCTGCCTTCCTGCCTGCCTGACAAAAACGAAGGTGTGTTTTTATTATTGTTTTTAGAATATTAGCAACGTTGTAGCAGCATTCTCCAATTTGCTGCACGTCCGAATTCCCAACAGCTACGAGGTCAGCAATGCTCCAGATGTCCCATCCTCCATGGCAGCAGTCAGCAGTCACAGGGTGAACCCATCTGCAGAGTACCGGCAGCACTTACTGCTCCAGGGGCCTCAGGCAGCACCTATGGGTCCTGCCAGGATTGCAGGGTCTTATGGACTGAAGCAGCCCAATATGCCATTTGCTGCAAACAGCAATGGTAAGTAGGCATTAATTCTTCTAAATTTTAATTGAGTCAGTTATTAATCCACGTCAACCTTATACATTCATGGTTACAAGTTAAATAGCTGATTCTCATTCTGAACAGTAGTTTTCTTGTGTGATCAGTACATGCAGGCCTGCTCCTGATGTTAACAATAGCATCATAGGTCCATCTCTGATTTCCTGTCACTGTCAGTGAGATACTTTTTCCAGTATTACACAATGTTATTAATTTTTGTCCAGCCTGGTTTTAAATATGTTGTTCTGGAAGGTTGTTACTGTGCTGGTTGACACAAGTTTTTAAGCACGTATTCCTACATTGTTTTAGTTAATCATTTCATATACAAGAATTTATTATTGCCTTGTTGTTCACACAGGTGATTTGACCTGATTTAAACAACCTCCCCATCAGGATCGAATTTAAAGTTTGCTCCCCTCCCCATCCAGGAGGATTCTTCTCCTCTGAGCCACTGAAGAGTATTGTGATTTCTCATAGGTTTGCTTTAATCTGTTCTGGTATCTAATAGACTGACTTATTGTGCAGGTATAGCTGGCTATAAGGATCACAGTCAGAACATTGCAGAAAGCTCAGCACTGAGGCCTCGCTGGTGCTCTCATTGCAAAGTAGTCGTTCTTGGCAGCGGTGTGCGGAAGTCCTTCAAAGACCTGCCTTTCCTGAAACAGGTACTGCAGTGGAAGTAGAGTTTCTTGTGTGTAATGGTCAGTAACCAAACCAGGGCAACAAACACTACTGCTTCCCAGGCCAACTGATGCCAGCTCCTAATTTCTTTGTATTTTCTCTTTTCTGAGTCCTAACTGAGGATGAGACATTCAAGTATTTGGTAGTGCAAATTAAAAGTGTTGAAATGTATTTCATTATATTTCATAGAAGAGGTCCCATAAATAGTGACCTCCTGAATTACTCTGTTGCTCTCTTTCTGTGACCACTTAAGAATTCAAGAAGAGCTTATGTGTAAGGCAGCACCACTTTGCCACTTCAGAAATTACTAGAAGAGCTGGAACGCTTTCACTGTGTCTGAACAAGAAGCAGATTTCAGTCTTGATGCTTTGTGTTTCATATTGTTTATTGTATGAACGGAATCCCAAGCTGCTCCTTGGGGTCTCAGTCAGATGTAGAGTATTTGTGCACAGAACTGTCCTTCATTAAAGAGTGCCAGTGCTCTTTTTTTAAGTAAGATTGAGGTGATTATGCAACAAAGATATACAGTCAGAATTTATATGTAAAATTGATGGGCTCATGTAATCAGAATATGGAATTCCCAGTAATGCTTTGCAGTTGAGTCAATAGATAAAACTTGACAAACAATCTTTGACTAGCATAAAATGAGACATTCTTTTCTCATCTTAAAGATAAAGGAAAATGGGTTTTTATTTTGCAACTGTGCCTGTGGAGCAGATGGGTGCATGATATTAGAGAGCTTTGTTTTGATTGTTAAACTTCTGTTGAAGGCAGAGAAGTAAATTTCTGTGATGAAGTACTGAAGAACAAGGTTGTAGGTGGTGTTAATGTTTGATCTGTCAAATGAGTATTTATATCACAGTAGCACTCATTATTTCACAAATGTTCTACAAATTAAAAGGTGGGCAGTTTCTAAGCCAGATTGGAAGACATACTTCATTACAATTAGTATGTGAAGAGTGGTATTAAAATGCACTTCTGATAATCTTCCATGTTTGATCCCCAGGATTCCCAAGACGGGTCTGATAAAATGAAGGACATCGTATTCTGTAGCAACAACTGCTTTGTTCTCTATTCAGCAGCTGTGCAAGCAAAAAGCTCAGAGAACAAAGTAAGTATCAAACACTGGTAGGCCCTAGTGAGCAGAAATGGGGTGGGGGATGCTTTACTTTGTTCTGGAGAGTTTATAAATTAGTTGTTCTCTATTCAGACATTGGAATTTTGAACCAGCAGAGTGAAGTAGGATTTGTATTTACAGAAACTTCTGTCTAACAGAAATGAGTGACAGAACATCTCTAGTTGAGGTGCCACTATAAGCTTAGTTAGACCTTCAAGCAGATGCTCAAAATAGATGTATTAAGAGCACTTCTTCTTTTAACTAACTTGGTTTCTACTTTTTGTAGTTCAAGTCTACATTTTTCTCTAAACTGGTGGACAACATTGGCAACATGCTTCAAGCATTACCTAGTTAATGACTTCCCACGTAGCCACGTGTTCGCTGTAGGATATGCAGCCTTCCTTCAAATGCATCTTTCCTACTTTTTCAAAAGAAGCAAAAAAAAGCACTGGATGAGGAAATAAATGTGTTCACGTCCACACGCTTGCACAAGTGCATCACCACATACATAATTAAGTTAATTAAATGTCATGTTCAGCCTCTTAATCCTTTCATTTATTCTTTCAAGATTAATTACACAAACCATATTGAGCACTTCTAATCTAAACTGCTGTTGTTCTCCTTGTTCTTTCTTTCTTTCTTTCTTTATTTTAATTAACAAATCTCTGCAGGTTTAATTCTTGTTTGCTATAACTGAATTGTTAAGACCTAGAGGTATATGACTAATCCAGAGCCCTGCAGGAATTTCCTTGTCTTGTTTTCAGGAAAATACATGGAATTAATTCTCAGCTTTCCCTTCTAACAAATAACACGATTCTTATTCTTTAAATTAATTCTGTGACCCATATTTTTAGTTGTTTAGTTGTAAGTGTTTAGTAGTCATAACTACACTTCCAAAAAACAGCTAAAAACCTTAAATCTCTCAATTCCGTTGCTTAGGGCATTTGATTAGTTTTTCATTTAAAACGTATATGCAGGATTATTTGTGTTTTGTGTTAAGAATTGAAGGGTGCTGTGCTCTGGTTGACTGGAAGGACTTTAGCGCTCTGTATCCCAGCACAAGTTGTGATAAAACAGGTAAAGGTGATTTCTTTCTCTGTTGCTGAATCACAGTTTCAGGCATTCTGAGTAGCTCTTTCAGTTCAGTTCCGATGTGAAAGTTTTCAAGGGCAATTTAATGCCTTGGGATTCTTGTCTTGAGAGTTTTCCATTGGTTTTCCAGGAGTCGGTTCCATCTTTGCCCCAGTCACCAATGAAGGAGAGGCCGCCTAAAGCATTCCATCAGTACAGCAACAACATCTCCACTTTGGATGTCCACTGTCTGCCTCAGTTGCAGGAAAAAGTGTCTCCGTCATCTTCACCCCCAATCATTTTCCCCCCTGCATTTGAAGCAGCCAAGGTAGAGGCGAAACCGGATGAGCTTAAGGTAACAGTGAAACTCAAACCTAAATTAAAAGCAATACACAGTAGTCTTGATGACTGTCGGCCTCCAAGTAAGAAATGGAAAGGAATGAAGTGGAAGAAGTGGAGCATTCAGATTGTGATTCCTAAAGGATCATTCAAACCTCCTTGTGAAGAAGAAATAGATGAATTTCTTAAGAAATTGGGCACGACCCTTAAACCAGACCCAGTGCCTAAAGACTACAGAAAATGTTGCTTCTGTCACGAGGAAGGCGATGGGTTAACTGATGGACCAGCAAGGCTTCTTAACCTGGATTTAGACCTTTGGGTCCATTTGAACTGTGCTCTTTGGTCTACAGAAGTCTACGAGACACAAGCTGGTGCCTTAATAAACGTGGAACTAGCCCTGCGAAGAGGCTTGCAAATGAAATGCATGTTCTGTCACAAAATGGGTGCCACCAGCGGTTGTCACAGGTTAAGGTGCACCAATATTTATCACTTTACCTGTGCCATTAAAGCACAATGCATGTTTTTTAAAGACAAGACCATGCTTTGCCCCATGCACAAACCAAAGGGAACTCACGAGCAAGAACTCAGTTACTTTGCAGTCTTCAGGAGGGTCTACGTGCAGCGCGATGAGGTGCGGCAGATCGCTAGCATAGTACAGCGCGGAGAACGCGACCACACTTTCCGGGTGGGGAGCCTGATTTTCCACGCCGTGGGTCAGCTGCTCCCACAGCAGATGCAGGCGTTTCACTCCTCCAAAGCTCTCTTCCCTGTGGGTTATGAGGCCAGCAGGCTGTACTGGAGCATGAGGTACGCCAACAGGCGCTGTCGCTATCTCTGTTCCATTGAGGAGAAGGATGGGCTCCCGTTGTTTGTCATCAAGGTTGTGGAGCAAGGCCACGAAGATCTGGTTCTTACTGACACAACGCCAAAAGGTAAATTTTATCTGCTCGAGTGACGACTTTTTGGTTTGCTGTTTGTTAGTCTGATAAATGTTTCAGACAAAATTTGCAGACACTGCTCTACTTCAGAAATTGCAGCGTAGTGGTCATAGTGAGTGAGCTTCCAGGGTCCTTTTTTAATTGAACAAAAACAGTTGACACAGACTAAGAACACCTTTCAAGGAATCATGTAAGCTACACATAGAAGATGTGTTACAGCTTCACTGGACTCTTAGGGTTGATGGTAAGTTGTAAGGATGTTAGTGCAAGTTTTCTTCATGAAAGTGACTGCTTAGATATGATAATGCTACACAGTTCTCTTCAGATCAGTGGTGCTGAAGGTCATAGGTGATAAAGGGACTGTGTGATGACCAAGTCCCTCTCACAGCTGGGAGCATTGCCTCTGCTGGGGTGAGGAGCAGTACGGTGTGTGAGGATAAGATCTTAGAGACGTGTTGTATGGATGTGGTGTGTGTTGCTTTGGGTTTTAACTGGTTAAACCACAGCCTACAGAATTGCCAACATAAAGTGAAGTGCTGACTGTAATAGTTAACTTTTAGAAAATTCTACCCTGTGCAGGTTTTCTAAGGAGAATCTCTTCTGTCACTTCAGAGAGCCCACAGTTCCCTGAAGAGAAACCTATAGTAATACTGGCATGGAACTGAAGGTTTCCCAGCTCTGTTCCCAAGAAGGGTGCAGCACAAACATTGCGATTGGAATTTTTTCAAGCCAAAACAGCACATCTCAAACAATTCTCCATTTTGCTTTGGAAGCACTGACCTGCTCTTTTATACAACCGATGGCAAAACATCTTTTCAGTATCGATTCCTGGTTCCAGTTATCTTTGAGCATTAGTTTTAAAACCAGTACGAAAGGTTTCTTTGTGATCCTTGTAATTCTTTCCCATGTGGTTGTGTAGGTGTGTGGGATAAAATCCTGGAGCCCGTTGCTTCAGTTAGGAAGGAGTCAGAAATGCTGCAGCTGTTCCCCAGCTATCTGAAGGGCGAGGACCTCTTTGGTTTGACGGTGTCTGCGGTGGCGAGGATCGCGGAGTCGGTGAGTCCTCCCAGGGCACTGGGCACTCTGACGTGTTGGCTGTCTCACACACACACACACAGACACACTGTAAAGGACCACAGTGCTCATCTAGTTTCAACCCCCCTGCTATGTGCAGGGTCACCAACCAGCAGACCAGGCTGCCCAGAGCCACATCCAGCCTGGCCTTGAATGCCTGCAGGGATGGGGCATCCACAACCTCCTTGGGCAACCTGCTCCAGTGTGTCACCATCCTCTGAATGAAAAAGTGAGAAGAGAATATTTGGTTTCATGTCATTAACACATAATTACTCGGATTTTCTTTTTCTGTGTGTGTGTTCTCTTGCAGCTCCCAGGGGTTGAGGCCTGTGAGAACTATACTTTCCGCTATGGCCGAAACCCCTTAATGGAACTTCCTCTTGCCATCAACCCCACGGGCTGTGCCCGTGCCGAGCCTAAAATGAGTACCCATGTCAAGAGGTTTGTGTTAAGGTATTTTGTTTTAATTTCACATAGTACAGCCCAGGGTTTATAGGCTGCTTAGGGTTATTTGTGCTTTCGTCTGCTGCTTACAAACCCTGTCGTCCTTGGCTGTGTATGTGCATGCCCAAATCAAAGGAGTTGCTGTGTTGTCTCTGCTAGCTGGCTTTAAGTGTGTGTACGTCCCAGAGAATTTTGCATTGCTGTTGTGGCTGTCTTCAGAGAAATCTTCAGTTTTTCTTGTATTTTTTCTTGTTACATGCCCAACTCCTACAGGCCTCACACCTTGAATAGCACCAGCACATCGAAGTCATTTCAGAGCACAGTCACAGGGGAGCTGAACGCGCCTTACAGTAAGCAGTTCGTCCATTCCAAGTCCTCCCAGTACCGGAAAATGAAAACAGAGTGGAAGTCCAATGTGTACCTGGCTCGCTCTCGCATTCAGGTCAGTCCTCATTCTAGGAACTTCCCGTGCTGATTTTAATGTGTGCTTCTATTTGATGGATTTGTTCTATGTTAAGAAATGAAATGAAGCAATTGCAAAATTCTTTCAAATCTCTTCTCAAAATTTGGTAATTTGGATGTGGGAAATCACGGCATAGAGTGCCAAGCAAGACATCTGTAGAAATCTTAAAAAATAATTAGTTGCAGTCATCTAGAGATAAAACGAGTTACATTATTTCAAGGTGCTTTTACCATATTTCTCAAAAGGTTAATGAAAACCAATAATTAGATGAATGTGCAGTGGAAGTATGAGACACTCAAATCAAGCTGAGCAATGTGGAATGAGGCCTTCAGGCTGAACCTCTGTTCAGCACTTCATTGCATTCAGAAAGCAATGTGTTCTTAGGATTGTTGTCATTGTGGGTTTGTTCCACAGACTGTGCTGCAAGAAGGCTGTGGGGTGACCTCATTGCAGCCTTTCAGTACCTAAAGGGAGCCTATAAGCAGGAGGGGAGTCAACTCTTTACAGAGGTAGATAACAGCAGGACAAGGGGAAATGGTTTGAAGTTGAAGGAGGGCAGATTTAGGTTGTATGTCAGGGGGAAGTTCTTTACCAAGAGAGTGGTGAGGTGCTGGAACAGCTGCCCAGAGAGGTTGTGGATGCCCTGTCCATCCCTGCAGGTGTTCATGGCCAGGTTGGATGGGGCTCTGGGCAGCCTGCTCTAGTATTAGATATGGAGGTTGGTGGCCATGCTTGTGGCAGGGGGGTTGGAGCCTCATCCTTGAGGTCCCTTCCAACCCTGGCCATTCCGTGATTCTGTGTATGATTCTGTGATTTTTGCATACAAGCATTGTTATTATTTATTTTAGATTGGATTTAACTGTGCTGTTGTGTTCTTACTATGTTTCTTCACTCTAGGAAGGCCTTCTTTAATTTCAGTGAATCTGTAATCTTCACACAGTCAGTTATAAGGTGTAAGAGGTGTAAGAGAAGCCTGCTTTCTTACCTAGGCAGCAGCCAAGTATGTTTTACTGCATTTGAAGTATTTACTGCAAACCTGGATCCTTCTCTGTGCTATTACCACGAGCTACTTTCCTATGCTATTTTCTTTCTGGTTGTTGAGTTCTCTCATGATTTTCTGCAGGATTGTTTTTGGGACATGGTGAGGAATGCAGTGTCAGTGTAAATTTGTTATGAATTTCTAACTCACAGCATATTTTTTTGTAGGGCCTGGGCTTATATGCTGCTAGAGACATTGAAAAGCACACTATGGTCATAGAGTACATCGGAACTATTATCCGGAATGAGGTAGCAAACAGGAAGGAGAAGCTTTATGAATCTCAGGTACTGGGGGTGTTCATTCACTGTTTTTTCTCTCCTTGCCCTTTCAAATGCTTTTAGAATGGGACAAATGCTGCCTGGTTTCAGGGATCGTGAAAAGACAGTCAGTGCTCTGCGATGACTGGTGGAGGAGTCAGGTCTTCTGTGTTCTGTGTGCTGCTGTGCTGTAAGAGCAGTAGGCTAAAAAGGACAGCCAGACGTGTCCACAGGGTTTGTTATTTGTGTATTTGTTATAAGTGTTCAGCACATCTCACAGCATCACAGCCAGGTAATCTGTGTTCTGTTTCCTGGAGGACAAAGAGAGAACTTTCCTGGGGATGTCAGCCCCTCCGCTTTTTAACAAGAACTTCTTATTTAAATTTAAAGCAGTTTTCTTTCTGTAGCTCAACAGTCTCATAATGGTTAATGCGCTTAAAGATCCCCCATGCGAGGCAGTACAGAAATCCAAGCTATTAATACTGCACGGGAGAGAAATATCACTTGGACAGGCAGACCCTGCCGACCCACTCATAAAAGAGTGCGGCTGGTGGCAGCGTTCCACCATTAGATGATGTGTGTGAGTCCCTTTCCCTAGCGAGCCAGTAGGTATGAAGGCAGAAAAACTCCTAGAGGTAACCCACAGTGCTGCTTTGTTTCAACCATTGATGACTATTGAAAACCTACACGGATCTGTCTTCCAATTCTTGTTTCAGAACCGCGGGGTGTACATGTTCCGCATTGACAACGACCACGTCATCGATGCTACTCTGACAGGAGGTCCCGCAAGGTGGGTGGCTCTGGGGACAGCCCTGTCCCCATCCTCAGAAGCTCTCCCCATCCCCTCGCTGGGGCTCTGTGTTGGAGATGTGCATTTCTGCTTTCTTGGTGACTTTTGGAACAGAGTTCTGTGGGCCGAACATTGCAGCCTCTCCCACTGAAAGGGTCTTGTCTTTTTCATTAGCTTTACTCATCCATCACTGTGTTTCATGGCAGCTGGGGAGAAAGTGAATTTTTTTTTTTTTTTAACATTTTATTCTGTTGGCATTCTGTAGGTAAAGAAGCAAGTGCAGAATAATGTAATTGTATGTGGAATTGCAGCCCTGAAGCTGAGGTCATCCCGAGGTTTGATGCAGATCACCCTCAGCACTGCATTTTCCTTCAGGTCACCTTTTTCAAATGCTCTGTGTTTGCAGGTACATCAACCACTCGTGTGCCCCCAACTGCGTGGCGGAGGTCGTCACTTTCGAGAGAGGACACAAAATTATCATTAGCTCCAGCAGGAGAATCCAGAAAGGGGAGGAGGTACGGCCATCCCATCTGGCTTTCCCCCACTGTTGCCACCTCTGTTCATTTCTAGATACTGCCACAATGCAGTGTGGCTGTGCTGTGGTGGGGAGGTGACACTGCCCTTCCCCTTTTCATTTTAAAACTTGCTGGTTCCTACGAGGGATTCTGGTGTATTTTACCATCTAAACTGTAGATACAAGGAAAGATGTGGTAAAATCCCCTTGTCTTATAACCGTTCTCCTGAATCTTCTTCCAGCTTTGCTATGACTATAAGTTTGATTTTGAAGATGACCAGCACAAGATTCCATGTCACTGTGGAGCTGTAAACTGCCGAAAATGGATGAACTAGAATGCATTCCTTGCTGTCTTTTGAGGGTTGCTTGTCCCTAAGAAGAAGTGATTCACGTTTTGATTTTGTCGACAGAAAATCGTTGCCTTTTTTGAAGGGAAAAAAAAAAAAAAAATCACTTCTGGAAGTCCAGATTTCTACTCCAGGATCTCAAAAGAAAAGAAACAAACCCCACAAAACAAGCACCAGAAGCAAGCCGGCAAAATCTGAAGCTGACTTTCCAGCCACACGGAGGTTAAACTGAGTTAACAGAATGGTCCAGCACTTTTGTTTTTGAGCTCACTAAGGAGAAACTGTTTAACTTGGGCAAAGAACCGGGCGCTGACCTGCGGCGTGCAGGTGGGCATTTATGAATGTAAGACTGAAATCACCAGCGAAAGGGAGAAGTCCAAAGTGCTGGCCACAGCCTTATTTGATAAAGGGGCAGGCCCTCTAATTAAAGAAAAATTTTAAATAAAAGTAGACACCACTGAACAAGGAATGTACTGAAACGACTTCCTTAGGGATAGAGCTAAGGGAAAAATAACTTGCACTAAAATACATTTAAATACTTGATTCCATGAGTCAGTTTATTGTAGTTTTTTGATTTCTGTAAAATAAGAGAACCTTTTTGTATTTATTATTGAATAAGTGAATGAAGCTATTTTTAAAAAGAAAGTTAGAAGAAAGCCAAGCTGCTGCTGTTACCTGCAGAACTAACAAACTCTGTTACTTTGTACAAAAGTGTAAATATTTTGAGGAAAAAAAAAATACAGTATAAAAATAGTTATTGACCAAATGCTCTCAGACTCCGCAGCAGTTCGGGTGCTCATTATCAAATGTCAATAGGGATGTTACAATATGATCTCAGTGCTACCAGACGTGGTTACAATGACGGAATAACCAAAATCTCCATTTAAAGAGAGGTTTTTGTTGTTGTTGTTGTTTTTTAACGTTTCAAGCAGTCTCAACTGTGGTCTCTGCAGATTTTTTAATAATTACACCTTCAGCCTGCGCCATGTGTTCCAATTCTGACTTTTGGAGACGTTGGGGGTCACGTAGATTCATTCGATTTGTATTATATTGTCGCATCCCTATTTCTTCAGTCAGGTTTTTTTCTTTTGTTTGTTTGTTTGCGTGCTTAAAATTGGTGATAACTGTGAATAACTGCTCAAACCACCCAAAATCAAGAGAGAGGCGCTGAGCATTGGGTTTTCCTTCAGCAAAAGTGGGCCCGAGGAGGGGGAGCTGAGCATGAGAACAGCGTAGGACCACACAGGGGAGCTCCGGTCCGATGCCTTCACCCAGGAAAAGGAGAACAGAGCTGAGATGGAGCGCGTGCAGCTGCAGGACGCTGGCAGTTGGGTTATGGGAAATGTAATTTAAAGATGTGTTTGTATGGATTGTTTTTGTTTACATTTCTTTAAAATAAAAATAAAAAATAAAACACTGTTTTGTGTTTGCTTGTAGAGATTTAATCAGCATTTGGAAGCAGGTTAGCTTTTTATTTTGTACTTAAAATTCTGGTACTGACACTTCACAGACTAAATATAAAAAAAAATGAAGTTTTTTTTGTGTGCACAATGAAAGTGGACTGTAAACTGTTGGTATATTCAGTGCTACAGTTCTGAACTTGTAATGTATATGGCATGATGTATTTTTATCTTACAGAATAAATCAATTGTATATATTTTTCTCTTGATAAATAGCTGTATGAAATTGTTTCTTGAATATTTTTCTTCTCTTGTACAATATTCCGACATCCTACCAGTATTTGTCCTACAGTTTTTTTCTGTTCTGTATAATAGTATCTAATGTTGGCAAAAAAAGAAAAACACCACAAAAAAAAAAGAATTTTTTGAAGTATACAGAGTGTTATGGGTTTTGGAATTTGTGGAAACAGATTTAGAAGATCAGCATTTACAAATAAAAATATTTTACATCTATTGCGGTCCCCTCCTGTCTTCTTTGGGTGTCTCTGCATTTCTGGCCCCACAACCATCTCCTCTCCTGCACTGCAGTGCCCTCTGTACCTCATAGAACCACTCAGGTTCCAAAAGACCGTAAAGATCAAGTCCAACCACAACCCAACCATATTATACCCTCACTCTAACAACCCTCTGCTAAATCATGTCCCTGAGCACCACATCCAAATGGTTTTTAAACACATCCAGGGATGGTGACTCAACCACCTCCCTCAGGAGCCTATTCCAGTGCTTAACAACCCTTTTGAAAACAAGTGTCCTGATAGCCAACCTAAACTTACCCTGGCACAACTTAAGGCCATTCCCCCTCATCCTGTCACCAGTGAGAAGAGACCAACTCCACTTTCGCTGTAAGCACCTTTCAGGTCCTGGAAGAGAGCAATAAAGTCTCCCCTCAGCCTCCTTTTCCTCAGTCTAAATAGCCCCAGTTCCTTCAGTCTCTCCTCTTAGGGCATATTCCCCAGGCCCTTCACCAAGCTTGTAGCCCTTCTTTGGACCTGCTCCAGCACCTCAGTGTCCTTTCTGTAGTACACTGCTGGCTCATATTCAGCCAACCGTCCATCAGTACACCAAGGACCTCCAGAGGCTTCACCAGTAAATAACTAATGTAGGTGTGAGGGGGTATTTATGGTACAAAGAGCCATCCAGCTGCAGCTCCACTGACTGCTGTACTCCATTCCTGCAGGCCTGAAGCGCATCCACATCATGCAGCCTCCAGCTTTTTTCCATGCAGCAGAAGGGTGGGCTTGCTGTGGCACTGCTTTGGAGACTTTGGCTTCTGACAGTGCCACAGGAAAAAAAAAAAAAAAAGGTTAAGGAGCAATAGCAGCACACAGCCAGGAGCCAGTCTGACAGCCAGGAGTCTAAATGAATCTCCCAGCCTACAGCCAAACACTGTCTGCCCAGCTGTCACCATGGCTGTGGTTGGCTGCAGGGACTGTCTTAGTAGGAAGGAACGAGGCTGGTGATGTTTTGCCTGCAGGGCAATTCACTGCAGCCCATTGCTGGGGTTTGTGATCAACCCCTGCTTACCTGCACCCTGCCCTGTGACACAGCTTCTGCTGAGGGCACCACTTCCAGCTGCTGCTCCTATTGCATTTCTCCTCCCTCTTTGGAGGAAGGACCCATCAGGCTGTCACAGGTGGATGTGCTCTCGTAGGGGAAGACTGAGAGCTGTCATCACTCCAGTGGTAGCAGTTCCCACCTCATTCTGCCACTTTGCAATAACCCAATGCTGGGGTACATTTGTGGCTAGGAAGTGTTTCTATGCCCCGCTGGAAGGGCAGAGCTGCCTCAGGTTGATGAACACAGCAAAAGGGGAAGCACACAGGTTAGAACAGCACTTGCTTTCTGCAGTTTCCATGTGCTGACGAGGTCCCCGGGGGCTGCAGTAGGTGTTGAAAGCACAGCAAGCAGTGAAACCAACCCAGCACATGGGAGGGGAAGCAGAATCACGAAAACAGAATCCCAACACAACACTTACCCCCAAACCCTGCAGGAGATGAAAGGAAGAATGCAGCTGTGAAAAAAGGAGTGGGAAGGATGGAGGAGCCATGCTGTGAGGGTGTAGGTCCACATCAGTGCCAGCCCTGCTGCCAGCTACAAGGAGTACAGCCAGAGGGGGATCATAAAAAACAGATACTTTATTTTATATGCAGCTAGGTCATGAGTCATCAAAATAGACTTTGTAATAGTTACTTTGTTTTAAATAGGAGGTGACAATGACACCTAAGGATTTCAGCTATGTGAAACGTTCTAAAATCGTAAATTAAACCAAATATTACAAATGACAACTTCCAGAAGATAAAAGGGAATTAAAAATACTTTCCAGGTAAAGTAAAATAATTCATCCAGTAAAACCATACTAAAAACATGAGTTACCGAGATACTGCACATGGAATACTCAAAGATGAACGCCTTTCTGTCATTTAAAAGACCCACAAAGCTAAAATCTCACCATTTAAATTACATTGCTCTAATAATTTCTCTTACTGAAAACCAGTCCAATAATCCAGGCTAACTCAGGGATCTGCTGCCATTACTGCTGCATCCGGCGCAGCCCATGGGCTCCCCGAGCTCCTCACCGCAGTGCATCCAAAGGGTCCTCCTAGTGCTCCTGGAGGCTGCAGCAGCCAAGGGCTCCCAGCACAGCGCTCTGCAGTGACTGATGGTGGCTGCAGGGGAAGCCAGGCCCGGCTTTGCTCCTCTTGACTCACTGCCTCAGCTCTCAAAATGCCACTGCTGAGGAAGGGAGCCATCGCAGATGGCCATGGCCACGTAGCCTTTGTGGCTGAGCGGGTCTGCCACCTTCATGCACTGCCCCACCGACACCTGGTAGAGGCGGTTGTTTTTCTAAGAAAGACAGACAAACAGGAGATCTTTACTGCAACTTCTCTTCTGCTTCACTGATAAACTAGAGCTGAAACTGGTGCATAGGGAAGGGGCTGCTCCTTGCTGAGAAATGAGCACTTGGGCAGCTCCTCCCAGCCTTGACACACCAGGCCCACAGCCACAACAGCACACCCTATAAACACACTCAGACCTTGGAAAAAAGGCTCACATACTTTTATAGGGACCTAGTTTGGATTCTGCCTATACCAGTCTCTTAATCAGAGGGAGGAATGATAAAAGCCATTCCCTGGCATGGCCAGGGAGGGAGGAGAAACACAGCAAGAACATCCAGTGCTTTTCCAGATCACTTACCCCTTCCAGCTGCATTTTATTGCAGAATTCCTGAAACTTGTTTCAGTCAGGGTATAATTAAACTAGAACTTACTGTCCCCCCAGTACATGGTAATTTCCCTTGAACTTACATAAGCTTTTTGACTGCTGGCCCCTGCAGTAAGGCACCCTGTGGCCCACACTACACCATCAGCCTCCACATTTTGAACTTGTCCTCTGTTGTCTTCAAAGGACAGTCCAAAGTCTTGTAACCAACAGAGCATTGCTGGCCTTTCACTCTCCCAGTAACTCCTGGATAAACCATTGTAGAGAACAGCTTCAGCAGGGCGGGCAACTCAATGACCTCCAAAGGTCCCTTCCAACCTCTGTGGTTCTGCAATTCCATGACTGCTGGCAGGGCTGCAGCAGTTTCCCTTATTTGACTCCTCTTAAGAACAAATGCTGCCAATGAGTGGCACAGCACAAACCCAAGAAGGATCATGCAGGATCCTGGATGTGCAGCATGCAATTCTGGCAGTACACTCCTGTTTGCTCCATGTTTATGTTATGGGCTCACTACTACACAAGGGCACGTGAGGTGACAGCCCCTGAGCTAACACCATGGAGCCAGATATCACATGGCTGCAGCAGAGTCACAGAACTGAGGCAATAAGACATCAAACTAATGAGATGCTATTATAGGACAGAAGCTGCAAAACTGCTCCTCTGGATCCTGAGTTCCACCCCCTACACTCAGCAGAAGCCATGACAGGGACTGCTCACGTCTCCTAGTCCTGCAAAGCCAGCAGAGAGCTGTGGGGTGGGTTTCTTCCACCTGGCACATCCCCGCAGGACACAGTTCTGTGCGTGGCTGTGACAAACAGAAAAGAAATCTAAATAGGACTGCAAAAACTTCCCAACGTTGCAAAGGAAAAGGCCTGCAGCTCCTGGAGGTGCAGCCACCAATACTGTGTAGCTTTGCACAGGCTGTGCTGGCTGTGGGCTTGATAAGTTTGGCTATAATCACATTCAACCCCATGTCCCACAAGTGCCACCACCACTTATGGTGGCATTGATCACAAGCCCTATGCTGTGTGCCAGGCTATGTGCACTTACCCCAAAGGTCCACTGCTGTGATCCACCAGAGCCGTGGCACTTCATGAGGCGAGGAGGGTCGGAGGAGCGAGTTTCTGACACATCCAAGCACAGGAGGTTATTTAAAATCAGCTCGTGATCTTCATTGTAAACCCACACCTGAAAGATGAGATAGAAAAGATGTCAATTGCAGAGTTACAAGGCATCATGGATGTGCCTTACCACACCTGCTGCTGCTTTGCTATTGTTTTTTTCCCCAACAGAGCCTGAAAAGCAGCTGCAGTGCTCCACCACCTTCCCAACACCAAACAGCATTATCCTATGCAGAGGTGCTCAGAGAGCCACGCGTGACCCCATGTAAAAATAAAGCACACCCACATGTTCCTCCTGTCCTGTTGGGATGACAGCAACATGCAGCCCGTCTCCCAAGCTCACCGTCACACCAGCACTAAGCCCATTCCTGAGGATGAGGAGGATGGTGGATCTCCTCAGCCGAGCCAAGTGCCATCAGCCAGGCAGGACACAAAGCCAAAAAGTACCTTGAGTCTTCCTGGAAACAGCTGCACTTGGCCAGAAACACAAAGGAGTCTACCTCACTTTGTGCAATGGACACAAAGAACACACAACAGCACAGAAAGCTGTGATTCTTCTCCAGAAAGGCTGACACAAGGCAGCCCAAATTAATTTCAAACTAATTGCGTGTTTGGGGTAGGAAACAAGGGAAAGAGAATAACAAGGCCCAAAGTCTGGAGATGCTGTGGTTCCAAACTCAAATTTAAGTATTGCTGTAAACATGCAGACTGTTAACAGATTCCAGCACAGGGAAAGCAAAGCTACCTCTTATCATATAACTGAAAATCTTCAGGCACTCTGTAATTTATTAAAAGTTTCCCTGCTGCCACATGGACGGATGATGAACATCATCCTCATTGGCACAGGCTGACCATGCAGAAATCCAGATTCTTCTCTGGCATTTTTTTTTTTTTAATTTTCTTTTGCCATAATGAAGATATACAGGGCTGTTAGTGATTTGTTTTATTCTATCAAAAGATGAAATTATCCCCACAGTATAATTAGGGCAAATGAGTAAGGGGCAGCTGAACTGCTTCT